CTTCTCTGGCCTTCACTAATATTTAGCATATTTCAAGGAAGATTAAATTGCTACGCTTTATAAAGAGCGGATTCTTTGTGGCTTACGTGCGCTTTAACTTATTAAATGTGTCGTGTATTATTTCAACCCGTGGGGCAATTGCAGTGGGGGGGGGGGTTTGTTCTTGCCAAATGTATGTGCAGACATCACGGAGTACAATGTAACTTCCACTAACAAGGACGTTTGTGTTGTAAGGAGTCAGGGTGGTTTAGCTTTAAAGGTATCCAGTTGCTTCATTTGAGCCATTGGAATGTGTGCCGTGTATGCACCTTAGGTGTACGTGTACATTATTTTCACACAGATACAGTGACATGCACTGAATGTCGGCATTGTTCATTCCCCTTTAGGGGGACATGGTAAAGGTATGGTCACAGTTACTTGCAATAACAGCCATTACATCCGTTGAGACCATTATCATTGGTAAATTATGAGAACATCATTATAGATTTTAATCCCCGTACATTTTCAAGAATGCTTTGATGTAAATTAACACTCTTGATAGTCTATGAACATCCAAAGACCTGTCATATTGTCCCTACTTAGCGACTTCCCCCCCCCCTCCCTCTATCACACCAATGCTTTTTAAACAGTTTACGATCTGGCAATTAAGTTGACATTGCCGACCGTGCAGAGGATTAGGCAAATTCCTCGCTTCCGACTCTTCTCTCCGCCTGTTGCCACACACACACACGCGGCCGTAATTAATGTTGCTGCTGCTGCCAGAAGGGTGGGGAAATGGCTTCTGGACGGCGGGCCGTACCAACCTCTGCCGCTACCGTGGGGGTGCCGGCGGCGGATGGAGAGCGACCCTGGGGGTTTTGGGCGGCAGTGTCAGGGAGGTGCGCGCGTTTGCCGTAGCCACCCACTCACCCCCCTCTCTCTCGCCGCCGCCGCGCTCATTTAACCCCCGACGTGCGTGCCTTCGTCAAACGCGCGCACACACAACGCGCGGAATCTCCGCGTAGACGTTTTGCTTGCGCGCGGGCGCCGCAACGAGAGGACACGGTCGGTGGTGGGTGTCTTCCACAATTACGCGCAGTCGCCCGCGGCAGGCAGGGAGTGGGGTGGGTGGGGTGGTGGTGGTGTTGGTGGGGGGTGGTGGGACCAGCAACGGGGTTCGGATTTTGCCGGGCGGTGGACGGGCGGGGAGTTAAAATTGGGCGAGACGGGGCTGGAATTTGCTCTGTCCAAACAATGCGTCTGCGAGGTCTCGGTCCTGGCATGCCCGAACTTGCGAGAGCCCCACTTGCTGAGAGCTAGGGGGGAGAGAGAGAGAGAGAGGCACATCCACGCGCACGCGTAGTGCAGGCGAGAGAGAGAGAGGGGAGTCAGGCGGGGCTGTGTGTGCATGCTCCGCGTTCGGCACTCTGCGCCTCAACTCGTGGCGTGCTCCACATGCCACCGACCGCCAAGATGGGCTTCTACGGCACACTCAAGATGATCTTTCATAAAGTAAGTTTACTAAAAAAAGATTTGCTTAATGTCATCATCCCCCTTGTTTCAGTTGAGCAGCAGTCAGATGCCAAGCCCAGCATGTCGCATTAGGGAAAACATTCCGGTGTTTGTGTTCGACCTGGCAGCGTTTTGTAAGCCGTGATTTATTTCTCATCCGTGTTTGTAAACATGCATTACTTTCATTGTGGAATGAGTGATGATACTGGCGTACATTTGCTTTGCTATGAAAACACTTTATTCTTCACGCCTCTTGCACAGAGAATACAAATTGCAGAGCTCTTAGTGCCAGATAGATGTGCTTGCTTTTTTATACAAGATTCACCTGCGACCACGTATCTTATTTAGAAGGTGTATGCTTTTTAGAATTTAATGAAAATCAATGCATGACTGATGCGAGTGTGGGGATATTGCTGAAGTTGTTTGATAAATGTTAATGATATCTAATGGCACTATGATGGCGCAGACTATACAGTACTGTACGACTTAATATTTAACCATTCGATGCAATGTAAATAATTACGCCAATGCATTGTTGAGTGATCACGCGTTTGCCGTAACTTTTTAACGGGGGGGGGGGGGGGGGCGCTGTGGGGGGTATAGGCCAAGCTATTAATGAGGGGCCACTGTTTATAGCACTCTGGAACATTTTCAAGTGTTCAAAAGACCCAGCAATCCTGTCCATGGCCAGACAATGAGTCTGCAGCCTTTCTGCCTGTAACATCACGAGCTGTCGCTCGGGATCCATCACATCTACCCTCCCACCCCACCCCGCTCATGAATACACATGGTGATGCGCGCACACTCTGGGCAAATTGCGCACACACCGCATCGAGCAGGACCACTCGCCCACGCTCGCGCGCGCAAACTCGCCGGGTCTCACTCACGGCCCGTGCGCAGTGCTGTGTCCCTCCCAATGCGGACGCGCGCATTGGGAGGGACAGCACTGCCCACCAAAATCTATTGGAGTCATAGCGAATCAAGCCTAGGGTGGGTTATCCCCCCCCCCCCCTCCAAAAAAAAGAATGCAATCTTCTTTCGTTGCTGCAACGGCAGTGATGTACGTCCGCCTTGGCAGATGGGGGGGGGGGGGGTGCTCTCCCGTGTCCTCTGCTAAGCCGCCGCCAGCACTTGAGCACCACGCACTCCTTTTGCTTAATTGCGTGGAGTACAGATTGCGCGTGCGCTCCGGCCGCGAGCACGCGCCAGCCAGCGTGTCCTCAAGCGGCTGGAGGGTCCGGGCTAATCATCGCTCCGTATGGGTCCCCGGATCTCAGCCAGGGCTGGGGCAGGGGGCTGTGTGTGGGGGGGGGGGGGGGCAGTTTGTCTGAAAGCTGGCACAAAAGCCCAACCGTGTTACTGCACGTCGCCTCAATTTCCTGCAGCGCGTGCTTTTTGGGGTTTATTCCGTAGCTCGTAAATATTCGGTCTCCGGTAGAGTAGCGATAACTCGGATAAATGTCAAGTTGTGCCTGATAACGCCGTTTTCATAACTGCTGGGGGGGGGGGGGGGGGCTTGTCTTTTAGGGCTTTCGCGTGCAATTGCTGGGTATTTGCGATCACATGCTCATCATATGAACGAGCCGCACGGAATTTTGCAGTGATTTGAAACGTGAATAATTCAACGCCGCTATGTATCCTCTCCCCGTGCCGTCATAAAATATTGCAATTGAGAAAACGTTTCCACCAAAATCATTTGTTTAATTGCGTGTAATTGCATTGCCGCATTTCACGCCGCAATTTCACAGTACTGCATCTTCTAGCATGGTAACAAATTAGTCGTGAGCTCATATAAAATAAGACCTCATAAAAAATAATGAGCGACCTTACATTGTTGTTATTACTTACACATTCATAAAGTGTGTGTTTCGATTTCCATGCAACTGTATGTTGTATTATTTAGCATATCCAGTGCACGACTCCGACTCTCGATGCTTTAAGGCTAGAGGGAGCCAGCCGCATTGCAAGCTTAATGAAGTGCAAAAACTCGAGGGCTTCTCCTGCATGTGCGCCTGTCATCCGTCACCAACTGGCCCCGGGGGTTCAGAGAATCACCCCAAAGACTCTGGAGTGCTGCTTCTACTGCTGTTATTAACCAGAAATACCACGATTATCTTGGAAATGATTACCGTGGATATTGTCATCGTCGCGTTTGGTTGCCGTCGGAACCTCCTTTGCACTCTCTCCGGCTGTAGAAGGCTGCGATGCGTCTCGTTTTCGCCGCAGAATACAAATGTTTTGACATTACTTGCAGCCGACATCTCATTTAGAAGCGCTTCTAACACCCAGTGACCTACTTTTTGTGAAGGCTGTTGCATCAAAAGACGTGGCAGTTGTCAAGTTCACACTGAGGCACGGAGCGTTTCGCCATCTTGTGCCCACCGCACGTCAAGGAGGGCTTGAGCCTTGGGTTTTCTGAGTGGGAATCCTCGCTATCTAAATTAGCATGCTTGCTATCTTTGGGAACACCCGTCGGGACTGTATATTCAAGGGCCAGATGGAAAGGAGTAGGAGGAGGGATCGGCGCTGCCACAGGTGCATCGTATCCACGAACGCATGGAGCCAAGACGGCTTGATTCGTAAGCTGGGATTGTTTGATAGAATCAAGCGAAACAATTGCAGAAAATATTAAGTCGACTCGAAAGGGGGAATAGCTTCGGTGGGCTCGGAAGACCCGTGGCAGCACAGAGGCGGGTAATGCTTGGTTGAAAAAGAAACCTCTCCGTAAATTTCAAACAACGTCCCGCGGTCAAGAAGGTTCGGCTGGCACACGAACGTCCCGTGTTAATGAGACATCTGGGAGGTCTGTGCGTACAGTGCTGCTGCGTGATATTTGCTTGCCCGCGACCGCCGCCGCCAGACCGCCCCACCGCTTCTGTTTTTTTGTTGGTTTTTTTCTCTCCTCTTCCCCGTGCCAGACCACGCCGTGGCCCGCGGCCTGCTCGCGCCCCCCCCCCCTCTTCTCAGTTCCCCGACGCTCGCCCCTCCCCTCCCCTCCCCGACCCCACAGGCTGTCGCCGTTGCTCATTGTGTGACATTTTCCTGTTTTTGGTTCTGCCCGCCATCACGACTGTCTGGGCAGTTGCCCTTCTAGTTTTTTTGGCTTTGTGCTCAGCTGTAAATATAATAAATTATGTTTTGGTTTCTCTCTTATTTCCCCCATGCCCCCCCCTCACCCCCCATCACCCATAACATTTTCTTGCTCCTTCACAAATATGGCATCATTGTTTTGTCCTTGCCATTCCTTGCCCTTCATATTTAAAAATGTTTGTACCCTAACCTATTCTTTTCAACACATCAATACAATAAAACCACATTTGACTTTCACATGCATCTCTTCTCCGCTTTCCGACTTCATTTTTCATTGACTTCTGACATCTATGAACCCTCGTGCACTCATAACCCGCTTCCTCTCCATTCTACCTCCTTGTGTCTATCCTGCTCTCAATGAACCACGCCACCACCCCCCCTCCCTACAACCCGTGAACCCCTGACCCTTTCCCACACAGATGAAGCGCAAGTCAGAGCACGGCCCTGACATGCGAGCCCTCTCCCCAGGCAAGAAGCCCTGCAAAGGGTCGGAACATCCCAGGTATGTTCCCACACGGAAGAATGCGAGAGGCAGATAACTGCTGTGTGGGTGGGGGAGGACCATTGGCTCTGGGTTGTGTGTGGGCCCAGGTCAGATCCGGTTTACTTTAAACATCAACTTTCAGTGGCCCATGCAAGGAATCTTGATCAGTTTTTCACGTACCTTTATATTTGTTTGCCTCCCTAAGCCAACATATTATTCAAGATGGTGAATCGGGTGCACGGCTGCCGCATGGATTTTGTTTTGTTTTTTTGTTATACCACATCCAAGATGGTTTTAGGATTAAACAAAAAAACACATTATTGTCCGTGCCTTTCAACACTGTGGCTATAAAGAGTGAAGGAAATCCCGGCGCATTTGCTGGTGGTTATTTTGCCTGAGACGGCGCCGCACAGCCCCATCCTCCCATGCGCCCAGCCTCTAAAGCCCTTTTCCTGCTGCTGCCACAATTCTGCGCTGCCGTTTTGGGGGGCTGAAAATCCCTTCGTGAAAATGTTATATGGGGCGCAAAGCCGTGCGCGATGCTGTCACCTCGTGCTAGTTTGCGCGGCTGTGAATTTAAGCGCACTCTCAAGTCTCTCCCCAGCACGCAACCAGCAGGTTGCCTAATATAAATGCCCATACTTCTTCTGTGTAATTTAATTAACAAGAACAAAAATTATGCATTCCCCACAGAGCTTTTCTTTCGTGCTCTTTCCATTTTTGGAATTTCAAACATTCGTGCGCTGTTTCTTTCCGAGGCTCGGGAAAGAATCGTGTAAATGGCTGGATGCCAGGCAGCAGAGGACAATGCTACTGATGTCTGCAACGACATAATTGCGTTTTGTCTTTAATTGTCCAGATATCCATGGCTATCTTTCCATGACCGTGTAGCCTGACTTTGCATATTTCTTGTCTGACCGACAGACGGGTCGTTAGTTATTCTGAAGTGAGTGCTAAATTATAATTACCTGACCTTGGATTAGAATAGGAGAGCTACGAAGAGAAAGAATACGGGTAATCTTTCAATTAAAGTGCTTAATATTTTTAGCCAGAAAATCTAATTAGTGCAAGATCTGCTTGGGGGACTTCATGGTGACATTTTAAGACTTGTTTAAAGTCGTTATATATTAAACATCATGCATGATCAATCAAATATAATGCGATTTGTTGAAAAGATAAATAACTTAGCAACCAGAAAATATGTAATATCAACACACTCAAACACAAACAAAGCAACCTTAGTATCAGGATCGCTGAAGGGGACATGAGCTTAAATGCTTTAAAAATGTCAGAAGGGTCAAGAAAAGAATTTGAAATTCTTAGTTTTGAAGGGTCCGAGCTCACAGTGGAAAAAGAAACTTAAGTCGGTTGTCTCGGCTCAAATGACGTGAAGGTTCGAAAGAAAAGCGTGGCCATCGCAGCAAAGCTGCCTGACGGAGTTGATCTCTTTATGGCCGGGGATGCGTAAGGGGGGTAATTCTGGTGTGACTGCAAAGTGGAGCCTTCCTTGTACCCCCTTCGGCTTCTCGCGTGTCTCCGCTAATTTTTTCACAAGACCACACCGCTCTCGGGTTTGTACGCGAGCCGCGGGGTCCTGCCCCCCCTCCCCGTCGTCTTGTAAATGCACTCTTGCATTCCTGCAGCGGCGTAACTCTTGTGAGAATCGTGCAGGTCAAAGGGCATCCTGGCCTCCCCTGGAACTGTGGGGAGAGGGGGGGGCAGCGGTGTGTGTGGGTAGCGTGCGGCTCCGGGCCGTGCAGATCTCTCCTTCTGGAACCGTGTGCCTGGAATAGCTGTCAGTTCTTTCGGCAGTGGCCTCATCAGATGGCAGTCGTGTGAGATAATCTTGCCAGATTCGTACACTGGACTTTTTTTTATTACTATTTAATTTTTAGGTCCTCTCTTTGAAGGCTGGCGATATCTCTGCTTTGGCCTCTGGGTCCACGGTAATGATTACAACCTGATAATCATCAGCGGGAAGGAATGAGAACCATAAACACACTGCACATCAAAGTACATCGATAATTTCTGTGCATTTTTGTAGTCTGAAAAGGATCAAATGCAAAAAACATTTTTAAAAATACGAGAATTCCTATTTTTTTTAAGCGTAATGTACTTACAGCATCCCATTTTTGTGCTAACAATATCTCGTACAACCTGGCTAGCATTTGGTGTATTGTCATCATAACATTGTACTCGTAAATGTAACACGAGTGGTTTTAGGCAATTGCAGTATTGCTTTGCTGATGTCGCTTAACCGACAGTACCTGTAAAGTCGAGAGAGAGACAGCAACTGAAGTGAAGAAACAGGGGTAAAATTATTGAGCATTTTTTGCTCGGTGAACCTGTTTTATTCCGATAGTCAAACATCATTTCCTCCCATTGCCCTTGCAGGCCACGTTGGTAGACGGCACTGCATCCTTTCCCGTTTTTTGGATTTTGTGTTTTTGTGCATGAAAGAGGAACGAGCTTCTTCCTGTTCATTAAAATGAGCTTTAGACCAGCGTCTGTCCCGAGGATTCCAAAGCACACAATATTGCACGGCAACTGTAATGAAATATTCATCATTTTATTCCTTTTTTATTGGTACACGTTATTGAATTGTTTATTTTCATTGCTCGCAGCATAAGTGTAAACACATTAACGTGTACTGCATAATTCCACGGCACATTAAGTGTACGGGTGACAGTGTTAGGTTTGCCAGTGACAGTTGGCGCATTCCATTCTCACGTTGGGGTGCACCGGAGGCAATGATGATGATATTTTTATGGTGACGATGCACAGTCGCTGGCTTTTAAAACATGTCTGGTGCTCGTGTAGTGCCCTAGCCATACCCTTCGGCAGACGATGGCGATGACCGTGTGCGTATTTGCTAGCTTTTAACGCGTCCGCTATTTTACCGTTGCTGCCTCAAGTCACGCGCTGGGCTCGCTGCTGCCGTGCACGAGCGTGCCGACGACGTTCGGGGAGCTGCGTGCGGCGAGCGGACAGGGCCAGGGCTCCTCCCGTCGTCGTCTCGCGGGCGTCACTCCTCCCGCGGAGCTGCAGGACTGGCTCAGGACCTTCCAGGTAAGAGGCCGCGAACCCCGGCCGCGCGAAATCTCGACGTCCTCTCTCGCTCGTTCGTCGTCTCGTTTTTCCTAAACGATTTAAAATGAAATTACGGCAACGTCAGTACGTTTATTTTTTATTTTAAAACATGATTTGGCTCTCGGGGAGACGTGCATCTACCGTCAGAGTCATCGCTTTAATTAAACTCCTTGCGGCCTTTTTTAATGAAAAGGATTTCATTTATGAAAAATTAAAAGCTGAACAATTAACTAAAAGGCCCGCACTGCTATGGCTGTGTTGCATATCGATGTTAAACGCCACAGCTTCCCTTTAAACAATGCCAATATCCACCGCGATGAAACTTTGTGGGGATAATTTGCGGAGAGAAAAAAAACGCCTCTGCATAAAAACACAGTGAGGCACAGTGGGAAATATCAGCGCATAATCCCTTTGCTAGGTTATTAGTAAACAGGGCCTTGTGAACCTTAGCACACTGGTGTGGGTCAAACCAAATGGAATTAAAGGAGTTATTAAAAAAAATAATTAGATAATGTAGTCCACATGATTCCTTCTGTGGGTTTTTTTTCCTCCTGCACTGTCAATCTTCCAAGGTGAAAAATCTAGAGCAGCAGCTACAAACTACTGAAGTATAGAATTTAATCAAATACAATTCAATAGAGAAGAGCACACAGCCACCTTGTCCTGTTCCCTGCTAAACGCTAGTGCAATACTCGTGTTTGACATGCAAAATGCACAAGTGCTTTAACTTCGATGTGTGAGATTTATTTATTATATGTTGCCACTCGGCAAGCATTTCCCATTTTCGCTGTGCTTCTCAGGCAGATGCATAGTATGATGCCGCTTGTTGGGTGGCTTGATGGCCTGTCTGGGGTTTGGACAAGCAAGAGCCGGGAGCCCTCGCGGATGTGATTGCGTCTCCGTGTTTGCGCGGTCCAGAGTCTGTCAGACTGACACTCGACTCCCCTTGCCTGTTACTGAGCCAGCCAGAAGAGATGGCCTCCACTGTTCAATCGATTGGTGTAATCGTCTCCATCATCCTACCTCTCTGTTCGCTCTCTCTCTCTCTCCTCTCTCTCTCCACTCTCTCTGCATCACTGTCCGTCATGGAGCTAAAACAGACCCGGCCATCTCATCTAATTTTTTTTTTATCGAAGCTACATCGATCAATGCGGTGCGCTTGCCTTTTCCATTCCCGAGTTGCGTACTACCCATTGCATTACCAGCCCAGGCCTTGGCTTGGATGCGACAATTTATCTCCTGTATTCCCAGATTATTTTTCACAACAAACCTACGCCTGCTTTCGTTTGTCTTTCTGTTCGTCTTGTTTGATTGATTTGTGTGCGTGTTTGTCAGCCTGTGTGTGTGTGCGCGCGCTCATCTGTACTCGAAATGGAGTGCAGTGTCTTATTTATACAGTGCCGCTTTGGTCAGCAGTTCATTGTAGTGATTCATTGTCCACGTAGAGAAGTGCAGGCACAAACCACACTGGGGATGTATTTGTTTTGTTTTAATGCAATCGCAGTGCAGTCAGAATGAATATTATGCCGCCTACATGAGTGCTGCTTCGTACAGAGAATTGTATTAGTGTATTAACTACAGGGAAGCCATGGTAAGCCAGACCAGGTTGGCTGATAATAAAATGTGTCTTGTGGATTAAATGGAAGAAATCTAAATGTAATCAAATAATTGGCACACAACAAACATTGTAGAATAATGTATGTAATGTATACAGGAGAAATATTCTTATCTGCTGTCGCGAAACCTATTATCCGCTGGGGTTGTCTGCCATTTGACTCCTCTTAACCATTATAATAATTAATTATACATCCAAAGGGATTTACCTTGAGACTAAGCTGCACTTTTATAAGCAAGAATTAAACTATTGTTCTCAAAAGCTCAGTTCAGTTGTGATCGGATTTAACAAAAAATGTTAAATTATTCACTTGCTAAGGAAACTCATTTATCATGGAATTGGGCCCTTGCCCCACAATTATACATTTTCATGGAGTTCTCAAAAGTAGATATTTGGGTCTATAGCTCAACCTATTGCCACGATGACTTGAGCATAAAAGTAAAGGCAGAAGGTGTTTTTTTGTGTAAAAAAAAAACGAATACCTCTGACCGTCGGTCCTGGCCGTGACGTGACATGGCGTAGCGGTAGCACGTTCGCCGCTTGTTGCAGAGGTTCGCGGTTCCAACCCAGCGGCCACTCCAATTAATACTGCGGCTATAAATTATGATGAATCTCGTAACTCTACACGCCATCTGCTTCACGGCGGACGCTCAAGATCCCCTGACATCATTCTCAAGAGTAGGGCCAGTGTGCGCCAGTGTTGGCCCAGTTGACAGAATAAAGCCCCAGGTCTATCTTGCAAATGAGACTTCATCCCGGTCTCTTGATTGCTTACCTTAGCCAAATGAAATCAACTTAAAACGTGACCCTACTTCCTCTAGTTTTTTTTTACTGAATTAACGATTGTGCCATCGCACGACCGTGAGGATTGGCGACAGTGTGGATAGATCGTGGATGATGATGATGACACACTCGCATGTACAAACAAAACGGGCTGGTTTGAGCGCAGAAGGTGGGTTCTTTGTTCGAGAAGTGTGGAGGCTTTCTCAACATTTGCTGAGAAATGGATCTTCAGGGTGTTTGGAATTTGCCTCTGTTAAAAGACGTTCATTGACCATGGCTGCGTGGACCCATTCCGTCTGTGACACTCGCAAGCGGGCGTTGCCAATCATAACGATGATGTTTGCAACCCCCCGCACTCTGCCTGTTGTTTGTATTCTAGAGCTGGAGTGGTCCAGAGCGGCTGCTGGCGCTGGATGAGCTCATAGATCGATGTGAGCCGCCGCAGATCAAGCACGTCATGCAAGTCATCGAGCCACAATTCCAGAGAGACTTCATCTCCCTCCTGCCCAAGGAGGTACGTCCCCCTTGTAATGGCGTGTGCTACCTTGTTTGCCTGTGCGACTACGTCGCCCAGAATGTGGCCTGCTCTTGTTGTCACTTTAAAGCTAAGCAGGGTTGACTCTGGATGGTGCTTAGATGTGTGACCACCACGCACTAAACAGGTTGTCATCGAGCAGGGGGTTTGCATCTGCAGCTCCGGAGCCGCGTGCGGCTCTCCAAGGCCCACTCCGTGACGTTCTTCACCACACAGTGCATTGCGGCTCTTTGATGAATTGAGGGGTCTTTTTTTATCGAATTCGAAAAAAATGCCTTTTGATATTTTTGTTGCTAACCCCTGTTAAATGGCTACAGAGCTGCATTGTGAGCAGTAGGACGCAGTGCAGAAAAATTATTTTGTTATTTCGTCCTTCTCAGCTTCCGTGTCTGCGCTGCGCACAGCCGCATTGACCAGCGTGGTGAAATATGGTCCAATAACCCCCATGACTGCACCTGCGCAGGCATGGCGAGGCCCTCCGAGAGCAGTGGATCGACGTGCACATGTCACATGTCACTGCTGCCATTATGTATTCATTCCGTAGTTGTAATTTAAATCTTTGCCGAGCCTTGGCACGGTCGCGTTATGTTAGGCCAGTGACTGTGACCTTCTCGTGATTGTTATGGTATCGAGAGAGATGAGAACAAATCAGAAACCGTTAAACAGAGACAGGATTGCTCAGGAACACGAGACAAAGTGGAAGAATATTAACAAATTACCCCTGTGTGTTTGTGCGTGTGTTGACGATGCGTCCTTCATAAATTAATCCATTCGCTGTAATCTAAAACTTTTCGCACGAGTTGTTTATTTGATGAACATTATAGCCCTCTTTATTTGTTCGGAAAACCCGTGTGATTGCTAATGTTCGTTTTATTTGCCTGCAAGTCCCTCCGACGATGACGGCGACGTAATGTACTGAGCTTGTAAGAAAGCAACACCTTTAATAACCTGTGGTCCCAGCAGTGTTTGCCGATGGCTCTAATGTTGAAGCACTTGTCCAGTCCCAGCATCTCCTCAATACATTTTCACACTCACACAGAGAGAGTGTTCTACCCATGAACTGCATGTAACGTATTATACTTGCCGATCTGACTCAATAACCACTACAGTTGAGATTTCATCTAAAATATCCACTTTAGGTTTTTCTTTCCTCTGTTGCTATTTTGCATTGCGTTTGCAATTTTTCCACGATTTTTTTTATTCCCCCACCCCCCTCTTATTCCTGCGTTCTGTTGCTGTAATTTATTGTGCCGGCTTACAGCATGACCTCTGACATCTGACTTGCCAATCTTGGAGTCCGTTCTTTCCATCTCTCTAATGCCATGTAACGTTAAGAGGGTCCCTCCACCACAAGTCGACACGGCCAGGAGGTTGCACTCGGCAAAAATGAGAGTGGACGGGGGTTTGAGAAACAAATAAATAAAGGCGCCTGGATCGCGCGAACACTGCCGAGGGCTGGCGTGCTGAGGGTTCCAGGATAGCTTCCCGTTGCGGAGTTGTAAACTAAGCGAAAGCTAATCAGAAGAACTGGGCACTGAAACAAAGGGGCAGGATGCTTTGGCCCACTGTTTTTCAGCGGTGGGAATAATTCATTAGGGTAAAGTCGCTATGGTGATGATGGCCGGCAGCTATGGCAACTCAAACTGATTGGCTGTAGTGCGCCGTGTAGGGGCAGCGCTCCGTCATGAATTGAGTGGCCGGGAGCGAAGGCTAGCCCTCGCGAGGCAGCGCTGTCACTCGTCACGACATCACTCTGGAAATTCACTCATTAATTCAATGCTCTGTTAGCGCGTTCATTTATTATTTGTTTAAAAATTAACATACATTGTATAAATATGACGGATAATCTCTCTGCCTTCGGACTGGACGCTCTCCATTTGCCGACGGAAATTCGGTGCCGCCAAACAATTCAGGGCTGGAAATGCATTTTATTTTTCCCCGCAATGCATTCCACGTGTAATTGTGGGATGCGGAGCACACTGAAGGATGCATTTTACTGACACCGATTATTAGCCAGATGCATCTGTGCATGTGGCTGCACTGTAACATTCCTTATTTCACAGGTGCCGTTCTAATCCAAGCTATTTTTACTTGCAGCCCTCAGTCATTGGCAGGTGTTTCTTGGATACGGACACGCTTGGGTTATCAAGGGGTTGCAGAATTTTGCTTTGTGTGAATTCCCATTTATGCATCCGTTTGAATTGTCCGTAATTTTTTTCCTCCATGTGTTCGTGTTTTGCAAAAGCGCGCACAGATTGGTTTGCTGCCTCTCATTATCGCAGATGTTGTCGTTGACATGTTGATATTGGTGTAATGGGCTTCATAGTGAAGGTGCATTGCATGAGAGAGCACCATATACACACACAACGTGCCATACATTTGAGACGAGCTACATATTGTACGCTCTCCACTGCTTTGTATTTATAGGAGAACAGCAATGTCTTGATGGAGCAGGAAAGCAAAATTCGTTCAATTGAACCGTTAATTGTAACATTTTTATCACGTGTTTAATTGTCATTTTGATCGAGACAAGTCACGTGTGTAAGCCGCCACCGCGCCGTTCTGCTTGGTGCGTGAAATCGCGATGGGGCCGTCCTCACCTGACAAATCCGGGTTGCTGCTTGAGGGCATTTAACTGCCAGATGGGGGTCTGTGTGCCACCCTGGCAGATTGTAGGCTGCAATTAACTTAAATTCCCTGCCTCTTGTGCGTGACGCACCCGATGCGCCCCCCGGATGCGCACGTCGCATCTGTGCTCCGCTGTTGGCTTAAGGAGTGAGCTCTAATGGAATTTAGCCGCTTCACAGAGAGCCATTTACATTTCGTAATCTCTAAACGTTATTGCCAAGTGTGAGCTTAAAGGCAATGGAGGAAATTGCATTCGTAGATATTATTGTTGTTGTGATTTTTTTTTTTACCACGATGCAAAATGTTTTGTACTACAAATGAAAAATGGTACCAAAAAAAGAATCAATCCTCACTAAGCTCTGTATTCTACGTGGGTAACTTTTATATTTTCCACGCGGCAGATTAAGGTGAGCAAGTGAAAAAGGGCGACGCGCACAATGCGTGATTATAAACATGAGCATTTATAATGAGATCCAACAACATTTCTCCCACATTCCTTAAAGCTCTGCGTTCGGTAGCGCGTTTGTTTGGATCACAGTCGCCACGCTCGCCTTGCGATTCGAAGTAGGTGTGATATTTTCTAGGTGTGCAGCTGAAAAAAGCTCCAGTGATAAATCGCTTGGCCCTTGGGAACGATCAAAGAAAGGTATTGGTTATAAACACGGTAATAAGGCATGCAGATTGTACATCAGTTTGTGACGTGTCATAATTTTTGTGCTCTCGCACATTTTTTGCCAGCAACATTGAAGCGCCCTTATAATTGTTATTATAAAAAAAATGAAATGTAGGTTAGCTAAGGTCCCAAAGGCGTAGTGGTTTCATACTAATGAATTGCTGATATGTACAAAAAGTATATACTCAGAAATACACATCAGCATTCAAACTTAGAGCATTTGTAATCTCCAAAACACTGTTATATTTACGCCTTCAGTTCAAGCTTACGTCATGCTGCTCTGTGTCTTGTAGCTGTTTCTTGGTGGGGGTGGGACTGTTTTTTTTTGCGTAACCCCCTGTAAAAGTCACGCCATCTGTGTCAACAGTTGCTTAATTGGACTTGCGGCCAGGGTGTAAGCGGCCCCCACAAGCCATGAGGGCTCATTGGGGACCAGCTACCGTTTGACCCCAGTGGCCTCTTGATGGCCTCTTTGGTCCCATCTGTGAGACCAGAAATCACTTCCCCCTCCCCTCCCAACTGTGACCACACAGGGGAGCATGGGGGGGCAGCCACTGCCCCCCTCACAGTCTTTCCACCCCCCGCTCACTTAATCGTGAGCTCCCTTCTGGATCTGCGCAGTGCTGGAGGTCACACGTGTTGTTGCAACCGGTGTCGAAAATTAATTTGTCGGCCTCATCGCTTCACCACTGTTATTTGCTGGTGGCTCTGTACTCGGGGTCAATCTGATGACGGGCGGGGGGTCCAAAATAAATGGAACAAGGGTTTCTGAAATCACTTGTAAGGGGTTACTGTGGTTTTTTGCGAAGAAACCTTTCCAAAATTAGTGTTCATTAAACTTTTATTAAAGGAGCTCCAGTTACCCTGGATGTAGATGTAACAAGGAGAATAAGATCACATATCCGATTTTAACATCTGATTTATTGCCAGAAAGGTTAAGCATATTCTTATTTTTTCATAATTTTTCATATTGGCAATAAGGTCCCATAGATATTACTGCTCATCCCGAGATATTAATACGTTGATATTTGCATTGCCTTTGTACTGTTCGCCGTTTGGTGTTTTCTGGTCTAACACGGGCAGTGAGACAAGTCCATAAAGAAGGCTGTCTCTGGTGTAGGCCAATCCATTTCAAAAGACGGTGCATATATTACCGGAGCATGTTTGTATGCATGTTTTCCCACAAGTATGTGTGGTTAATGCAGACTTGATGCCTTGTAATAAGTATATATTTGGCGTTTGAACATATCAAAGCCTAATCTTGATTTGAAGCTTTCGTTACTGAAGGTATATTTTATTTTATACCTACGTGACTTTAACCATAGAACCACAAAGTATATTAACGCCTGTTTTATTGCCAGAAAGGGTAAAGCGTCTTATTATTTTTCATAATTTTTTATACTGGCGAGAAGGTCTCATCAATTCATATTTCTCGTGTTAATTTAATCGAGAAGAACGCAGTGACTGTCAATCTGGCGAGCCGAGTTCGACTCCTGGCCGCCGCTAACATCCGTGACGCTTGCCAGCATGGGTGAAGTATGGTCAAGCGGCCTCCATGACCGAAAGGGTGTGGGTTAGGCTTCACTTAGCAGTGTTTTGAGAATGGGCTAGAAATAGTTTATTCAAACGTAAATGTATTTTTATGGTAAAAGTATTATTATTTCCATAGACGTGATGATATGAGTTTAGCATACGCAGGGTGAATAGGAAGGTCTCATTTTTCTCGGACAGTTACACCCTACAATCAGTTCAAGCCAATGCAGGTGATTGTCCCCCATGCAGTCTAAGCAAGGTCGATGCAAGAGAGCTCACTACACCTTCAGAAGTGTGTACCGTCGTCAATTACGCAGATTGTCACCTTGCCGACGACGAACTAAGCCGAGCAAGGTCGAGAAGCCGCCCTAGCCCATCCTGGTCCTCCGGTGCCAAGAGGCGGGCGCGCGCGGGGCTCTGCTGCGCATTATTCAGGGCGTCGAGCAAATTTGAATCTCATGCTGCGGATGGGGCGGTATGGGTAGTGAGGGGGGTCGGTGTGTGTTGCGCAAATGGTAATCCATTAGCTCACGGTGGCAGCGTGTCGAGTGAGGCTGCCCAGATGAAGGGGAACAATTTCACCAAAGGTGGAATATCGTGACAAGCACCGCGACCCGCAAATTGTGCGACGGAATTAGAAGTGCTGGCTGTTAGTTTAGGGAACTCGTCAGCCGTGTGAATGGCCGCCGCCGCTGCTTGGTTACTTGTGACCCCCATCCCACTGCCAGGGTTGCGACGGGTTGCGATGGGGGTCGCGTAGAATCCACATTGGCACACGGGTGGACGAAGCATTTTTCGCAATCGGCGCAAAGCCAAATTCACCTTTGGCCACCGTGCTGTGAAACAAGACATTGTTTTTCTTTTCACAGATGAAACGGTATCAAGGCAGTCTTTTCAGTCCCAGTTTACAATATTATTTTTTCTGTTTGCATCTCATTGCTATTCTTTCCTATTTGCAGTTCATCACTGCGAGCCTTTGAAGGTGTGAACCCTGTGTGAGACCATGCCCGCTGCATGGATGCGTAATGAGATGGAGAGTTACTGGATTTGTGTAAACAGCTGACCCATGGGAAGGGGCGCGTGTGCCACACATGCAAAGCGAGCAGAATGAATTAGTCTTGAATCGAGCTTTAACTCCACGTACTCTTTCAATGCCGACAAATTTTACGACAAACGTTGGCATTTTGTTTTTAAAATCAAAACGAAATCCTCACGTCTTCCTCCTACAAACGTTGACGACGAAGGCATCGCGAGCACAGGTCGTAATACACATTTTGTCCACGTCCAACGTTTCACGGTGTTTCTACGCTGTCCCAGCCTAACACGATATGACACTGCGCTGCTTTCACAAGGCGTGGGCAATTGCTTCCGCTGCTTGCCCCTGCTTGCTTTGCTTGCATTTCAGAAGGTATACGGCAGTTTTACGGTACCTGAAGTGACATGTCCAAATGATGAGACCGCGTGTTTGATTTGTGTAAAGGGGTCGCTTGCCACTTCGCTTTTTTATTCTGGGGCCAGTCATTTTAGCTGCAGTTTTGCAGCACTGCAAGGCTCCCATAAGATGTGCGAATCCAACACGGAGGGCAACTCATTTTACATCTAATCAATGAGGTTCACACGTTTTAAAGAGAGTCATTGTCTACGTGACCTAAACCGCACTGTAATAATTTTCTGTCACAACTAATGTGAACACATTTGCTGTATGTCAAGCAACTTAAAGAGCCGTATGTTTCCCCCCCCCCCCCCCGCCCACCACCTGCCGTCAGTTCATTTGCAATACGATAAATTCTCCGGTACTTTACAATTCTCGTGAAAGGTGACACTTTTCTCCCATTATCGTTTCTGACAATGGCACGGGGTAATGATTACTGATGGGGGCGCTGCCTAAGATATCGGCCACGCTGCTTCCACGTGCTGCGTTTCAGATTCCACGGGTCGAATGTGCGCGTACGTGGTGAGAATTTTTCCCGCACGAGGGTTGGTCGAGAGGTGTTTAAAATGGGATATTAAAGGTCTGCGCGCGATCGCACATTTGCATGTAATTCACTCGCCGTTATTCGTATAAAGTACCTGTGACCAAATCCCCCCCCAGATGGCATCAAGCCTCGGAAACTCCGCAGGTTTTAGCTTGGATAGCCCTTGGATGTGTTCGCATGATACAAAACAGGTTGCAATTACAGATAGGTGCTGGAGAGTAGCAGACAGTGCATTAAAATCCGTTGTTGTATTGTACTTGTATGCCCCCCCCACTTCAATGCTCCCCTGTCATCAACTCGCACACACGAATGTGGTGAAGTATAGTCAGATAACTCTCAAGAACTGCATGTCATGGGAAGGCCATCATCCATATCGAACAAAGGGCCACGTGTGTACAAATGGGCAATTACTTGAGAAAAAAAATGTATTAGCACCTAGCCTTTGTGATTACCTTTGGTGTAACATTGAGTAAAGTGATTGTGTGTGAAAGCTGCTCATGAAGACCGCCGTATTAATGTGGCCACCATGGATGGCAATTTCTTCCTGTTTAACCGTGTCTCTGCATTGTTACCCGTTCCCGCTTTGTGGGCAGCTCGCGCTCTACGTGCTGTCGTTCCTGGAGCCACGGGATCTTCTTCGAGCGGCACAGACCTGTCGTTACTGGCGCATCCTGGCCGAGGACAACCTGCTGTGGCGGGAGAAGTGCCGGGAGGAAGGTACGGATGATAAAAACTCTAAACATCCCCTGTGTAGCCTACGGAGACTGTCAGGGGAAAAGGCTTTCATCGAGCACCACTTTGTTGCGGACGGCACGGCTGCGTGGGGGAAGGGACTACTTTGGGCAGCTGGCACTCTCAGCCACATTTGTCTCCCGAGTGCTGATGTTTTTGCACACTGTACCAAGGTACTCATTTCAGGCTTGAGTCCACCAAATGGAGGACCAGAAGCGTGACTGATATCACTCGCCACTGATGATGCCCATGGCCGGGTATTGAACCCGGGTTCGAAGTACAGCGTGTTCACCACCACAGCGGTCAATAACAACGCCTTTTTGCCACAAAGTGATTGTGAAGTCACAACGCTGTTTGTGCCAAGCTAGGTGCACCTTGAGGCCATGTGAAGTGTTTTAAGGCTTGCTTGGAAGGCGGTTGCGGAATTCCACCGACACATGCATGCACACGAAAGCACGTTTAAACAACTACACAAGAACACACACTCGTACGGAGATAAGTATGAACTTAAAAACTCGCACATGTAAGGAGACAACTGCCCCTTAATGGCACTACCCACTTTCGTAAATTCACGTGAAAAATTCAATCATTAGAGTTCAGGTCAGGGTCCATTGCTGCTGCGGCAGTTTAACTTTTTCACCCGAGACAGTAAACGGTGCTGCTGTATTATCCCAGGTCACACAACTTTGCCAAATGTCATCGTTAATTTAATTTTAAGACACCAATTCGTACCGCACAACACTTGGGTGAGATGATTCCCAGCCGAATTAACCATTTAATATTTTAATTTAATTTTAACGTTTAAGGCCATCTGGATTCCTTTTTAGAATTATGTAAAATGTGAATATATTTATTTATTTTTGAAGGGAAAATAACAATGGTATACGTGAATGTGCGGGGGGAAATTACTGCTGCAAATATAGCAGCACTTTAGTGTGTGTCAGCGAGCCTGATTGGACATCATCCTCGCTGGCGTGGCTGCCACGTCTCTTCCTGAGCTGTTACTGACATCTTTGCTTTTGATGATATTATTTTTTTACGGACGGTCCCCGCCCCGTCTTTCCTTTTGCATAGAATATGTATCAGCGGAATACAATTAACTTATTCATTGGGTTGAAGAAAGGTCTTGAATATTTGTACACTTTGTTATCATGGCAAGGCTGCAATTTTTAATCCACTTTTATTTGCCACCTTCATTTTGATGGCATTTACCAACAATACTCTCGGTTTCAAGTCTTGAGCACAGCTTTCTTTCAAGGTTACAGTCTGAACTTTATGTTGCAGTCGGAGATAGCTTCTTTTATCAATTTGCTTTTATCCGTGTGTTCCGTCTCTTCTATTTTCTGTCACTCGGCATTGTAATAATGCAAAAAGAAAACAGTTATCCGAATGAGGAGAGGCTATGCAAGAGGGAATAGGGATATTTGCGACAGTGTGCCACCGGTTTGCATGGCCCTGAGGCTGTGAATAATTCAGCGCTGTTCAAGCGCAGGAATTTTCCATTTGCAGAAGATGAGGGAAAAAAAATTCGTATTTATTTTCTGAATTTGTTCCCGCTTTTCGGAGTGGCCTTTTCTTTGTATTGATAATACCATACCCAAAGAAATGCACAAATTATACCCATAGTTTTTACCTGTCCATATTCTCATCTCCCTAAATACACCCTATTTTCAGTGGAAAACTCTATTGTCAAAGTAATCTTTGTGCCGTACTATTCCTGAGTTGTATAAATGTTAACCTCTAACGAGCCTGCGCTGTAATAATTGTAAGGTTCATATTATACTCGAGCAATGTTATCACTGGATTAAAGATTGTATCTCGGACTCCACAATCAAGGTGGATCTAGATGCACGTAAACGTTTCAGAGCTAAAGGTGCAGCCGTGCAATTTCTTGCACGTGGAACTGCTGGCAGAAGGGCCTCCGTTAGAGTGAACCTCTGGAGGGTGTTTAGTCTCCCTTTCGACGTTGACCAGACGTGTAAATGTATCTCAGAATCTTTATTTAGACTGGATGAATCCGATGGGCTATGAAGCTCTTTGGTCACAGATGTCCAGCCGTGGAAGGTCGGCAAATTACAACAGCAAACAATACAAAAAAAACGATTGGGCGCAAAATAGATAAAATGGTAAGCAAGTCACTAAATATAAATAGATGCTTAAGACGCTACAGGTAAACCGCGTGTGACATCTCGGTAGCAAGATGTTAACTACCTCGCCTGGTATACAGGATGTCGTGGGTTCGATCCCGACCCTGATACCTCTATTTTTGTAGATTACATGTCTCTCTCCCCGTGGTCGCGTGGATTTTTCTTCGGGTCCTCCGGTTTTTCCTTCCACATTTAGAAACATGCATTTAAAATGTTTGGCCGTCATACATTTCCACGTGATAAGCCACTTCGATGAGCTAGCATTTGTGGCCGGGTTGCTTCTGAAAAAGAGCTATTTAGCTCAACAGGCCATACCTGGTAAAATAAAAAATGGTTTAATTCTGTGTCTGGAGGTACCGGCTCGTAGTGCGAGGGTGGCGCTTGACCTGCTGCGTTTCCTCCCCCCCCCCCCCCCCCCCAACGACTTGCCAGGTCTCGACGAACCCCTCTACGTGAAGCGCAAGAAATCGGCCACGCCCAACTTCACGTACAGCCCCTGGAAGAGCGCCTACATGCGGCAGCACAGGATAGACATGAACTGGCGCTGCGGAGAGATCAGAGCTCCCAAGGTCAGCCCCAGTGCACGGCAAGGCTGCAGATTTCCTCTGGCCTCCACGCTTTGCCTGATAAGCGCTAGATTTATGCCCTTGGCCTCGTCCGCCTGTTCCTCGTGTGTGTGTGTTTTTTTGGTTCCTTCATTTTATTTTCTGCACCGGGGAGTCGAACCGGAGATGCCAGATTTATGGTGTTTGTGGCTCATTTGATCAAACCGGGGCTTGGCATGAATATACAACGATGAACGCTGCACGCACCCAGTGCAGAGCTGCAAATGCATTGTAATGTGCTAATGCAACGCGTTGGATGTTTGCAAATGTACTGTCATGCTCCCTGATTTAGTCGTGGCATTAATTCTGGAGTTAAACAGCCGATCATTGTTTTTATTGTTTCTGCACAAGTGCAAACTCGATGTGCTTTATTCCAGTGGCACATCTATCGCTTTTATTCCTGGAGACGATCTATTGTATAGACAGTCACTGCGTTTACTCAGGTAATTGAAGCTCTTGGTTTATTGGAGAGTAAAAAGAAAAAGACACGGATTAACCGCAATCCATCGATGAGAATTAATCTCCAGAAATGTTTCGCTTTAACTTGGTTAAATGTGGTGAGCGATGGTAGCTCACGCGCCTCCGTCTTGTCACAGGTATTGAAGGGGCACGATGACCACGTGATTACCTGCCTGCAGTTCTGCGGAAACCGGATCGTCAGCGGGTCGGACGATAACACGCTCAAAGTGTGGTCGGCCGTCACGGGCAAGGTGAGAGAACGTGGGCAGCTGCCTGTGGCGCGAGACACTCGCACGGACGACCGCCCGAGGCTGCGGCAGCTCTTCCTGCCCTCCGCATTCATATTCCTCAGCACATGTGAGGTCTGCGGCATGGGGCGTCCTCTTTGTAGTCATAGTTTTGCAATGAAGGTTAAAGGCATAGCCCTGAAATTGCCTGATGACGGACGCTTGTGTTGCGCCCGAAACGTCGTGATTTTTTTTTATACCCACGTGACTTTACCGAAAGAACCAGAGAGTATGGATTCCTGCAGTCACGAAAGCTTCAAATCAAGACTGAAATTGCCTGTTCATGCCACTGCTTGCCGAAGGGCCTCTACTAGAGGGGACCTCTGGAGAACCCCTGTAGAGGATATTTGGCATGCTCTCTCACGCTTGTCAGACATATTGAAAGAGGTAGGGGGGTGCCCACACTTTACCCCACCACACACGGCCTCCACGATCGCCTGTGGCGTACGTACTGCTGATTATCCCAGTGCCTATCTAGACAGTGGGGGGGGGTTGAATTTTAAGACGTGTGCCCATTGTTTTGAATGCTGTGGTGGGTGGTGCGGTTGAAGCGGCGACGACCTCTGCATTGTGCACGTCCAGTGCGCTAGCCATCACACCACGGAAGCATCATCGCTGTAATGATAGTGCAGCATACCGCGTCTGTTATGCAGCTTGTCAATGGCTATTTTATTTTTCTCTACTGTCCCTTTTGTTAATCCGGTTCGCCTGCAATATTAAGTGGCCTCTTATTTCAAGACAGCCCTGCACTTTGCCTTGTTGCCATGGTGATGCTCATCAGGATTCTAGAATCAAGGGCTTGATTTTATTACATCCACCACTCTCTTATTTGTTTCATTTGATTATATATTTATTCTGCATGGGTGCGTTTTTCAAAATAATTTTCAGTGTTCTCCAGCGTGCCGTGAGATTGCAGATTGTGTTTATATTGTCCACTGTTGCGAGATTTCCATTAATCCCCGAGTACAAATGCCATCTGTCCCTTGTTCCCAGAAAAGTAGTTGGTCTTATGACATAATAAAGCAAGTATGGAGCATGGTAGAATAATTAAAATTACATCCGCAGAATCGTGTTAAACCCCTTGAGAAACGGCACTCATGGAATCCTTTTCTACGTTGATTTTTTCCATGGTGGTAAATATTAAAACATACTACGGTTTGGCACATACTGTGATTATCTTCGTGGGCCACCCTTAAGATTTGTTTATCTTTCATGGGCACAAAAAACCGTTAATGTTTATGAAAAAACAAAGCTAGCATTTATAAACAAGAGTGCACATTTTTATCATTAAAGCCAAGTCTCTTCCTTTGTAGTATATCAGATGAACAAAGATTTCATTCTTATCTGGCATATGCCACAAATACGCATGCCTCCACACACTGTAACAGACACGTCTTGTTCCACGCAGCGCCAACGATAAAGAAAAGAGCCGATCCTCCGTGGATATTGCTGTTTCCCCTCTTTGTTGATGTTTGTTTGCTTGTGCCTCGGCAGTGCCTGCGAACGCTGGTGGGGCACACGGGCGGCGTGTGGTCATCGCAGATGCGTGGCAACATCATCGTCAGTGGCTCCACAGACCGGACGCTCAAAGTCTGGAATGCAGACACGGGGCAGTGCGTGCACACGCTGTACGGACACACGTCAACTGTGCGCTGCATGCATCTGCATGGAAACAGGTGCGTCATCGCACACACGCGCACGACACACGAGCACACATCCCCGCACGTAACCTTGCACGCTGTCGAGGCCAATCTTTTGTCGGCATTGATGTGCAGCCACTTTGCAATCCATTTTTCTGCACGAGGGCCTTCTCCACGCCATGTCGGTCGTTGGGGTTTGTTTGACCATACTTCACCACTCTGGTCAGTGCGGGTTGGTTCAGGGTAGGGGTGATTCAGATATCGTTCACCACTGATGTTAGCCATGGCGAGGAAATGAATACAGGTCAACAAGTTCAGAGTTAGTAGGCTGACTCCTGCGCCTCTGCTCCCCCCTCATCTTCTGTATTAGTAAGCGTATATTTCGAGCGAAATGCTGATGGTTCCACACCTTACCAAATACCCATTTAAGGATAAGTGAAGCCTAGCACAGGGTTCAGATGTCACATGTCACTGATTTAATCTCTGACTGTGAAATGAACCCCACCAAAACCCACACACCTATCAGCAGCCACTGGAGAGCTTATTCCAGTGGCTACAGCTCGTCAAAATTTTGCGTGGGAAGGAAGTAGGAGGCACGTGCAAGGAAAATGTCATTTTAATAGAGCCATTTACCCAGGCAAAATAATTAATGTGATGCGTAAGGTCACGACATGAATCAAAGTGGCTTGCCAAAATTTGACGTCGTGTTCCGGATTGTAGCGTTTATTTTTGTAACGTTATTTACGTAAGCACTATTGCAGAAATGCCCTCCGCTCGGAGCTCTGATTTACATGGCAACCTTTCAATTCCTCAACATTTATGGCGTAGTGTAAGCATTCCTAATATGCATGCGATGCTGCATTCTCGCATTGATGGCGAAGGGGGCGTGGGAGGAATTTCACGAGGAGGAAAAAATTACCGGGCTGCGGATGCACTCGCATGACATTCGTCATCCGTAAATTGATTACCGCTTCCTTAATAGGAAATTGAAAATGTCATGCAAACAGTTGCCCACCGCAGTAATTACCTCTATATTATACGGCTCACATGAACGCAGATAATTGATTAATGTGGTTAGCAGTGCTGTATGCCAAAACAATGTAAATTTACGGTATGTAGCTTCGTCTGATTTTAGAAGTCAGTTTTAGTTTTGGACAGCAAAGATGGCAAGAGATATATATATATATGTGTGTGTGAGTAGTGTACTGTACGAGTCCTTGGGGAAATATTTTTTGTTTCCATGTGTGCGTGATGTTGTTCTGCTTGCTTCATATCACCTTCATATCTTTTTAAATCTCAAACTACAAAATCAAGGGCATAGTAAAGTGTGGGAATGTTCGTATGTTAATGTGCTTCATATGTTTCAGCTTTGCGTACAAAACTTGCACGAAAGTAATGATAACGTGTCCAGATTTATTTGTGTTCTTCATGGTGTGTCTATAAGTCAACCTTACAAGGTAATTTACAAAAGTAAACTGCCTTGTGCTATGCAGCCATCTAAAACATTTGTTCATTTCTAGCCTGTTGTGTGTATATATATTTTTACACACATTTGTACAAAACACGAAAGCGCTGCCTAATATTCCAATCTGGACAACAGGGTGAGGCTTTTCCACGCGAGTCAACGCTTCTGTTCCTATTCATCGAGGATGTTATTTATCCAAAGAACAGTGTAAACCGTCGATTTCTAGGCCTCTCGCTCACTGCCCCAGTCATTCATCCTGGTCGAGTACAAAAGCAACAAACAAACAAAAAATGCCAACGAACATTCTCAAGAAGGGTCATTGGATGAGGCATTTGCCAACCGTTATTTTGAATCAAGCAAAGCACTGCTAATGATGAAAGGGGATGATGTGTTTTTTGGTCTGTGTGCTTCTACGATACTTGCAATGCAATTCCTCAAGCTGTTACATTTATACAATATTTACATGCTGTGGTGGTTGATGGGTGGTGTAGAGAACACTGGACCATAGCTCTTCCTCTCCCAATCTTTGGACGCCGTTATCGGACTACGTCCAAGGCATCTCGTTCATCTGGTAGCTGTAGAACGCATCAAACGGCCTGACGACCTCTCGATTTGACGCGTCGCCACCCACGCAGTTCATCGACCAAACGGGGAGTTAGGTTTGAGGCCTTGCCCACGACCGGTCACCGCCCGCGCCACCGAAACACGACGTCGCGGTCACAAGTGGACGGATTTCCCCCGTTGCCCCATTTTGCCAGGGTCGTGAGCGGCTCCCGCGATGCCACCCTACGCGTGTGGGACATCGAGACGGGCCAGTGCCTGCACGTGCTCGCGGGCCACGTGGCGGCCGTGCGCTGTGTGCAGTACGACGGGCGGCGAGTCGTCAGCGGCGCGTACGACTACACGGTGAAGGTGTGGGACCCCGAGAGCGAGACGTGCCTGCACACGCTGCAGGGTCACACGAACAGAGTCTACTCGCTGCAGGTGAGCCGGCGTTCAATTTTTCCGCTACCCCACCGATTTTTTTTTACGATAAATGGTGCGCTGGCAACCCGGTAATTAAGGGGCTGATTCACGTTGTTGTAAGATGGGCCTTTTTGCACCGAACGGAGCACTGCTGTGCATTTCTGTCCCATTAGGTCTGTCAAGATGGAGCTCTTTTCTGAAAGGAATTGACCTATCTGCTAACATGTGAATTGAACCCTAATTGTGTAATAGGTTACAGCTCCGTTGTAATTGAGGAGTGGGAAATCAATTAGTCACTCCAGATGGCAGGTGCGCTATTATTTTTGTGAAATTTAAACCTTTCTTTTTAAGGATGTGTTTTGTTGTTCGTCATTGGAATTTGGCAACATGGATTCAAATAAATATTCCTAATGAGCCAAATGTGAGCTGCCATTTAGGTCATGATGATCAGTGCTTCGAATGTGCACCGGTTTCTTTTCATCCGTGTTTTTAACTGCACAACATTTAAGTTGACTCACTGTTTTAGTTCAATGGAAGCAACTAATTGATGAATCATTTCGACCTATAATAATGGCAATCAGAGTTGTCTCTGATTTGGCTACATTCAGGTGGGTGTAACTATTGGAGTGTTTGTGATTTGCCATAACGACAGCAAGTTATTGAACGCTGTGTCATCACCGCATTGTGTCAGTCATTGCATTGCTGTGCTCTCGCCGTACTATTGATTTATACGTGTGGACCACTTAGGATTCAGCGGTATTGTCTCAACTGTTTAGCTAAGTGGGTGGAACTGAACCCATTTGACATTAATGGGGTTTCGGTGACAAGTCTATACCTTTTGGACTGTGCAGCTGGTGCACAACGGCCCAAAATTGCTCCAAATCACCCGGGAACACACAAGCCACCTAGTAATTACGAGCGCTGGCCCACTATCACTCCTGCTGCACACGTGCCGGAGAGAGATTGGTCGTACGCACCACTATGGCACGGATGTGTCCGCCGCGGTCTCGTCGGTCTGTCTCTTGCAGTGCGGCGCCGCAGGTTGGTTAATTTAGACTCGCACGCTTTCGCAGAATTCACAACAATCCTGACTTTCCTGGGCCACCTTGCTTGTTAAATTAAAGCCACTTTATTTCAATATTCACCTGTTTTATTACTTGGTCATTCAACGTGACGAAATCGCGCGATTACACACCGTTGTACCCTTATTGGCTTAGTGGCGTAATGGCACAGCCTGGCAGTGTCAGTTTAGGGTGATTTGGCAAATATAGACTCCAATATAGAGAGCGTCTATTAGCTGAGAGTGAGAGCCCGTGGAATGGGAGACATCTTTCGAGGAGAGGCTTGCACCGAGTGTTATCGCGAGTAATGCAAACGATTTCTCGTCTGCACATTATATATATGCGTGTGGAATTGAAGCATCGTGCTTGCCCTTCAGCTTTTATTGTCTTTGTCAAAAAATAAATAAAGGACCGCTACGGGTGTGATAGAATTGTGCCATAGCCGTTCCCAGCACGTTCCAGCTCCGTGTGCAAGCCTGCGAAGCGTCAGGCTCATTAGTATCTTATTTGCCGGGCTGTAACCGGAACATTAAGATGGATGGCCACCTAGGGTCTTGGCCGGCTTGTGGGTAATTTTAGACAAGAGGAGTGCAAATAGAGATACTTGACAGATGCAAAGTTATGCCCTGACCGTTGTCCAATGGTGGCCCAACACTAGATCGCTTTTTTAATCGTGATTGTTTGAATAAATATGTTGCGATGATTCTTAATTCATGACCGTTTGGTTTTCCGTCGCCGCCCCCCCCCCACGACACCCACCCACCCGTCCCCGCGTCACGCGCAGTTTGACGGTGTGCACATCGTGAGCGGGTCGCTGGACACCTCGATACGCGTGTGGGACGCCGAGACGGGCACCTGCTTACACACGCTCGTGGGCCACCAGTCGCTCACCAGCGGCATGGAGCTCCGGGACAACATCCTCGTGTCGGGAAACGCAGACTCCACCGTCAAGATTTGGGACATCAAAACCGGCCAGTGCCTACAGACTTTGCAAGGTGGGATTATGGATACAATTTTACGATTTCTTTGTTGCGTCACGTTAAGTTACATTTTAAGTAGATTTTTGAGATGGTAAAGATGCCTCGGATGTTTCTGGTGGAGCCGACTGGCTTGGAGGACACGGGCCTGGCGCTGCTGAGATCCTGAATTCAAATCTGGGTTTCAGACACCTGTGATTAAATTATGTTCTCAAGTGAGTTGATTATCTCAACCCAATTACCATTATCTGCATGAAAGAAACCATCATTAAATTTAGTTTTTTGAACCTTTGGCTAATTTGCAGCTCTGAGAATTTAAAAATATCAGTTTGATAGTTATGCAATAGTTTTTACTGTGTACCAGGCCAGGTGAGAGTTCTTTTGCCTGTAGCGAAATCTGTTGGAAGAAGTTCTGTGAAATCTCCTGACACAGACTGTTCGCTCACAGGGCGTGGTGGTGATGCACTGCTCTGAGAAAAGTCAGGATGGATTCTTTATCTCATGATATGACCCCCATATAGCACAATCAATATAACATTTGGGGGGAAAAGATTAAAGAAGAGTTAAGGTTAAACATAGGGTTAAGCAATTCCATTTGCAACAGTATTACATTCCAAATATGTTTCGAGAGAATGCACATTACCGAGTAGTACGCAATATGAGTTTGAACGAAATAATAATAGCATATTCGAGGGGAGCGGAGAAAAAGCCAGGTAAAGCCACTTTAACAAAAAACAATCTTAGTGCTATACATGTGCCTTGTCGTCATTAAACAGTACCTGTAAAAAATGCAATTGGCCCATCATGTTGCGGTTCGATTCATGTTCGTGGTGCTCTTCTGGGATGGTTTTTTAGCATCATTCAGTGTCGAGTGTTAATTTATCCATATGGGAGTCTCTATTAATGCAATTTCTTTGTTTGGATTCTCTTCCCTTCACCTCCTCCGTCTTCAACTCGCCGTCGCCGCGTTGCCGCAGGGCCGAACAAGCATCAGAGTGCGGTGACCTGCCTTCAGTTCAGTCGCAAGCTGGTGGTCACGAGCTCGGACGACGGCACCGTGAAGCTGTGGGACTTGCGCACGGGCGACTTCCTTCGCAACCTCGTCTCGTTGGACAGCGGCGGCAGCGGCGGGGTGGTGTGGCGCGTGCGCTGCTCCAACACCAAGCTGGTGTGCGCCGTGGGCAGCCGCAATGGCACCGAGGAGACCAAGCTGCTTGTCCTGGACTTTGACGTGGACAGCAAGTGAATGACCCTCCCCACCGCGGCCGGTGGGCTCCGCGGATATGCGGTGGCGATCGCGACGAGTGCTCGGCCACGCCGAGGGTGTGGCGGCGCGCGTTCGCTGTGCGCCTGTGGTTGTGGGTGGCACTGGGAGGAGGGGGGGGTGGTGGTGATGGGCAGTGAGGCTGAAGGGCACGAAAGTAGTAGACCCCGTGGGTCTCTTTGAAATGGGCTTGTTGCTCACGTGCCAACTTTGGAAGGGATCACGCACACACAAAAAAAGCCTAAATGTATAAAATACGGGACACAAATGGAACACCTGAGTGCCAACAACAAGCAGGAAGATTTGACGACTGAAATCTTCAGCTGACCTTCCACCCCACCCACCAACCATCCTCAAGTTGCCTGTGGTATATTACTGACTTGAAAGTACACTGACTTGGAGAACTCTATTTAAAAAAATTAAACAAATTTCAAGCGATTTAAAATCTCACACTTTTTAAGGCTCTTTGTCAGGCCCTTGCCGTGCCACCCTGTCTACCCAGCGCATGTGACTGGAGGTGGGGTAAGACCCAAAGCACTTCTTGCATCGGACTGCTCAAGGTTGACACCAAATGGAAGACGGCACAGCAGTGGTCTGTGGCGTTCACTCTTCCATAACAGCAGCCAAGGACCTTCCTTTGCGGCAGCGGTTGTGGGAGTTTTGGTAGCCGAAGAAGATAGTTTTTCTTTGCTGGCCTTAAAGCGACTGAACCTAATGAGAGCAGGGACCTCGCTCGCTCGGTGCAGTGAAGCGCGAAGGGAGGGACATGGGAACCCACTTTGGCAGAAGTCTTTGTGGTGGATCATTAAAATTAGGAATGTGAATGTAAGCAGCAGAATAAGCCTCCCTAACACTTTGTTCTAATGGATTACACTACAGCCTGTGAAAGGTATTTTTTTTTCTTGATCGTTATCAATTTACTCGTTTGTTTTTGTGATACGACTAAAACTGCTCTGTTGGTAACCATTCGAGCTGGGATGCATAGAAGGGATAAAGTGAAGTCTTTGATGAAAGTTTTCTGCGTTGGCCATCAGCTATGTGGGATGACATCGTGAGGTGTGCGCGTGCTCCCCCCCCCCCCCCCCCCCCGTGTTCCTTGGGTTCCAGAAGAAAACCTCGGTTGCCATATCACGGCGGCGAGATCGAGTACGATTGAACAATTTCAGCTCGAAACCAACGAAAATAAAAGCGCTTATCACTTGGTGGGCAGCTTCCAGTGCTCACAGAGTGACACAGAGCCTCTGGGAGTCGTGCCCACGAAAGGGCCCGTCTGCTGATGTCGCACGACGAGGCGGGGGGACACCCTTTTGCAGAGGGTACAGAAAGGCGCAGAGCTCACCTTTTGCAGGGGAGAAGGCGCCGAGCGAAAATGATTACCGGACGCCGTGCTGAAACGCAGCAGATTAATCGTCTAAAAAACTACGGAAATAAGCTTGCTTTTGCCAACATTGCAAACTTGAGCTCGGGGCCTCTGCACGCCAAACCCGCTGCTGTGGTGTCGCCAAAAATGAAGCGTTCTCTTACATTTTTCCGTCATCGTTAGGTTTAAAAAAAAATATTTGCAACCTGATGACCCTACGAACATATCCATTCTGTTTGGGATACACTTTCAATTGTCGTAAAAGGCCAGGTTTGTAAGCGAAGGTGCGTTGTGAATGCGGCATGCGATATCCCAGCCTGTTTACTCTCCACACAGCCTACGCTGCGCCTCGTCATTATGACTGTAACATCAACCCACGTTGGGACTAATGTGAAAGCTGTGCTAACCACTTCAATTATTTTTGTTTTCCTGTGTTAGCGTTTTAAAGCTTTTGTTGTTTCGTTTTCTCAGTTAAAAGGGTGCTGTTTCGATCTCATGTTCGTCTCACGTTTGTACATGGGCAGTTAGTACAGGGTTCAGTAGCCTTGCGTGCTACACGTTGCGTATACACAGTTCGTGCACTCTTATAGAAACGGCCCGTCTTCTCTGGTCACTCGCTTCACCGTTCGTGCTGCCATCGTCGTCACTGTTGTGGGTGAAGAGACTCGCGTGGCCCGCTCGGCCGTTACGCACCCCGGCCCCCAGTACCCGTGCTGAGCCTGCCTACACGTATGACTCGTCGTTTTATGGCCGCACGCATGTAAGTGGGGCCCCCCCCTGGGACGTAAAAATAGATGCTGCACTGAAAACCGCACCGCACCTCTCTGCTCTTTGTCTTGTTTTTGTTGTTGCACACACACTCCTGCACAAACACACACACACATTCATAACCCCAAGCCCTTAGTGTAGAAAAACTATTTTTCTGCAAACACACTGAAATTAAATACATACTGGAATGCTGTAAGGAAAGGCACAGCACGGGATATATTGTTTTAATGAAGCCGAAGTGTGTACTGCGGGGCTGATAGCGCCAGAGCAATTGAGCCAATTTAAACTGAAAGATTATCAATTTTAAGGCGACGTGACAAAATGCATCGATGTTTGAATATGAACGGGCGCCACGTTCTTCGTGAAATTGTCAGGTCACTCCCCCAAACCGATGGCCGCTGTACACAATCGAGTGCAGGCTGTGCGTTTCTCCAGCAGGTCAGTGGGCGGACCAGGGTGCATTTAGAGTGAACTCTAATTGCCGCTGGTGATTAATGAGCTCCGATGAGACGCATTACGGGATCAGAGCTTCAACCGAGCAGCTGTAAGTGCTCTCCGTGACAAGCTTTAGGTGAACTGAGGCCTTCTGAATGTGCTGTTTTAAAACTATGTTTAGTGTTGTGTGTGCGTGCGTTGGTCCGGTTACTGTTTTTTGTTTTTTGCCGAAGCAGGATTTTCCTTCCATTTTTGATTGTGGGATTCTGTGAGGGTTTTTGGGGGATTGGCTTTTGTCATTCGTGGCCCGTCCGCGTGTAAATAATTCCACATAGAAACTGTGAACTTGAATTGGCCTCTAAGCAGGGGGGGCAGCTGTACAGTGATGCCATCTGCTCTGTATAGCCTGTTCATGGCGATGTACATAGAGCGGTTTTGATCCGCACTTAGTGGCAAAAAAAAAATGATGTAGTTCAAAAGATCAGGGAGTTTTTTTTTGTGTGTTTTTTTTCACTAACCGTCAGTATTGAATTCAGTCTTTTTTTTTTGTATCACCATGTTCCTTCACGTGCGTGTTTGTTGCTGCTGCTTATGAATGTCACGTTGTAAAGAAAGAGAAAAATGAAAAAAAACTTAATTTCATTGGTCAATGTGCATCTTAAATGAGACTTGAGGGAACGGCAGAGATGAGACGACCAGTCTGTGTGTCGGGAAGGATTTTCCACCGGGTCCCCCCCCCCTCTATTCTCGACACGAGCCGTCGCTTGTCGTGCACCCGCCCGTCCTGGTGGCAGTCTTTGTTGAGCCAGCAGACGGAGACGCTGGTCCCTTGCTGGTGTCTGCCGAGGGTCGTGAGAGTGTGAGGGGTGGCTGGCCTCTCGTCCAAGCCAGGGCAGTGTGCACGCGAGGTCGGGGTGGGGTCAGGAGGCGTTTGCCGTCACTTCGCTGGGTATGTGCCATCTGAACAAAATGTGTGACGTAGGCAAGACGGATCACATTAAGTGGAAGCAGAAAAAAAAGTATAAAAAAACACAAAAAAGGAAAAACAAATAAAAATTAATTACAAATATGTAACATATGAAAAAGGGATTGAGTTACTGGTTTGTTTTACTTAGAAATTTTTATTTTCATATGAAAGTGCAATAAAGTGTACCTCAATGGAAGGACTTCCCTGCGTGTGTGTGTGTGTATTTACACGCGTGTGTGTGCGTGTTTACACGCGCGCGCCTGATTCTCGTCGTTTGTGTCGCTGTCGACAGCATTCCCATTCGGTGAACACGGAGACGACGACGTCGGCTGATGTTTGAATGCCACCTCCTGCAGCGCGCATTTAACCTAAACAGCGTTCATTATCACATCGCACTATCCGGCGTTTGTGCAATTGTCAAAGCTACACATCCGTAGCAATCGTAGCTGTTCTCCAAAGAGCCTCAAGTTTTTCCCAAATTGCGCCCACACATCCAAGGCAAATGGGATCTTGCGGCTCCCTTGATAAAGGTGCCCCATGAGACTGATCAATGTTAAGCACCTCTATGTTAGCGCCTATGTTACACATTTAGAAAATGTAAACTTTGCGGACAGATTTTTTAAAGGAAAGAAGCTTTAATACAACCCAGGTATACGCCTATTAATGTCACTGAATTGTTACATGAGAAAACCACTGACCGTGTTACTTTGGCTTGAGTAGCAATGAGGTTACATTTAATTTCAATTGCCACTTAAAGAAACGTTTACATTTTGTGTACGGTGCATCAGGCACATTTACGATTGTAATAATGTAGATGTATCGAGAGGGAAAAAAACGGTTTCTCAAGGACTTAACAGGCCGGTCTTAAGCTTTCACATAGAACGTAAAATGGAAGGGAGCAAAAAAAAGAATCCTGCAATCCATTGCGTGGCGTAGTAAAATGCCCGCGAGGAATGCACAAATTCAGACATCCGTGAAATAGGTATAGAACGGTCTCCACATCGGCTGCATTCCACGTCATCTGCTACTGTGGGGGGACAGAGCATGGCCCCAGTTACCAGAGGTGGGACAAAGTCATTGTTATGCAAGTCCAAGTCGAGTCTGAAGTCATCAAATTCATGACTCGAGTCTGACTCGAGTCCAAGTCACATGACTCGAGTCCGCACCTCAGAGGTGGGACAAAGTCATTGTTATGCAAGTCCAAGTCGAGTCTGAAGTCATCAAATTCATGACTCGAGTCTGACTCGAGTCCAAGTCACATGACTCGAGTCCACACCTCAGAGGTGGGACAAAGTCATTGTTATGCAAGTCCAAGTCGAGTCTGAAGTCATCAAATTCATGACTCGAGTCTGACTCGAGTCCAAGTCACATGACTCGAGTCCACACCTCAGAGGTGGGACAAAGTCATTGTGATGCAAGTCCAAGTCGAGTCTGAAGTCATCAAATTCATGACTCGAGTCTGACTCGAGTCCAAGTCACATGACTCGAGTCCACACCTCAGAGGTGGGACAAAGTCATTGTGATGCAAGTCCAAGTCGAGTCTGAAGTCATCAAATTCATGACTCGAGTCTGACTCGAGTCCAAGTCACATGACTCGAGTCCACACCTCTGCCAGTTACAGCGTGAACACATCCCTTCCCCTGCTCCGCGTCCCACTCCCAAGTTAAAGGATTGTCTCCACGTCCTTGCGCATTGCCTCGTGCGTATTGTACCAACAGTCAAGCTTTTCAGTCTCGTTAGTATCTACAAGCCGTGGCAGTTTGTTAATGATAAAAAATGGAGTTGAGAAAATGCAAGTCAAGTCCCATCAGTACTCGTTTGTTGGCCCGGGGAGGCACGCGGATACAACTGAGCGGGTTTTTTTATTTTATTTTATATGACGGAGCTGCTGCGCTACCACGCTTGCAGGCAGAAGCAATCCTCCTCCCCCCGCCCGTCAACCCGAGACGTGATTTCCCCAACGTCCGGATATATCTATCTGCGAGAGCGATATTGCATCACGCCATGCAGCGAGTTTGATTTATACGATCATCTCGTGCATCTCTAATTCACGAGGGGCAGGGGTTTCTCTATCTACATTTTCTAGAGGTGGGTGGAGGGGTGCTTTGTGTGTGTGGATAGAATGATGCTTCCCGCACGCATGTCCACCCCGCTCGTCTTCTCATCCGTCCGTCAGCAAAGGGGCTTCCTCCGAGACTCTGTCCGCCGCTTGGCGCACGCGTGATCTGTTGATGATCTGGCCCTGCGAGAGGAGGCACGGCGATGCGGGCGTCAGGAACTCGTCGTGGGCGAGTCTGTGCTTTCGAGCAAGGAGGCGGTGCTCGGCTCGGAGACGGTTAAGGAAATTCAACGTTGCTGCAGCGGTTGACTGCATTTTCGTCAAAATGTACGCGTGTTGATGTCGTTTCGCACCCGACGTAGCCAACCCGTGCTCATCGGAGGTGCGGGGGAGGGACAACAAACTCAACACAAAAAGTAGTTAAACAAAAAAAATAGTTTTCAATTTAAAAGTGCGTAGCTCCAGTGGCTTCCGAATATCAGAAGAGCGTTCCAGACGGCCACAGAAGCGCGCCACGCCGTGGCCGTCTTTGTCCGACGGTGAGTCAAAAGTCGCTGCTGCTGCTGCTGCTGCGAGCCATTCGGGGTTCCTGCTCCTTGAGATCATCACGGTATTGTGCAGTTCACTTGTGGCAAGCGCTTTGCGTGTAACGAGGGGGGGGGGGCGACCTTCTCACAACGATTTCGTTCGGCCTTCCCTCGACCTTCTTAAGAGTGCAGTCAAAAAAGGCGTTAGCCATTGGGAGCGCAAATTAAATTTAAGCGGCTGGGGTCCTTAACCTCCACTCCAGCCTTGTTTTATAATGTTAATTAATACATAGCGTTTGATGAAACAAAGCAAGTTGTACCTATGTGCCCGTGCTTAATGTGTTTTCGATGATTTACCTTCTACAAAATAAAATCTGGCCGTGTCTCCCAGGGAATGCGAGATGCACCCCAGGTGAAGGAACCACCACTGAAGCCGTTTATACATCGCGGTGAGCGAGAGCTTGAGGATAGAGTGTGACGCACAAAAGCAGATTGTAGCGTCACTCATTCTGCACCGTGTTTAAACATTAGGTGTAAAGTTTGTTTAGACTGTGCTGTGTGCCCCCTCAGTAGTTGTAATGAGCCGCCCCCCACCCATTTAAACAAGGTCACATTACAGGGACGCCAGGTGGCTCTCATTTATGGAGCCCGTGGGGTACCGAATTATTCCCTTCGCCCTTGTAGTCAGCAAAGCCTTAATGAGTCTCGAGGTTTCATCAGGAGGTCACCCAAATTTGGTTCCATTCATGAGCGTTTTTTTCCAGGATTGAACCGTGGACCGCCCCCAACTAATGAGTGAATGTTGATACATATCCCGTGCACGTACAGGTCGCGCACACGCACGCACACCTGCATGCTCCCTGTGCACTGTGCAGTGCCGGATTAAGCTATTGCGGGGCCTGTAGCGTATGATGTTATAACGGGGCCCTTAGTAAAATAAAAAAACACGTAAATATTAAACAGCCAGATAATACGACAAATCGCTAACCTTAAACACCCAGTCGTTCATAAAAGTTGAAGGCAGTATAGTACTATAGTAATAGAGCAAGTGCAGTAATCACTGAACCGGAATTGATAGCTTGAAAGCATTTAGTGTGGGGCCCTTGAAAGTGCGGGGCCCGTAGCATATGCCACTCGGATAATCCGGCACCGACCCTGTGAAACCATAAAGATTCCCCGTGTAGCCTTCACAGACTGCCGGGGCAAGTGCAGTAAGCGAGGAGCACCTATGAAGGCCGGCACGGGGTTTGTGGCCAACACCACGCCTGGCCGCCTTTGTCTCCACAGTGGCGATGTTTACACACAACTCCAGGCACTCGTTTAACGCCGAGACGACCACAGGGAAACCCGGGACCAGTTCAAATAATCGTCACCGCTATTGGCGGCGAGCGGAAATTGAACCCGGATCGCCGGGTTTGTAGCGCAGCGCGCTAACCGCTGCGCCACCGCTCCCCGCGTGAGTCCACAGTGGCACCAGCACACGCACACCACCTCGCATCACTTGAGTTCGACTGCCCCGCGTGTGTGCACGCGCCCCTCTATCGGTACGAATCGCGTGTTCATTACGGCGCGACAGCGGTGATAGGGGCCCGCATTACGCGGCACGACGCCGTTGCACAGCAGCCTCGCGAGCTATCGGCTCAACGGATCTCTCTCATCACCCTCGTTGGCCGTGTCCCTCTGCAGATTATTCGTTGCGTTATCGTCGCGCTCGGGGGGGAAACTTTGACGGCACCAAACCGCCGTTCACGTCTCATCGCACGCTTCATCGCCGATCATTAAACCGTGTCTGAGCAGTCCCCGGCACGCAAGTGCCAACGACGATGTGCAGTTTGTGCAGCTCTTCAGGTTGTCAAACTCCGCAGCAGCAGTGCGGAGTTTGACAAGCCGGTTCTCACACGGCGGTCAGCGGCAGGCGGCAATGCCCCCCACGCGCTTGAACACCGCCCAACGCCGGGGCGTGCCATCTGACATCTCCCGAGCCGACCCTCAGCGCTCCCATCTCCACGGCGGTTCCCCGTGAGGTTTCCCCGTGAGGTCGTGCCGGGGTCGTGCCGGGGTCGTACCGCGTCCTGGTCCACGACGTTGAGCACCAGGGAGGAGGCGAGGCAGCCGAGAGTGAGCGCGAGGAAGTAGAACATCACGTTCTGCCACCGCCACGGAGCGATCTCCCTGCGTGGGGGCAGCAGCAGCAGCAGGAGGAGGAGGAGGGCGAGACGCGACATTAAACCACCGGCACATCGCGATCTCACCGTTACGACCACATGAACGCCATGGCGTTCGGCACCAGCGAACCGCGCACACCGCCCGTCGCGTCGGGCATCGGAACGTCGGAGGCGGGATCTAGAAACTTTCTAAAGTGAGGGGGCGGTCACAGATTTACCAAGCTTTTTAAATACAGCCTTACATTAGTTATTTTGAAAATAATTTGCAAAGTATCTTGGTGAATATTAATACAATAGTGCACACCTTTTTTTTGTGATTTTGGGGTGGGGTGGGTGGGATAGGCGATCGCCATTCCCTGGATCCCCCACAAATCACCACCATCACCACTGCCATCACCACCACTCTTACTGTCATTAATACCACCACAACTAACACACATACCACCACAACATCCAACAACCACCACAACTACCACCGCATCCAACCACCACAACCAACACACACAAAACCCCACCACTACGTCCAACAACCACCACAACTACCATGAACACCGCCACACATCCACCTCCGCTTTCACAAACGCCACCTCCAAAATCCTCTGGCACGTCGCGTAAATCCACCCCAACCACGATCACCACCACGCACGGCGCAGTGGCCCAAGAGGCCTCATCTGGTGAAGGGATGCCGACCGAATGGCCGATGGAGCATTTCCCCTCATCAGCAAAACATGCGGCTCCACAAGGTCCTGCGGCTTAAGGAGATTCTCGGGAGATTAATTACTAAGAGGCAATCTATTGATTACAACGCCGCCGAGTGTATCGTTATGCAAATGCGCTATCGGATTTGCGTCGTCACCCGAGTTCGGGGGAGTGGCGGTGCAGTGCTTGCGTGCCACGCGACAAAACCTCCCAGCCAGGATTCGAGTCCCGATCATGGCCAGCATCAATAGCGGTACCGGTCGCCCTCCCTTCATCACACCGACCCTCGTGGTGAAGTATGGTCAAACAATCCCCACAGTGGATTTACGAAGTCTGTAGATGATTATTTTGCAAAATCGAGCGTGGACGGTGACGTGGCCAGGCAGATGCGCGTTCGTCGCTTGCTGCAGAGCTGCATGGTTCGAGTCCAGAGGCCGCCCTGATTAATACTGCGGGAGGTGTTAACGGTGACGTTGCACCCAGTCAGTCTGCTTCACAGTGGACGTTACAGATCCCGTGGCATCGTTCGCAAGAGTAGGCCAACCGTGTGCCTCCGTCATGGTTCAATGTGGACGAATTTGAAATATAACCTGCAAAACACCGAATTGGAATACGCACGGCAATCGTTACCCGCTGATGAGAAAACTTGGAAAACCCTCTTGACAAAGAGCGATGAGGCTCGGTGAGGCTTCCTGGGTTAAATCTGTCCCAACCCTCACTAATTCAGGTTCAGCCACGCTGCGGAGTCCCCTGTTCCGACGCCTAACCCCTAACCTGAGCGCAAACCCAGTTCCATTCTGTGACGCGAAAACGAATCGGGGGGGGGGGGAGGCTGCCAGAATTGCGTTGGCTAAACGGTCGGGGGCCCAAACTTTCTCCGCACAAAACCAGCCCCACCCCTCCCCACCACCAAAAACCTCATTATTTTAGTGGAGCCGACACACAAAATAAATGAACAAACAAACGAGTGTGCTCAATGACATTTCACAACCGGTGGTGGTGGTGGTGGGGGGGGACCTCCACCTCCCAATTGTTCTCAACGTCGCCAACATTTGGGTCATCCCTGGATATGAAAGTGGCGGCAACGTTGGCGCCGCGCGGGTTGAGCGCGGGTTGAGCGCGGGGCCGCGACTGCGGCAGCAGCTGCAGCAGCGGGGCCTCTGCACGCGCAGAATAAGAATCGGGAGAGTGCCGTGCTGCACTGGCAGAGCCAGTTGGGGGGGGGGGGTGGCACGTGGCCCACCAATGATCCGATCAAAATCCCTAATTTCGATCGGATCATTGGGGTTTATTGGTAATAAATCGGCATTTTGCGACCCCCATTGCCACTTTGTAGCATATTATTACGTGCCAGGGACTCTATGAGATGATAGGACAATAGTCTGAGTCCATAACACTGGTCAACACACTTTTTCTGCCATAAGGTATTCCAACGGTTTTAAGGCAATTTTGCGGTGCTGATTCCAAATCTGGCATCAGTTTTTGTCTATCACATCAGGTTTTTGAGATATCAAATATTGCATTTTCAATAAAAAACTGCAGAATAAAAATATGAAATGAATGGTGGATATCTACGTAAAATTATATTATAAACACACTCTCTTAAAAATACAGCACCATATTTTAACACTCAAGCAGTTACTGACTCGCAACAACTTGCAATCATAAGTGACAGAGTTAATTTCGGATAAAATCAATGAAAATGGGGTATGCTGATAGCATAATAAGTATAACCCGTAAAAACAAAGTTTTTCACTCTAAATCCTTTATATGCGTGGCGGCTAGAGTCCTCTCGTCCTCTGGCTTGAGATGGCTGCCACCTATGGGTCAGATGATTGTCTGCAGTATTAAACAAATGGTAATTAAATATTTAATTTGTTTTCCCTAAACAGTGTAAAATTTTGGAAAAAAATTTTCACGAACATTAATTGTCTCGCACAACGAGTCTGTGTGCAAAATGTCAGCTCGATTGGATCACGGGAAGTGGGTTAAAAAACGACCGAAAGGTTTGCACGGTCATAAGCAAGCAAGCACGCAAGCAAGCAAGTGAACTTAATATAAGGATTTAAAAATGAGATATTATAGAGCAAATCTGAGATCATATTTGGAATCAGCACCCTGAAATTAGTCTAAAACAGCTGCAAAAGTCCAGGCCAGAATTTTTTTTTTTGACCAGTGTAATTGTCAATAAGTAACGGCAAAGCGGTTATAAGCGACTCAGAATTGTGCTCAGTTGCGTACACAGTACACGACTTCCCTGAAGGCATTAGCACCTTCAGCGAGCGCGATGCCGATCACACAACGCGGTTCGAATTCGACCTTCGATCAATGGCTGCGCCATCGCCGCACACGCGTCGAATAAAAACCAAGGGACAAGTCCTTACTTACTAACAACTCCTTAATTACTAACAACTCCTATAATTTTTCATTGCTAGAGGGGTTGCCCCCCCTCTCCCTGAAAATCCTGGCTACGCCATTGGGTCACGTGCCGCGTCCCGTTCGTCTGTTGTGTGCTCGCATACCGAGTGAGATATGCGAAAAAAATATTGGTTGTAAAAGTAGTAATTAAAAAAAGCATTTAAAAGCTGACATTGCTTAATTAAAATGCCTGGTATCCTGATGTCCGGGGGTGTGTTCAAGGCACTCGAGAGCGCTGTGGAGAAACGCCAACAAGCTCAAAGGTTTTTACGAAAACCAAATAGCAATGAAGGGCGAAAGGGGAAATGATTTTCGCGAACATTTGAATCTGCGAGCAAGCCTCGCTAAATATTCATGGTTTGTTTGTACTTGTTGGTGGAAACCGCAGCGCACGATGCGATTGGGACATTAGCATGCGTAAATCCATATTGTATTTTTTGTTATTTGGTTTGCGAAAGATAAAAAAAACTGTGAATTATGTTTTGTGAATGACAATGTTTTTTCCTCCAGAATCCGCAAGTGATCCACTTCGCCGTGGTTGAGTGTGAATTGTGCCGGCTCTGCAAAAGTATCACAATGATCGCTGGTCATTAAAAATGCATGGGCTTCAATGAGTTACATCAAAATGCAGCAGCTCCAGGCGTTAAGAACTGAAAGCCTCTCGGTTTTTTTTTGTCATGCCAGATTCCGTTTGCCGTTTGAAAATATTAGGGCGCTATGGATGACTGAGGACACAATACATTTTTACTTGAAAATAAGCCACCGTTTATGCGCGCGGATTAACAGATTAATGTGTGTGTTGCCTTATTAATGTTTTAATGAGATGTTCCTCGAGACTCACGCGACACCTCTCACATGAAATACCGCCGATTAAATATTTTGCGGCCGTAAATATCTTTTACGTTAAACCTTAAAATCGAAGTATGCACTAAAAGCGCATTAGCTGATGCTTCCATGTTGACAGACCAACAGCATATCGCCATAGCCTTACGCCACATTTCCCCCCCTCCCAACACATTTTCAGTCCACTAATAGCACAATAGCTTATCAATGATTTACTGCAGCGTCATTCAATACAGTGCTGTGTCTCAGCCTTTGAAGAAGAGCGATTGTTGAGGCAACACCGCACACGATTTCGCTTTCTGCTCTTGGTCGTGGAATCAGTTCCGGCAGCGCGTTCGCCGCTTGTTGCAGAGATTCGCGGTTCGAATCCAGCGGCCGCCCCGATCAATACTGCGTCGTGTATAATAACCGTGATAACAACACGCACCGCCTGCTTAACAGTGGACGTTAAAGACCCCAGGGCGTAATTCGCAAGAGTAGACCATTGATGTGGTGGCATGAGGGTCCGTAATTGCCAATTTCGAAAAAGTACCCGCAAGTGACTCTATTTGTATTATACAAAGTGACCCTGCTGCCAGCAGACTACTGCCCCGGATCACTCTTGCAAATGAGACTCTTCTTTGGCCCCTAGAATTCTCACGTTGTTAAACAAAATTCATTTGAAACTTGGCCTAGGAGAGAACAGGATAGAAAGCATGCTGGATAGATAGCAGATAACGCATAAGTCTGGAAGGCCAATAGGCTGATAGCCTAAACACAACAAAATCGAGGCTGAAAGCATGAATGCATTCGCTCTGCGATCCATCTGTCTGTCCGTAACAGCCCCCCCACTAACTCTTGTAACGATGACTCAATATGAACGACGCTGCAGTACAACGTTTTGGAGAATCGGCCAAATAGATGTCGGGTTGCCTGAAACTCGGGAGACAAAAAAACAAACCCCCACAACGTGTGCTAATGAATAAATCACAAAACCAGAGGCAAAAAGAAGCGCACACCATCTCTCTGCCTCCTCCCGATGCGGTCATCACGAGCGAAGTCATCTCACGACACCAACGCGTCCCCCTCTCATTGTGCAGCTTGACACTGTAACATTATCATTGTTATTATCCTCCTCCTCCTCGTCGCCGTCGTCGTCGTTGTTGTTGTTGCCCCATGAAATATTTTCGAGGCCAAACCCGCATGCTGGCGAGCGCGAGAGAGCGCACGCATCCACTGCGATCTTTCTCCCAACTCGTTTTCCGGCGCCGCAGAACCACCACGTCCGCTGCTGCGATGGAGCGGATGAGAATCAGCTCTGCGGGAGCGAGATGGAATTGTGCATCGCGAGACCCTGAGCGATAGCGACGGTTTCGGGGGGGGAGGGGGTGGGGGGGGGGCCTTCATCCGGTCGTGGATAGATCATGGTAGATGATGATTATGATGGACCTACGTAGAAAAATAAAAAAATAAAATGGTTTTTTTTAGACACGAGAAGGCAATGTCAGGTGCCGTTGAGCCTCGAGTGCCCTCTAACCCCGGGCCAAGCCTCGTCGGCGATCGTGGCCAGGGCTGCGCACGAATTGGCACCCACCCTCCCCCGCGGCTGAAATAAACACTTAAATAAGTAAACGCGTGTGGACTTGTCAATAAATAAACAAACCTCTCGCCCGAGCAAGAGGAGTTGTGTTTAATGATAGCAAACATTTAAGAAGAAGTAAAAAAAAACTGCCTCGCAGCCAGTAAATTAAACATGAAGAGAAAATTATCCCGCACACAGTAAATTATCCACACACACGTGCTGAATTATACACCGTGCTGCGAGTTTCACGGGCATGTGCCCCCCCCCCCCCCCCCCCCGCGGTCTGGCTACCACTCGCATACTAACAAAGCGGATTCCGCCCCTCTGCGGCGCGGTTTCCGGGATGTAGCGAGTGTCGTTCGGCACGATATCCCACGTACTTGACCATACCTCACCATACTTCATCAATCTGGGTGCTACTGCACAACAATGGTCGTTTCTTCTTAGTCCATGCCGCCAGGTGCGCTTCTGCGGCCGTCTGGAACGCTCTGCCGTCCAATATTAGAGACACCGGAGCCATGCACTTTCAAATCTCGATTGAACCCTCATTTCTTTAGAACTGCTTTTTGTGTTTTGTTTGTTATCCTTCTCCCGCGCCTCCGATTAGCACGGTTGGCTACGTACGGTGCGAAAGAAGTTCAACGTACGTACATCCATCCACAGGACCCTCCTTAACACCCCGACGTTTTGGCGATTTTCTCACGGCCCACGACCGTGTGCGGAGAAGGCTTTGGGCGCAGACTCCGCTGCCTTGCCCACCTCGCCGCGTGGCCAAATAGACAAACGCCCTCCGTCTACCGCAAGGGCGCGCGTCCTGCGTCGCGCGCGTCACTCGTGCGAGGAGGCGTGATCCGGGCACGAGACCCGGCTCAGCGAGACCAGGGCGCTCAGTCGGCCACGTCTCCCTCGTCCCATTTCTCTCCCATCGAGCGTTTCTCCCGGGGTCCCACGGCGAGATTGCCCTCCCCACCCCTCCGGCCCTCAAGGACAGAGGCAGGCAAGGCCAACCAGATGTTTGGTTTTCTGATGGGGGGGGGGGTGGAGCCTCCAAAAATAACTCCGATAGAGGGAAAATGTGCATTGAGCGCGGGACGTGGGGGGTGGGGGAGGGGGGGTCACGTTTGTTCGTCCATCTTGAAATCGCACGTCTCTGGAGACCCCCCCCCATCCCGAGCCATGCATCCTCTTTACAGAGCCGCTGTAAGGAGGGTCAATGCGCATCGATTGGGAAGCGATCACCCGCAGGCACGCGGAATCCTTCGCAGGCGAGCGCGGAGCCGCCCACAGCAATCCCACCCACGATTTGCGGCGCAGTTGCACCGCCTGCGCACTCGATCGTTACGCCGCCGTACCCGGTCTCCTCGCCGAGCAGCACCCCGACCGCGAGGTTGGAGACCCCGACCCCGAGCATCTGCAGCGATGTGGCGACTCCGTTGGCCGTGCCGAGGGTGGAGTACGGCACCACCATGGATATGGCCGGCCACATGCAGGCCTGCCGGGCGTCCCCGCGGGCCCACGCCACAGCAGCCGAAGGGACGGGCGGGCGGATGAGAGGTTAGAGCATCACGCGCCGCACGGAGACTTCGCTTTGCTTTAACAAAAAACTAAAAATACATTTGTTGAGGAGTGCCTCGTGTAGATTTTTTGTTTTTACACTGCTAAGGACATTCGATAGGTGAGGTGGGCCGGTTGCCTCGGAGGGCAAAGCTCCGAGCGGGCAGCGCTGAGATCGTGCGATCAGAGGCAGGCGGCCGCCCTCCGATTACGACGCGGTTCCCTCGAGTCCTGCGAGCCGATGGTCTCAGCTCGGTCACCGCTGACAGCAAAGCGATAAAAAATAAAAACAACAATCCATCGCGGCAAATTTGGTTCTTGTGCTTAATTTGGCCAAATCCCAGCTCGGAGGGTTAAAATATGAGAACGACAGTTCCGCGACGAATTTGACTCTCGCACGCCGCACGCAGCATGCGCGGGAGAGTCCTGCCTGCTCCCGTTCGGAGCGGAGGTCACTGTGGAGAGATCTCAGCGGAAGCTCAGCGATATCCGGTTCTGTGGGCCGTCCTCTAACATTCCAAATTAGCACCGCTGTGCGAGAGATCCAGATGGGTCCTTAACCGCGTGAAGTGACGCCCACAGCATGATCGGGACACACGGGGGGGGGGGTTGGCGAGGCGGGCGAGGAGGCGGTTTGGGTAAGAACACGTGTCGCATTATTGTAGGCGATTAATTTTTGTTATGTGCTGTTCAAGCTTTCTACTTGTGCGGCTGTAATCTCGCTAAACTCCAACTGGAGATTACCTTTCCTGCAACGCCTCCGCCGCCGCAGCGGCAGCTGATTGATGTTTACCTTCACTTTGGTTAACTGCGAAGCGCATTACGTAATTGCATATCTTCTGTTTAACCATTGCCTCGGTTCTCTGGGATGGGCGTGTTGTGTCTTTGTGTTTTTTTCTGAACGGTGCCCAAGCGCTTCAGTCATGCGACACGAATAAACTTCAGTGCCGGGATTTATGCACGGCCCCCAGCTGACACGTTTAAACTGCCCCGAGCCGTAAACATCGACCGCTGACCCACCGCCCTTTCTTTTTTAACGTCCCTACAGGAGAGAGACTTCCACAGCTCTAACCTCCTAACCCTAACCTTTGACCCCCCCCCGCTCCCCACTCACATTTCACCATGACCTATCGTTATCATCCCGCCTTGGAGGGAGAGGTCAGAACTTCCGTATTCTCCGCATTACAAAAGAGGCGCTTCTATCCCTCAACAGTATTTAAAAGCAAACGATTGAGATTACCGTCGCCCCATAATCCGGGAGGTGCACCACGTGTCTTTGTGACCGGATTTGTAGGACTTCGACACCAGGCACGTGTTTGGGGTTCGTCGTTCCCTCCATGGCGTCTTACGACCCCGAGAACGCGGCTAACGTAAACGCATAATGACGCAACCGACAAAAAAAAAAAACACCGCGACATTTATGAACGTGCCGGGAAGACTCACAGATTCCCCCAGAACAGCTGCCTCAACAACAAGGGTACGGGAATCCTGGGAAAACCAGGACGAGGTGGCGACTCCTACTGTGACCCGCGGTGACCTCTGCTCGGAGCGCTGCCCCCCTCCGAGAGCTGCCTGGTCACTCACCGTGCTCACGGAGTAGGCCACTCCGAGCCAGAGCGTGGAGGCGAGCGGGGGCAGGCCGCCATACGCCAACACGGGGAACACGGGAAGCGTGGAGGCCGCTGCCGCGCTGATCATGAACCCACGCTGTCCCACGCGGTCCTCCAGTGGGCAGAGACGCACGCGTGGGTGGGTGGGCGAGAACAGGCATTTAGGACGGCCAAATTGCTCACTCTCTACGTAAACGCTAAAGTACAGGAACGTTAAATAATTGCAGGCCCCAACAACCCCTTTGGGTTCCGTCCGGACTGAACGGGTCATTACCCGCTTAAGTAAAACAAATAAAGAAAAACTCTCAAAAGTATTCCCGTAAATGCGTGGAACTTATTTAATCTGGCGTTTTTCATCGTCCGCTGATTAAACAAAAAAATCCACGACCCCGCGGCCCCGCGGCCTCGGTCGAGTTCGTGGGCTGACGCGTGGGTTGGTGGCGATTAGGGAGGATGGGACCTTGAAATAAAAATTATCGATTTTTAGAACACCCGAGATATGTTTATGGCAAACATCGATTTACCAATGGATCGCTGTGGTTTTTTTTGTGTTGCGCCGTCCCTTGTGGCGACTGACCCAGGTTTTAGTGCCCCCGTCTGCCACCGCAGTGCAGCGCTTTGAACGTAACAGTTGGTACATTCCTCAGGTTCATGAACTGCATCACAACATAGATTTTTTTTTGTTAAACTTGTTTTTTACTTTTAAAGTCAAGCCGTGCCAGTGCGTCAGCCTGCGTACGAAGAAACTGGGGGGTTTTTTTCTTGCAGAAAAACGTGACGACCGATTACAGTGATAACATTGAATAATAATGCCATTTATTTTACCCAGGAAGCCCTCACCGAGTCCCCGTACTCCTTTGTCAGGCGGGCCCTGCTGGATGAGCAATGTTTGGCCAACTCCATCGTTGAGTGTTTGGCGTGCGGCAGGAAACCGGAGAACTTTGAGCAAGCACACGAGGCGCGCGTGGAGATCACGCTCAGAGCGCCACACAGATGCCATCTTCTGGGCCACTTTGAGCCCCGGGGCTACACAGCACCTCGGGACGTTCATCCAGGCTCTCTCTCTCTCTCTCTCGTGCAAGTACTGTGCACGGTAACCAGGCTAAAATGCCTGCTCCAGCTTCGAAGGTTCCAGACAATTCGTGCAGTCATTCGGTTGCAAACAAGATACAAGAGTCAAAAGCGCCGAGTAATCTGTTCATTATGCGAACACCGTCAGCTGTTCCTGAACAAGTGCACTGTGCTCCTCTTGCCAGTAAATGCTGATGGATTTTTTTTTCGCAGAACAGACAAATTATTCCGTGATTTTTTTTAATTTCACGTCTCCTTCGAAACACGGGCGTGGCGTTGGCCGCCCATCCCCTCGAGTGCAGTTCCAGCCTTCATTAGGTGCTCGCTCACAGCACTTGCCCCAGCAGTCTGTTAAGGCTACACGGGGGATCTTTGTCTTTGTTTGTGTACGTGCGTGTGGGAGCGTCGGCAGCACCAACCGTACCACGAGCACGCCAGACGCGGCGCACAGCACCATCGAGACCATGTACGTCGCGCCGACCACCAGGGACGCCTGCTCCTGGGAGAAGCCCTCGTACATGTCCTGGATGAACTTGCTGCGGGAGTGGGTGGGTTGGGGGGGGGGGCGGAATAAAACAGAATCCGAGCCATTAGCGGGGCGATCAACGGGCAATCCAACTCGGGGGGAGTCTCCGCTGGGCTTGCGGCAGCGCGCGAGTCTTTTGGCGGAATTGGAAGGAGGCGTGGGGAAGGTTTTTGCAATTTCGAGCCGTTCGTGCGGAACTGCCACCGTTGTCACCCGTTTAAAATGTATGGGATTATTACGCAGCGAATATCATGCAAAGCGAGCACGCTGCCGCGGAGGACTGTAACCGCGTTGGTTCATCCACTAGAAGCGAAAGTCTGAGTAGTATAAGTGGCAATGTAGCGTTTTTTTGCTTGCGAATCAAAGGCCAGATGATTGCGGGGTAGTGTCACTGCTGGGCTTTGAGGTCGAGTGTCTCCTGTGCAGCAGTAGCGGCTGTAGCAGCTGCAGCAGCTTTAGCGGGATCAGGTAGCGGTGGCGCGGGGAGGCGTCGACAGCCTTGGCGACGATGGCATCTTCAGGATCTCTCGATCGCTTGATCATCTCGATTGTCGCCCGCAACACGAAAAGCCAACGGCAGCCGATCGTTATGCGGAAAAACTCGGCGGCCGCTTGATGAAAAAAAGGAAAAAAATAAGAAGAATAAAAAGAATGGGTATTCGTACAGTTTTCAGATTTCATTCGCAAATCTTTCCAATGTAGGATTCGGCTTATTACGGCGGCACGCACAGCGGCCCGGCTGTCGGAGGCGATGCCGCGGGTTCTTGACAAAAGGTCATTCATCAAGGTCACCCCCGAGACGAAGCCGATTTTCCGATCCATCCTAACGAGCGCCGGGCGTCAAAAGATGGTTTCACCCTCCGGTGCACTTTCGCCTCGTCTAATAACGTGGCCTCCGGGAGCCTCCTTCTCCTGAAGCATGGTGTCATGGACGGACCCAGACGGGTCTCGCTTCCCGAGTTATTGCGCACGGCGGTGTCCGCGGAGATGCGTTTATTGACCTCTTCGTTTGATGCATGGCCCTGGCATTCAAATTTACGCATCTCCCGTAAGAAAAATCGTCCAACTTTTGTTCAGCCCCCCCGTCTAAATACCTTGCCGTACCTATGCTAATGTTTTAATTAATAATGACCCGTGCGCGTTTCACCTCGGCCGTTCCGCTGGACCTTAGGCGAGCACGGCGAGCGTGGAAATCGGTGTTTCCGCGGGTCTTGTTATTTACGTCCACAGAGTCGGCACTAAATTTCGGAAATTGTTATTTCGACCGCGAGGCCCCTGCCCCTTGGCACAATGGAACTACGATGCGCCTCTGTTTACGGTCCAGCCAGTCGGGTTTAAAGCGCACAGCCGGGCTCTTCGCTTGCTCAGGATGAAGCAAAGTTCCATTGAACCGTGCCTCGTTGTACCCAGGGCTGAATCTCTCACGGAAAAAAGTCACTCCCCCCCCCTCGCCAACCTCAACAATCTCCAACTCCCCAGACCCCGCCCTTCTTTCACCCTGCTCCCGACAGAGAGCGGAGAATATATTTTCTGGAGCTCAGCCCAGGACAATTCCAGCTAAAATTAAGTCCCGATTACATCCTCATTAAATGCAGGACCTGTCCGTCTGATTTGGCCGTGGCTTCTGCTGCTGCTGGAGCTGCTCACGGTCTCCCGTGGCGAGTAATTTTTTATCTTCAACGCTTGTCCAACGGAGGCACGCCGCAGCATCGTATCCCTCGCGCCATGCTCATGAATATCAGCAGCCGTGGTTTTATAAATGATGTTGACAGAACCCGTTGCTCGGCGTGCTCAGATATGAAGAGCGCTGCAATCCAGAATGCACATCACGCCACGTGTTTGCGAAGCCCGCATCACTGGCCATTCCACTCCAGCGCCGACACACCTGTGCCACCGCATGTGTTTTGGTTTAAGAAGTAATTTTTCGAAGGTGGAAATATCAGACGGATAAAACATTGCTCGGGAAGATTCGTTGAAGATTTTTTTTTAAGTTTGGATCTGTTCGGACGCATCTGTTCTTCCATCTACAACGGATTGCCTTTGATACTTTGACATCCGAGTCTAAAAATCAAATATATTTCTCAGAATCGATCCCCATGTCAATACCAGTTTCTGGAATTTAACGCAATTTTCTTTTCTCGTAAAGTTCATTTTTTTGTTTCGCTGGGAGGGGAAAACCTCGGCATGTTTTTGGCGTCTACAATCCCTGCCGCTGGAAATCATTCCCCCCCCCCCCCCCCCCCCGATTCCCAATTGTGGCCACTTTACGAGTCCCAATATTTCAATCAACCTTCCATTACGGCGCTCAGCTCCCCTTTCTTGGACCCGAAATGAAGGCCATTCCATTTGTTATTCTTACACCGACCATGGGGCTTACAGCCCGTCTTTAGATTTGATAGCCTCGCTGAAACAACTTATTCTCTTGTCATGCTCCATGGTCAGAGAGAGAGAGAGAGAAAGGCAGACTGTGCTGCAACAGAACACACACATCTGTTTGTTTAAAAATTGCAGCAGCAGCAGCAGCGTGTGCTCGCCAGAGATGATTTACATTCCTTACGTTTTTTTTTTGTTTCATTGACATCTCACGTGTCTGCGAGAGATTACGAGGAGGCACACGAGCGCGTTAATTATTTTTTTTGGTTGAGGCAGCGATGCCGTGCAAGCGCGAAGACTATTCCTATTAAACTTTAACCACGGTCGCTTTAGTAACACGCAGGGAGCACCGCTCTTATATTTAAGCCACAGATTTGGACCTACCTCGCCCTAGCCCTAAACGGCGTAACTGACTGGCCCCGCTTTTATGGAGGGGATTTTAAAATGTCAGAACCCTCTCTTGATTTTTTTTGGGGGCTTTTTGCTTTTACAGCAGCTCCTATATTTCCTAAGAAGAACAAAAAAACGTCCGTCCCTTCGGAATACGATGGCTCCACACGCTCGGGCTGCCCACGCCGTGGGTGATCCGTTGCCCTTTGGAGGGGATTAACCGGACCGTTACATTTTACTGCTCTTGTAAATTAGGTCCCTTTGCGAAAAGGTGAATTTTATTCCAAAAGGGCTCTCGCCTGCTTAGGGTGTGTAAGCACTGGGGATTCGAGTGAGTTGGCGCTCTCTCACGGTGGCCCATTTACGCCCGTCGTAACCCTACGGATTTCCTCGGAATACTTTCATGATTTAAACACTTAACTGGGGGCCTCTCGGCTCGTCATCTCGACCGCACGTTTTGACCACGTGATTTAATATTCCCGCACCCTTGCCCGTTTAAATGTTTTCATTATTATATATTTATAAAAAAATGTTTTATTATTATATATTTTTTGCCCCCCCAACATCACTGAATCATCCAGTTTTTCCATATCAATACCATCCCCTGCTCCCCTGCCATTGTTAGCATCGAGCCCAAGGTTATTTTGTGGCCGCGTTTGGACGGCGTGCAGTGCCGCACGATGCACAGCAGCCGTTGCGTGTCACGTCGACCGATGCTGCGCTTTCCACGAATTATTTCCATAACGAGGAACGCCGCCCCTCACCGTGGGCCCGGGAACGAACGTCTTTGTGAATGTGCAATGTGTGTGTGCACATGTGCTCACTAACAGCACTTGACCCTACAGTCTGTTAAGGCTATACGGGGGATCTTTGTGTGTGTGCGCATACGTACGTGCGTACGTGCGTGCGTGCGTGCATACGTACGTGCGTGTGTGTATGCAAGTGCGGGGCTTAATTTATCACCTCGATATTTTCCGGAGCGCGACTGGCTCGGCTGTCTCAGAGTAGGGATCATCGGCATAAGGCACTACCACTAGAGTACACAGTATGTATATCTTTAATAATCGCATATTATTGTACGCTGTATCCCGATCAACCTATGAACAGGTTTAGGACAAAATAGAGTGAGATGAATGTTAGATTGCCTAATAACGAATTCCTGGACGGTTCCAGCTGAAACGAAGTCCGTACTCTCGTGTGTACGAGCCAACTGGAGAGTGGCAGTGTAGAGGTTCGAGCATCGGTGAAAAAGAGCTTCATGGCTCATCGGATTCCTCCAGTCTAAATAAATATTGTGATTCGGATAGACCGCTGCAGCTACGAACCGGGCGACAAACAGAGTTAGATTCCTGATCAGTCAACGTCAGTGACGAATATCTGAACTTGCCCTGGGCATCCTTGACACGGCCTTAAATTGGTACCTAGCGCCGTGTGTAAACATCTGCAATGGGAGAGACACGGGTGGACGGGGTGTGGTGCCGTCCCTTCAGAAAGGTCCTGGCTAACGGCACTCACCCCAATAGTCTGCAAGCCTCTATGGAGGATCTTTGTAATTTTTCGTGTACGAATTGAAAACCAAAGCTAATAACCACCACCGTGCGCACAGCCCTTGCTGCAGAATAGATACACGACCAACAAACGCCCGAGCAATAATAATCACGCAACATCTGTGTCCAGACTAGGGGGGGGGGGGGGGGGAGGGTTTGCCAACTTTCTCTCGCGAGAGAGGAGAGTGCCCGTTTCGCCGTGCCATCTGCGTCGTGACGACGGTGCATTCGGCCTGCACCGTCGCTGTTACCGCACCGTTTCAATAGCCCCCGGGGGGTTGGCCGTGCATCAGAGGCGACGCGACGTGTCGTCGCCGGCGCGGGTCCGCGACGACGCTCATCGGCTTGCTCGTGGCGTTTACCGCGCGCGGGGAATATCGGCTCGGCGGGGACTCGCGCGGGAAGAAATGAGACTCGCTGCCGAGCTGTAGCCCTCCGGCGCTGGAGATGTTGCGAAGCGAGCCAGCGAGCCAGCGAGCCAGCGTGAGCCCACGCAGGCTCTGGCTTCACGCGAGGTCCACCTTCTGTCTCAGCAAGGGGGGGGGGGGGATCTCCAAATATTTGACTTAATCCGCTATCAGCTAAAGCTAATACGTCTGACCTGGCAATATCCCCTCCATCATTGCAATCATTTTGCACCGATGGATTAACCACAGGACAAACCAAGGTATTCTCTAGGTTTCAGTCTGAGTAAGCGCCTCTAATATACGAGTCGTAGGATTGGGTTTTATTATTTTTGAGACGCTCGCAAAGACATGCGACGAGTCCAAGAATGCACCCAACCTTATCAGATGTCAGCAGCCAAGCTGGATTTGAGCCTGGATAAAGCTGGGATAGGAGGTGACCACAATGCACAGGAGATTGCTTTTAGGGTACTGCTGGGCTACGCGCTGAGCAGCAGAGGGCAGTTGCAGCCAATTCCAATGCTGTACAGTACTTCTACGATCCCACGCCCGTGCTTTCTGCCTTCATCCCGCAGTGACCCGCGTGGTGAAGCATAGTCAAAGAGCCCCCCACTATCTGCACGGCGTGGAGAGGCTCTCATCCAAAAGGCCCCCCCCCCCTCCATACGTGGTCACATGTACAACCTCATGTCGTTTTCTGCTTTCGCTTCGTGCCACAACTTACCCAAGGCACCCATTACAGCTAAGTCATTATTGAATACTCCAATAACATTATTATTATTCGTGCGCGGTTGCTATTTACTTATTCTACAGTACTCCTGGCCATGGAAGCAGTTAAAATATTAATGCGGCATTAATTTAAGCCTCATTTAAATAGTCTGGTTACCGGTCAATTACAAGGGTACAGGCTGGAGTGGCTTGCGGTTTTTCGCCACCAATTCGAAGTGCTCGCGTCGGAGGAAACGTTATTCTTAACTTGGTCGGAGACGAAAACGACGAATAACAGTGGAGGAGAAAGTTCCGCGATTCCGGGCCAGTGGCGGTACGAAACCCATCGCAAAGTGTAAGCAACGAGCGCTAAACGCCGACGAGGATGCGAGCAGATGTTCGTGTCCGTTGGGTGCCTGAGCATACTTCACATTATAAACATGTTATTGCCCCAGAAGAAATGCGTCGGGCATACCAGGGGACGGCATTACATTTGGTAATCTTCACGCACGAAGGCAATGTTTTATTTTTGCGTCTACATTTCATTCGGCTCGCAGTCTGCACGCGCGTTTGTCAACGCTTTCCCCACCCCCCTGGCCCGCCTGCCGAAATATTTTCACGACGTTTCCTGGATACCCAACACATTCATCAATAACTCCGATCGGCGCGTATTTGGGATCTCTGCGTGTGTTAATGATCAGAAACACGGAACAAGTGATGACACGCGCGGAGGAACCTTGCGTGGGGCATCATAGCGAGAGATAGAAAGAGGACAGCGTGGATCAGGGAACGCAATGCAAAGTCAGAGACATCGAATCGATTGCAGAGGGAGGCGAGTGGCTCGGGACAGAACCCATTATGGCTGGAAGGGACAACAGCCAATGTATGAGACTGAAAACTATTTTTATTTTTATAAAACTATATATAATTTTTATAAAACTAAAATAAAAATTTTTTTTACCAGGTAAGGCCCACTGAGCTACGTAGCTCTTTTTCAGGAGCGACCAGGCCACAAATCGAAGCTCAACGAAAGTGGCTTGTTGTGCGTAAATGTCTAGCAGCCACAATACTCTAAACGCGTCAGTTTGATTCTCAATGTGGAGAGGAAAACCGGAGGACCCGAAGAAAAATCTACACGACCACGGGGAGAGAGAGAAAGAGAAGCATGCAAACTCCATATATACAGGTGTTAGGGTCAGCATTGAATCCACGACCTCCTGTATACCAGGCGAGGTAGTTAACACCTCCCCACAGCGGGCACCCTGGCAGCCCAAGGTGAGAAAGCACCCAAAGCGGCGAGCGCCGGACCACTCGAGAGACGAGGCCGGCGCACGCGGAGGCGCGAGACGGATCGTCGCACGTCCGCGAGTGGTGGCAACGGAATCCAGAGTTGTTACGTTCAACGCCTCTACAATTATTGACGATTCATTTATACGCAGGCATCGTTCACATCCCTTTGTCAAGCCACTCCTGGAAGAAAACCTCCTCCCTCCCCCACTCCCTGGGGGTCGTTTGACCACATTGCACTGCGTCTGTCATTGCTGATTGCTAAAGGGGGGACGGGATGGGACAAGATGATATCACTCAACACTGATGTTAGCCGTGACTGGAAGTCGAACCCAGGTGGTGGGATTTTAATGGTGCAGCACGCTACCCGGTGTCACATTTGCCCCGACAAAACCATTAATACCGACCGCAATGCTGCACATTACTCTATATCATTGGTAAAGGTTTCCTCTCTGATAAATCGCTCCCCGTTCTGTGCCCTGCTCGAATGAGTAAAGAGACGCATTATGCCCAGACCACAATCTAACGCTGGAGCTATAAAACCAAACTCCTACCGTCTCACCGGGCTCTCAGCTGCCCGCTCAAGCGCATGTTTCCCTGCCATCCCCGCCAACTTCGTGATCGCCCAATCTCTCTTCGATCCACACGCGGATCAATCCAGCCCCCCCATGGTTGGCAACCACACAAAGCCGGAACGTGGGGCTGATTGCGAGCAACGGGGTTGAGAAACGCGGCACGGGATGGCGACGGCCCTCCCTGGCAAAGCCGGCAATAGAAATGACCGCACCCTTGCGATGTCGAGTGCCCCGGCCACATTTGTATCCCCGATTTTTTTTAGTTTTGCGAGCGCCGCTGCCTCTCTCTCTCTCCACCTCCCGCCCGCCCGCCCTCTCTGCCCCTGCCGCTCTCCTCGTCCCGATTTGACGGCTCCCCCAGCGCTCGCCGTCGAGCGGGTGAGCGGCGAGCGTGTTTAGGCCGGGGGTGGGTGGAAGTGGGGGGGGTTGGGGAACCAATTCGACCCAGGTCCATCAACGAGCGCCACGGCCATCAACGTGGGGCCCTATCGCTCCGGAGGGGATTGATTGATAACACGATGTAACACGAGTTTTGTCCCTGGGTGGTGTTATTTTTTTAATTGCTTATGTCTACAAAGTATAGAAAATGGCTATTCTCACAAACTTTGCTTTTGTGACCAGGACTTTATGTGAAGAAATTACACAAACGCACACCACGTTTTCTCATTGAAAATAGGTACATTTCTAAATATCACTCTCCTGGTCACAAAAGCAAAGTTTGTGGGGAACAATAGCCATTTTCTGCACTTTTGAGGATAAGCAATTAGGAAATAACACTTTTACTACCCAGGGACAAAACAATGTTTTTGTTACACAGTGTGATCCACCACACTCAGAAATCATCCTCAGAAAATGTGATTTTTTTTGTCTCTCTCGGCCCCTCGAGGGAGACGTTTGCCGAGATGAGACGCCGTTCCAACGACGGACGTTGGCACCATCCTGACCCAGCCCATCTCCCACGGCCCCTTCCATTCTTTACGGAGGACAGCTGGGGCCACAAACAGCCATCCTCCGTATATATTATTATTTTTATTATCATAGATGAGCCGTTGGTATTGCATCCATATCCAGCCCTCTTAATCATGATCGTCGTACGTTTGACATTCGTACCATTCGAATAAAACGCAAGGTGCGGCTTCGTGGCCTCTTTTTCTCCTTCCAATTTAGCTATTGAGATCCACTGCGCTGCGTTTTCTTGTCCAGCGCCTTCGGAATGACGCCTCGGCTCCAGCCTCTCGCGCCGTGGGGGTGACCTCCAGCCTCCGTTGCCTCCAGCCGCCGTCGCTGTTGTCAATCATCAATCGCCGTCAGATGACGCTCTCCTAACGTGCCCATGACCCAGCAGCCTCCATCCATTTCAATTCTTTCCCCGATAGAAGTCGTTCTAACCCCACGCAGCCCCGCAGACCCACACCGCGGGAGCCCGAGACGAGAAGTTGTTAGATTCGATTTTGGACTTTTGTTTCGTGCGCCTTGCCGCTGCACGTAGCACTTTAAACGTTTTGCCAAATATAGAAATACGCTTGCTGCTGCTGCTATGGTGGTGCTGGTGGGTGGTCTGAGCCAGGTGCCGAATGTGTCCCTGCCCGCTCGCTGCAGGCTCGATGCTTCCACCTGCTGGGGGGTGGTGGCGCTGCTGCTGCTGCAGCACCGCCTCCACCGCCTCCACCTCCTCCCCCCGTGCTCGCTCGAGGCGAGCGGCGGTCGTGAGCGGCGGTCGTGAGCGACGTGTTGTGCGTACAAGGAGCTCATACCTGTCAACCCCTCATCAGTGCTCACACTATCACAGACCAATTCAGAGCTTATTGGTCACCCCCGTGCCCCTTATAAATATCATCCTACAAAGTCCCATCACAGGGAGAAACACAAATAGGATACAAATTTTGTTTCCCCGCATTGAAACGGCTCAGCGCCGTATGGACCTGAAAACTGAATTTCCCTGTGCAAGAATACAAGTAAAATACTTGCAATGATAATAATTCTAATGTATAGCCTCGGTCTATACACTAGACACGTGTCCGTCACGGGCGTTATTTAACCATACTTCACCACGCTGGTCAGTGTTTGCTGGTGAAGTTGGGGAGCGGTCGGGGGGGGGGCGGGGGGCTGGTAAGGGTCCAGAGCCGGTTGAGGGATCACTCCGCCACCTGATGTTAGCCGTAGCTGGGAATCGAACTCGGCTTTCGCCGTGCCCATGGCGCACTGCACTCACCACTGTCGCCGCCGCCTCTCCGCCCCGCGTCAGTAAATATGCGGTGATCAATGCACGATGCAAACGGCCGCGATTGCGTTGTGCGATTATCTCGCGCGAGCGCACGAGGGGTCGATTCGTGAAGGCATTGATGTCCTGCCGTCTCCTGGCCACCTCGCGGATGAAGCCGGCAAGATTTGATCTTCGCCAGGCGGTCTCCGCGCAGCGAGGGCGAACTCACGAGGCTCACTGGGCGCTTCACTTCCAGCAGCTTGACGAGGTTGGGCGGCACATTCGGCGCGAGTTGGTCGTAAGAGAGGAAGGCCGTAGGGATAGCACGCCAGACTGTGGCTGCTTTTGACGGCGAGTTTGTTGATGTGGCTGGCAAGCACACCAAAGGTTCGTTTGATCAATTCTTTAGTTTCCCCACTGCATCGGCTGTGGGAACTTATTTATATATGACACGACGCGTCTAATTTTCTGACCCAGTACTTTGCGCTGCCGTGCGATCGCCGAGAGGCACGGACCTGCCGTTGGCGATGAACGGGAAGATGGTGCTGTAGAAGCAGACGGTGGTGAGGACGAGCATCCAGTAGGTGCGCTTGAAGCGGCGAACGTCCGTGATGTTCTGCACCGAAAAAAAGAGAGTGCCACCCCCACGCACCTCACCGATTGCCCCAGGATTATTGGCCTCTTTCTCATTCCGATCAACGTACGAGTACGTCACCATATCTGTCTTCCGATTCCGCTCCGGTGGCGTACGACGTACGTGTACGTAGTCGGAACACAAAAACTCAACTAACTTAATCGGTGCGTCTTCAGATCGGAAGACTTACCGAGGGCTCCCACAATGCCATGCGGCAGGGCGGGTGGCACAGTTTGGTGCCAGCCATCGTACAGTGCGGTCGTGTCGCCGCGGTTCTCTGCGGCGATTACGACGTCTTTAAAAAAAAACAACAACGGCGCTGCGCCTCTCCAAATAAAATTAACGGCAACCGCTCGCGAGTTCTGAGATCCGGCAGTAAAGGGGGACACCCACATTGCAACTTGCAGACGTCTCGGAAGGGGGCGAAGGGTTAATCCTCGCGGGGACAATGGGAGATGAACGGACGGATCCACGAGGAGAAATCGGCTTTGGGCACGAGGGCCCATCCGGTTACAGTTCACTTGGTTCACGTCAGCGCCAGCTGTGGAATAATTTTAATCGGCCGTTCATTTATCCTCCCGCCCTCACCGCTCATCCATCTTTCTGACTGCCCAGCCTCACCGTTTGGTCCAAGGCTAAAGGACAATATGCAAAAAAATTTTCATACCATCTGCTGCTGACCGTTTTGGGAAATATCGCCCAAATGTTTCAGCTGCGCGCCGTAGACCTCGTTTCAAAAATGTCCCGCTCAAGAAACAAAGAGGAACTCGGTAGGGCAGCACCGATTGCGTCCGTGGTCCGCAGACCGTCAGGTGACCGATGGCCGCAGTTTTGCAGATCATCGATTGGTAACGGCTCTACTGAAGAGGAGCAACTGGGGTGAAAATACAGGCTGACAACAACAATCGATCAATGGATCGATGATGCGAAACTTCCAGGCGGTGGGGCCATACTCGTGCACCGGGCACGTGATCTGGGGGGGGGGGGGGGGGGGCGGGGGGGTTTAGGTGGGCGGGGGGGTTACCACGCTCTTGGCTTCGCGACGCAGTCCGGCGTAGAGGCCAAGCTGCTGCAGGCCCCTCTGGTCCAGGTAGCCCACCGTGCAGGCAGCTACGAGGCTCACGGCGCACAGCACTGCCCCTGCGCCGCCGCCACCGCCGCCGCCGCCACCGGGATAAGGGGGTTAATAACATCCTGACGGGAGGTGGACAGCCACAGAAAGCCCACGCTCGAAAGTCCGGTGGCAGATTTAGGCGTGGGGACTGCGGAATGAGCGATCGCTCCATCTGGTTCCCCTGGGGAGGGGGGGGGGGGGCGTTGGGGTGAGTGGTGGGGGGGTTGGAGAAACCTGGCACAATGCAAATTACCGTCGAATAAATGCACGGCTCTCACAGGTGCGGTTTTTCTCACTTCACAAAGCAGCCGGCGCATGGGGGGCCGCCGCGTCCGGGTGGGGGGGGGGGGCTCCGATCGTCTCACTGTCGCTCGGCGCATCTCCGTACCGGAGGAGCAAAAACCGATTCCCCCTCGGCAGCGAGCGGCGCGTTCCGCCATGCGGATCCGGCAAGGTCTCGCATCCCGTGCCCTGCCCGCCACCGCCCACTTCCCTGCCAGGCTTCCCAAGCCAGAATACATTTATGGGGGTTTTTTTTTTCCGTCCCATTCTCTGCACCTGCCACTGATAATTCTCCACTTGATATGAAATGCATGCAACTGGAAAAAATATGGGTTGCTCCGAAAAGGGCACGGCGAGATATATCGGTGACAAAATCAAATGGGATTTATGATCGTTTATCAGTTTGCGCTCAGCTCCGAGTGACTGCGTGAGCGTGTTTGTCTGTGTGTTTGTCTGTGTGTTTGTCTGTGTGGTTGAGTGTGTGTGTCTGTGTGTTTGAGTGTGTGCGTGTTTGTCTGTGTGTTTGTCTGTGTGTTTGAGTGTGTGCGTGTTTCTCTGTGTGTTTGAGTGTGTGAGTGTTTGTCTGTGTGTTTGTCTATGTGTTTGAGTGTGTGCGTGTTTGTCTGTGTGTTTGTCTGTGTGTTTGAGTGTGTGTCTGTGTGTTTGAGTGTGTTTGTCTGTGTGTTTGAGTGTGTTTGTCTGTGTGTTTGAGTGTGTGCGTGTTTCTCTGTGTGTTTAAGTGTGTGCGTGTTTGTCTGTGTGTTTGTCTGTGTGTTTGAGTGTGTGTCTGTGTGTTTGAGTGTGTGTCTGTGTGTTTGAGTGTGTGCGTGTTTGTCTGTGTGTTTGTCTGTGTGTTTGTCTGTGTTTGTCTGTGTGTTTGAGTGTGTGCGTGTTTCTCTGTGTGTTTGAGTGTGTGCGTGTTTGTCTGTGTGTTTGAGTGTGTGTCTGTGTGTTTGAGTGTGTGTCTGTGTGTTTGAGTGTGTGCGTGTTTGTCTGTGTGTTTGTCTGTGTGTTTGTCTGTGTTTGTCTGTGTGTTTGAGTGTGTGCGTGTTTCTCTGTGTGTTTGAGTGTGTGCGTGTTTGTCTGTGTGTTTGTCTGTGTGTTTGAGTGTGTGTGTCTGTGTGTTTGAGTGTGTGCGCGTTTGTTTGTGTGTTTGAGTGTTTGTTTATGTGGGGAGCCGTAGTACAGTGGCTACGAACCCGGACACCCAAGTTCGATTCCCGCTCACGGCCAACACCGGTGAAGATTATCCGAACCGGTACCTAGCCTCTCCTAGGTTGATTCAACCTCAAATGAGTACCTGGCGCGGTGTATAAAGATCAGCACTGGACGTGGTGTTGACCACCCCACCCATTACTGTGCCCTGCAGGCCTTCATAGGTGTTCGTTAACAGCACTTGCCCCAACAGTCTATTATAGGTTACATGGGGAGGGATCTTTGTCTTTGTGTTTATTGTGCATGTGTGCCCGTGCGTGTGTGTGCGTGTGTGCCCGTGCATGCGTGTGCCCGTGCATGCGTGTGCGTGTGCGCCCGTGTGTGTGCGTCTGTGCCCGTGCGTGTGCATGTGTGCCCGTGCGTGTGTGTGCGTGTGTGCCCGTGCGTGCGTGTGCGTGTGTGCCCGTGCGTGCGTGTGCGTGTGTGCCGTGCGTGCGTGTGTGCCGTGCGTGCGTGTGCGTGTGTGCCCGTGCGTGCGTGTGCGTGCGTGCCCGTGCGTGTGTGTGTGCCCGTGTGTGCCCGTGCGTGTGTGCGTGTGTGGCCGTGCGTGTGTGTGTGTGCGTGTGTGCCCGTGCGTGTGTACCCGTGCGTGGGTGTGCGTGTGTGCCCGTGCGTGTGCGTGCGTGCGTGTGCGTTTAAACAAACACCGGCCCACAGCGTCGCCTCCAGGCCGAAGCGGTGCTCGAAGCTCTCGGTGCAGAGGAAGTTGAGAACGCTGCCGAGTCTCGAGAAGGCGATGGTCACCCCGAACGCCATGGCCAGCTCTTTCTCACGGAACCAGAAGGCCACGATGCGGAACTGCACGACTTGAGAGAGGGAGGGAGGGGGACATCCCAGGTGGTTGATCACTTCTGGAAGGGAGGTCTGGCCATCGAGCACCTCATTGTAAAAAAAAAAATTGTCCACAAAGTCAACATTCGTCAATAACATATCGTGCTTCTTTGGCAATCCCTCACAGTCGAGGAGGATGTCCTCCCATCACTGCCTCATCTGTGGGTCCGAAGATTGCTGACGAGGCCAATCTGGGATCGACAGACTCGTCAATAACACGGTTGTGGCCTTAAAAAAAGAAAAATATATACATGTAATGCGGGACGTTTCAGCTAATGGCCCTTCTTCACAGCACGAAGCTTTATTATGAGCGTTTGCGACCACTGCCACCGCAGCATCGCCAACTATTTTTTTTATTTGTTCTCATTATTAACCGGCATGCTAATTTAGAATTCGGAATGAGGGCATTTTAGCGCAGATCGTAACAGCAATGCATCGACGGTGGCCCTGGTGAGGAAACGGGGAGACAAGTGACAAGAATAATAATGATGATAGCAGCAGCAGCTCACGGAATTCAACGTTATCCACAGGCTCTGTCCACAGCGCGCGGCTGGTGCGGGCTAAGAATGGGTCCTCCGGATTCCCCCCTCCACGTTCAGAATCAACATCACACGCGTTCACAGTATTTGGCCGCTGTACATTTCCACGTGATAAGCCACTTCGTTAAGTTATCATTTGTGGCCAGGTCGCTTCTGAAAAGAAAAGCGACATAGTTCAGTGGGGGCTTACCTAGTAAAATAAAAATTGTTTTAGTTTAGAATGCTGAAGGGATGTCGTGAAGTCACAGCAGGCAAGACGAACGAATTAGGAAATGCTTCAAAGTAAATCGGTCATCAGATCGCCACGCGTGCGCCTAGTGTGATGGCACGCACAAAGACGAAGATCCCCCGTGTAGCCTTCAGCAGACTGTTGGGGCAAGTGCTGTTAGCGAGCACCTATCAAGGCCGGCACCACGCCCGTGACCCTTCATCTCCCCAGTGCTAGCGATGTTTACTACTACAACCTAGGCGAGGAGGCACAGGACCGATTCAAATAATAATCGCTGGCGTTGGCCGTGGGCGGCAATCGAACTCGGGTGACCCGGGTTCGTAGCGCGGTGCGCGCTCACCGCTACACTACCGCTCCCCACCACGCACACGCACACACGCACGCACACACACACACGGACACGCGCACACAGGCGCACGCACACACACACACGCGCGCACACACACACGTGCGCACACGCGCACGCACACGCGCGCACACACACGCACACGCGCACGTGCACACACACGCACGCACACGCGCACACACACGCACGTACACGCGCACACACACACGCACACACGCACAACTCTGTGCACCATTAATCTGCTGTGAATTCAATACGGGGGGTGACGATGCTTGAAGTGAGAGTGCCAAAAATGAAAATTGGTTATACGGCCCTGATGAACTTGGTAATTACCTGATTATTACATTTATAAAGAGAAGTTTTAGTGTGTGATGAAACATTAACGAGTCACCTAACCAGAATTGAATGAGGTAATTACGATTAATGGTCTGCCGATACAGTAAAAGAGAAAACACTTTATAAAAACAACGTTCATATAAAAGAACAAAAAGTTACATTCCCCGGGGGGGAGGGGTGGACAAGCTCCCTCTTAGCGACGTTTCAACAACATGCAACAAATAATAACTAATTCCCCACTTTGAACCATCATCGCGGGGTGGAAGCTGGTGGTTCGACTTTCCGCCTCCCTCTCTCAGCTTTTCTAATGAATCCCGCCCGCCTCCTCCCCCCCCCCACCAACACGTCTCCTGCCTGCTGCCTCCTGCCTGGCTGCCTGGCTGCCTCCTGCTGCCTCCCGTGCAGGATCTGTGCTCGGAACGTCACTTCCGCGACATTCGCACGGCGAGCGAGCGAGCGAGAGGCAGTGGCAGTGCCCTCAGGAGGATGCTGCGTGGAACACACGACATGTAGAGATGGAAACATGTTTTTGCTTGAACGCATTGAATTGTCATTGCGGAGCAATTGAAACAAAGACAAAGATCCCCCGTGTAGCCTTGACAGACTGTAGGGGCAAGTGCTGTTAGCGAGCACCGATGAAGGCCGGCACGGCACACGAATGGGGTGGGTGGCCAGCACCACGCCCGGCCGCCTTTGTCTCCGCAGCGGCGATGTTTACACACCGTACCAGGTTCACATTTGAGGCTGAGTCGACCTAGGGGAGGCTCACGACCTGTTCAGATAATCGCCACTGGTGTTGGCCGTGAGCGTGAATCGAACCCGGGTCGCCGGGTTCATAGCGCAGCGTAGCGCTAACCGCTACACCACCGCTCTCCACAGTTGAAACACACCCACACACACCCACACACACCCCACACAAACCCACACACATCCACACACCTACACCCACACACACCCCACACACACACACACCCACACACACCCACACACACCCACTCACACACACACCCACACACATCCATACACACTCACACACACATCCACACACACCCACACACACCCCCTCACACCCACACACACACCCACACACCCCACATACGCACGCGGTTCAAACTTCGCCGTGCGGCGCAAAAGTGAAAGGAAATATCCTCGATTTTTTTCATTTCCTCCCAAACCTGCGTTTCTCGCCGTGCACCAGAAGAGTCGCCAAAATGTTTAAAAGGGGAATAAAAGGCAACCCCCAACCGTTACGCGTGCTAGAGGATCCCACGCACGCAAGCGGAGACGTTGCGAGGCCGGTGACCTCCCCCGGGGTGGGGTGGTGGGGGCAGCCAAAGAATCCCCACAGCATGCCGCCGTGCTGGCGAGTGGCGAGCAAGCGAGGAGGGACTCGGGGTCGCTGGAGAGAGCCATCGGCCTCCTCCTACCCCCCCCCGTCCCTCTCGTGCCGCCAACCAACAGATACATTTCACACTCAGCCGCCGCCAAAAAGTCTGCTCATCGGCAACAGCAAGTTGCAACGGCATCGTCGTCATTAGCACGCGGGTCTGTTTCGCTGCTGGATGATGACTCTCCCCAGGTATTAATTCTAGATTTGAAGCTTTCGTGACTGCAGGATTCATATTCTTAGGTTTTTCGGTAAAGTCACGTAGGTAAAAAAAAATAATTAATAAAAGTTAAATAAAAAATTAAATAAAAATCACGATGTTTCGGAGGCAACACAAGCTTGATACAAGCTATCGTGCTGTGACGGTTCCACCTGAAGACGGAAGCTTGTGTTGCCTCCGAAACGTCGTGATTTTTATTTTATTTTTATTTTACTTTTATTAATTTAAATTTTTTACCTACGTGACTTTACCGAAAAACCTAATAATATGAATATCTCCCCAGATAGTTCGTCCATCTCTCGCGCAGTCCCGGGATGTAAGCCGGCTGTCCGGCAGCACTTGCACGCAAGCCCGATCCGTTGCTCGATCTCAGCGGGGGCCGTCGTGTTGGAGGTGTTCCCCCTCCCGTTGGGCTGCAACTCCTTCACGTTATCCCGGATCGTTGGGCATCGTCCCCTCTAGGGAAGTGTTCTGACCATGTCCATTTACTTTCCGTAACGGTCAATAATGTCGGTGTCTCTCACTTGCGTCCGTTCCCTAATCCACGTGGTTACTCTTCCTTGCTCAAAAACATCGAGATGGAGATAGTAAATCTTGACTTAAAGCTTTCGTGACTGCAAGAAATCATATTCTTTGGGTCTTTCGGTAAAGTCACGGAGATAGGTTCAAAGAACATTAGGAATGATGACGATCGCTTATGTTGCGATCGAAACGTTGTATTTTTTCGTTATTTTGTTAAGTTCTTTGAACCTATGTGACTTTACCAAAAGACCCAAAGAATATGGAAAGTAATTTGAACAAAAATCTGACAAGTGCACAGAGAAACCCCCGTATACTGTAAACAGCATTACCATCGCTCTTCAAACACTACAGAGCCACGGTTCGCATCAGGGAATGTCTCTTTTGCTACACTCGTGCTTTCTAAAAGGCCTTGCACCGTATTGCATTTCCATAGACATTAGGAACCAGACCCAAGCCGTGCCAACATGGCCCTGCTAGGCTCGTTTATTCTGCCAACGCTCCACCCCGCTCGCTCGCTCCCCATCCCTCATCTCTGCAGCGCGGGGGAATGTAATATATTTATATCATGTTATTGTATGCTTGGATTAGCTTACACTACCCAAACCAAAACATATTACTTTTACGTGATTTCATTCGACATTTGTCTCAACGTAAATCTGGCTCACATGGGAATCCCAGCCGAGGGCCCATCACCCACGCTGCCGGGTTTCGCGAAGCCGGGCCGGCTCAGGTTTGAAAGCGGTCAAGGGCCGGCCACGGGCGTGAGTGCCCAGCACAGGCGGAGGGAGGAGGCCTGCCACACTGTCGACGCATCGGACTGACACATCCGTCACCACTCGGGCACGAGGGCCAAGACGAGGGGCTTTGACCGGCAAACGCCGTGGCTTGGCATTGGCTCACACTCTGCACCGCGTGTTCAGCCACCCATCCCCAAGGCACCGTGTGAGCGCTTTGTGCCCGACGGAGCGTCGCCCGAAAAAGGCATCCCGCTGCCCATGCGATGGGATGCACGTTGCGTTGCCGCCACTTACGGTTTCAAGGATTTGCATGCATTGAGGCCAAGCAAATAAACCAGTAGCGCGTGAAGACAATGCCCAAATGACTTTCACCTCTCTCTCTGTAATGCACTATTAGCCCCGGCATATGTTACCGTGTTCTTTTGATTATAAAATGCATCCTCTTAAAATACACATCCCTAATGACACGTGACCTAATACCGCCAAGAGAAAGCCCGCCGAGATGCGCATTATGCTTTCGTTCCGTTTCCCGGCTTAGCAATATGATAAATTGAAAACTGCTTTTAAATATTTTTTTTCATGTAAATTGCAGTCATTTATTTCCTCACTGAATATATATGCTTGGTTCTTTCGGTAAAGTCACGTAGATAGAAAATGTAATATTAATGATAAATAAATTAAAATGAAAAATAAAAGCAAAAAACCATGACGTTTCGATCGCAACACAAGCGGTCTTCATCAGGAATTCATATTCTTGGTCTTTCGGTAAAGTCACGTAGATAGATTCAAAGGAAATATGCAATTTTTTGTTATTTTCTTTGAACCTATCTACGTGACTTTACCGAAAGACCCAAGAATATGCGCTGAATATGTTCCACTGAATATGTTCCACTGATTATAATCACCTAAATATGTTCCACTGATTATGTTCCACTGATTATGTTCCACTGATTATGTTCCACCAAAAATGTTCCACCAAAAATGTTCCACTGAATATGTTCCACTGAATATGTTTCACTGAAAATGTTCCACTGAATATGTTCCACTGAATATGTTCCACTAAAAATGTTCCACTGAATATGTTCCACTAAAAATGTTCCACTGAATATGTTCCACTGAATATGTTCCACCAAAAATGTTCCGCGTTGCCGGTGGAGCGGGGTTGGCACACGTGACCGGTACCCGCAGCCAAAGCCAGAGGTGTACACGATGTGGCGTGCCGGGAGCGGAAATAATTTCCCGGTCTCGAACCCAGACGGACCCCACTGGAATGAATCCCCGGCGAGTCACGAACGCTTCACATTCACGTCGTGTTGCTGTCAGAATGCGAACACCCTTCGTGGGTACCTGTAATGGGACCCCTTTTGCCAGTATCGCGATGTTGAAAACTCAAAAAAAGGCTTTTCCCATGATGGCATAAATACAGGAAGTGTTAACATGTTCAAACACCACACAGGAACCTGTCATCAAGGCATTAACCACACATAATTGTGGTGGGGAAAAAACTTTTGATAATTTATGCACTGTCCTTGAAACTGATTGGCCTACACCAGAGACATATTCTTTCATGGCTTTGTGGTACCAAATGCTATCGAGAGAAAGGCTGCCAAAAAGGCAAATAGTACAAGGACGTTGCCAATACCAACGCATTCATAGCTCGACTTAAAGCGGTTAAATGTATCGTGGGGATGAATTTGGATGGCGCAACATTTTTGCCATTGGTCGGGTGCCGTGGTCTGCGCGTTCTCTGTTGCCAGGGTCCACACGGAGACGATTATCTCTGGGGAGGCTCACGACGGAGGTAATAATTCACTTCTCTGCTTACTCACCTCTTCTCTGATATAATAAATATGCCAAGAATTGATGATGCCAAAATAACCCCGAAAAACTACGCACAATAATTCATCCTTTTCTCTGATTCACGATTCTTATCCCCTGTTCAGTCTTTTTGATAATTAATAACAGCCCTGTGAAAGTCAACAACACAAGAGTTATTTCTTATTTCGCTGCCATAGATCTCATTCATGGAGCGATAAGATCGGTTCACGCACTGGAGCCGGATGGATTGTGGCATCGCAGGGCCATGACGGATGGCGATGGCATGGGGAGGCCTTCATCCAGCAGTGGATTGATTACAGCCGATGATGACGATACGAAGTCTCTGTAGCACGGTGTTGGGGGAGTATCTATAGAACCTGCATCATCAGCCATGATCAATCCGCTGCTGGCTGAAGGTGTCGCCACCCCGTCGCCATTTTTCACGACCCTGCGACGTGACGATAAACATAGCACCTGCGCACGAGCCGAATTCATTGCTCCATCTCCACGATGGCCGTCACGTAGCCCGTCGTCCCCTTGACGTCTACTGGTGGCCTACGCTGGAGAGCAGCAGGGAGCAGGCGACGCAGCAGAGTTTGCGTGCACCATCGCCGGTACGGCGAAGGTGCCCTACATGTGTTGAATACGAGGATTAAATTTCGTGTCGCCACTGCCCCTTATGGACAGAGCTAAGCTCCAACACTCCGGATGGATCTGGGCGTCAGCATTGTGTCCGGCTGGCGATCGACGTTGTAACAGCGTCAGCCGTTGGTGCCCCCCTTTCCGCGGCTACCACCCCCCCCCCCGCGTCTCACCGGGGCCCCCCCGCCTTGCACCGTGCCCCCCCCGCCTCGCACCATGCCCCCCCCCCCCCCCCCGCGCCTCTTACTGATGAGCGAGACGTTCCCGCAGCCGAAGAGCACCCGCCCGGCGAGCATGAGGGCGAGCATGGAGTGTGTGGAGTCGCGGAGTCGGACGGAGAGCGCGAAGAGCAGCGAGCCGAGCACGCAGAACGACGAGAAGAGCATCACGGAGACTACGGGGCGGGGGCGGGGGGCACAGCGCACAGGGGTCAGCGGGGTCAGCGGGGTCAGCGGGGTCAGAAGGAAAACAAAGCCAATGCCAAGTACCCTAAGAGGCTCAAGGGGCTCTGGATGCATGAAAAAGAAGTGGTCACCCGCATGGCGCACCGTGACACCTCTTCTGTGCATGGCGGTCGCCCGTCCCAGCACTATCCAGGCTCAAGGTGGCTTAGCTTCTGTGTTCCGACAAATTGGGGCGCGTGCATTGCGTGCGACTTGGGCACGTTGGCCCACGTGTTCGCCCGCCCCAGTGGCCTCCCTGTGGAGCCGAGAGGGTGCCCCGCGGAGCGCAATGCAGGCATGGGGTCGCAGGTTGCCTCAGCACCGTTTGCCTCCAGCCGGGCTGTCGCCAAGGAAACGTGCCACCGTCAGCCACCGTCAGCCACCGCACTCCGCTCTGCCGGCTGTGTGACCTTGCTTTCGCAATGGAATCCTTCACGTGCAAGGTTGTGGTCGTGTTTCATTTTTGGGTGGAGGGGAGGGGAATATAACAAGAACTAAAACACTTTTTTAACACCGCCACAGTGGCGTGGAGCATGGTTGGCATAGGCCACCGGTGCAAGTTGTGTAATTAAATGAATTCCCCCCACCGATCAAATTTGCCCCCACCCCCCCTCACTTCGTATCCCCAGTGCGTTTAGGTCCCTCCGGCCCTCCGGCCCCGGTGCAGTGGCAGCATCTGCACGCTCGACGGCTACCGCTGCGCAGTGCTTACCTCGGTTTCCGATCTTGTCCATCAAGTACCCAAAGGGGATCACGAGAACGACATTTCTGAGGGCACAAGCAGAGAAATGGTTTGTCTTGAATTTAATGAGGGATGACGTTTTACCGATGTTCGTCATTCGCGTACGCCAAAGTGTGGAACGTAAACACTTGTAACTCTGTGATCGATCGGTTATTTTTATTTATGTACTAAACTATTTTTTATTCTACTCTTTGGTTCTTTCGGTAAAGTCACGTAGTTTGAGATAAAATAAAATAAAACAAATCACGACGTTTCGTGATTTTTATTTTACCAGGTAAGGCCCCACTGAGTTATGTAGCTCTCTTTCAGAAGCGACCTGGCCACAAATAATAGCCCAATGATGCGACTTATCACGTGGAAATGTACAGAAACCAAATACTCTAAACTAACGTTTCTATATGAGGAGGGAAAAACCGGAGGACCCGGAGAAAAATCTATGCAACCAAGTGGAGAAGACGTCAACTCCAAATATACAGCAGGCGTCAGGGTCAAACCCACGACCTCCTGTATTATAGGCGAGGTAGTTGACATCTCGCCACCGTGACTTGTGCCTCTGGCTTGAGAAGACTGCAAACTCCGTGGCCAGCTTTCCCAGCCTCATTAAAACACACGCAGGTGGCTGACGGAGAATTTAAATGTGCGCACGTTGTACGAGGATAACGACCGGTGCCGAGCACTCGCTGGAACGAGTCTCCCGAGGAAACCGCGTGGATTTAAATTCAAGCTCTGTCTGTCTGGAGGAGGATGTGGTGGTGATGGCACTGCCGTCACCTTACACCCAAAAATCAATCAAACCGCTGTCGCATGCCAGCCGAGTGCGAAACCCAAGGCAGAGTTTGTCCCCTGCTTAAATCAAAGCCACACGTCGCCACTGCCTCTGTCGCAGGTTCCACTCCTGCTCACTGCTGTCAAACATCCTTCCTCCTGAGATCCGCAGACAGTCACGACGCTTTTCACGAACAGAGCCGCATCCAAGGCAATCCGCATCTGCCATTCGTTGGAGATCTACGACAACTACCAGACCCCTTTCGAAATCATGAAAAATCACAACCAGAACCGTTGTAGATGCAGACCTTAATGGCCCTGAGAAATGGATGATCAATAATATCCCCAACAGGCACCCGATCGCCAATTGAATGACAGAACCTCCATGATTTGAACAATGTTCGTCCACGTGAAAATCAAATCGGCACGTCTCACGGCAGATCTGCCCACCACGACCTTCACGAGCAGTAATTTCAAAGAAAGCCCGGCGTGCGATTGCAGAAACGCGGACCAGAACATCGACCACACAGCAGCAGTGAACCGATGTGAACTCCCAAATATTCAATGGAGCCATTGACTCACCCCACCGCATGTCGATTGAACCAATTTCCCAGCTAATTAATCTGGACATCGACTTAATTTCAGTGGAGGGTCTGTCCAGCTCGTTGACGCACACCATGTCCAGTGTGCCTCTCGCCACGGCTGTTGGTGCCTGCTCAAGTCTCCCATCGACGTGGACATTATTCTATTAACAAAAGTGTTGTCCTGCAATAGACGCGAGAGAAAGAGACGCACCCCCACGCGTAGACAGCGTACAGCAAGTTGTACTTGCTCGGTGTGAGTCCCAATCCCGACGGGGTCTCGCAGCCTCCACCACCATCCAGGACAGACGCGTTCTTCGCATTCTGCTCGTCGGAGCAGTTCAAATTCTGGCAACACGGTCAGAGAGCAAATTAAATTTCCAGTCGAGCGCCGCGTATGAATTTGGTTGCCTTTTGCCATGCGGCGCAAACGCAATGTGAGCATTAGTGTTTAATGAGCGCCCACATATCAATTCGCCCCCCTTAACGGCTCCAATGAATGATTATAGTTTGGAGTAATGAATCAATCCAGAATTGTTTCTTCATTGTCGTGTTTTTACTGTCTCGGTTGCACGGGTTTGTTATCCCCATTAGCCTAAATGTAATTTACCATTTAATTTACATATAATTTGTATAAATTGTAAATAATCCATTATTACACCATATGTTTCAATTAATGTACTGTGAAAATTAAGAATTAATTGGAATTAACGAATCGTTCGTTTAATCAATAATAATTTTACCATTTTTTTCACTTTGCAGTTCTGCCTTGCAGTACAAAAACGTTGCTTCAAAAGCCACTGCGGGGCCAGGTGCTCATCGCAACCCACCGCCATGAAGTGCACAGTGAATGTATACCGCTTGGCACGAGGCCATGAAATAATCAGGGTAGTGTCCATCTCCTGGTTATGCCGTTTGTTCGGTGGCGTTGGTTATGCATTCATGGCGAGCCTTGTGAGTCCACCTGCCACTTTATGCTCCCCCCTGCCCCTCCCTCCGCACATTCTCCACGCTGCCCTGGAGCGCCATCCATGAGCATGTTCGGGCACAGAGCCAGGCATCCCCAGATTCACGTTGCCATTGCCTCCCAAATAACGTTCGCATTCCACCCAGCGGCAGCCTTCGGATGACCCAGTTTTATAATGAATAATAATCATAAATGCCCTTTTACCCAGGAAAGCCTCGCTACGTCTCAACGATATGTTCGTTTTTAGCAGGTTACCGCACGGGAATGATTTTCGCCAGTTTAAATTAATGCGTGTTTGGCCACGTGGGAGCCAGTTGGAGAACCCAGTGAAACTGCAGCACCACTCGACGAGGGTGACACTCCATAGGCTATCTTGTCATGGAGATAATGGGACCTCGTATTCCCAGACAGTTTGCTCATCCAAGTGTCAAACACCCTTAAAACCCTGCTTAGCTTCAGGAGATCAAACCAGACCAAGTGGATGGAGGGTAATTAATTCTAGATTTGAAGCTTTCGTGACTGCAAGGATTCATACTCTTAGTTTTTTTCGGTAAAGTCACGTAGGGAAAAATAAATAATACAAATAAAATAATAGAAATAATAATAGAAACAAAATTATAAATCACGACGTTTCGGAGGCAACACAAGTCTCCGTCACCAGGTGGGAGCGTCACAGCTAGATTTACTGTATCAAGTGAGGCAAAATTCCAAGAGACAAGCCCTTTAATACAAGTTAAGGGGGAGGAGGGGGTTATCTGAATGTGGCAGCCAATGAATGGAACGTGTTGTGGGGGGGGGTGGGCGGGGCTAAGAGAGAACAATAGGTGCACATGTTGTTGTTTTAATTAGCTCGCTTTTCTCGGGGCGGAGGGGCCACTCACCCCCTGGAACTGAGCCTGCAGCACCCCCGGCATGTCGAAGCAGTAGTACGAGCCAAAGGTGACGAGGCAGTTACAGAGCAGCACCAGGAAGCGGTACCGTCCTGCAAGCAGCACGCAGGGCAGCACCCAGGGTAGAACACATCAACAACAAATGCCACCACCAACACCATTCCAGGCCGAGGCAGCATCTTCACAATCAATCAGCACCAAGTATGTGTTTTTGTTTAGTCATAGAATAAGTCTATCTCTAATGTTAACCCGTTTGTGCTATCAGTGGCACGTCATGGAGAAGAAGCAGCCAATAAAAAAAAATCTCTCATCCCTTTGTGTGAAAGGCTGGCCCGCAGAAGCAGACATCACAGAACTAGCTTTGAGATCCCTTCAATTGAAATCAATTCCACACAGGAGGCAGAACTCCCCGTGCATCTGCTCCCACACTGGGAGTAATGTGTGTGCATTATTAGTTAGTACGATTTGTATCATTCATGATAGAGGGTGATATTGGTCGCGAAAGCCTACGTGTTAAACTGATTTGTATCATTATCGTTCATGATGAATCCACTTCTGGAATAAGGAATCCCCAAGCGGTCTCCCCCCACCCCCAACAGGGCCAGCTATTCAACTATCCATCAAACAGTTGCACACGAGCCAATCTCACCGCTCCATCTCCACGGTAGTCATCCTCTCGGATGCACTCACTCATTGGCCATCTCCTCCCCGAGTAACGTATGGACTGCTCAAGATCGCTCGCTCTTCCTGAACCACGAAACCCTCGTGTTGCCCCCCAGTATGTGTTCTCTCGTGCACGATTTCCTCCCTCCGTCTCTCAACTACATTTCTTCACGCACCGTTGGGCGTTTGTTCCATTTGCCTTGTCGCCCTCCGATATTTTTGATTCATGCGTCACAGCAAGCTGCGGTGCACACTGATGATACACGGCCCACCCCGAGGCACCTCGGCGAGTTGCTTTTCATGATCAAGTTTCACTTTTTAAAACACACTCCAAGCGCCCGTCACCCACCTTTTCATTTCGTCGTTTTGATCTCAGGCTACCCCAGGCATATACAGGGCGCTTCAAATTTTCTTTAACACTTATATGAGACTATCGTTTTTAATGGGAGAAAAGAACGGATAATACATAGCTTCAAAAAGTCAAAGAGTCTCCACTTCTAGATTTGAAGTGACTGCAAGGATCCATACTCTTTGTTTTTTTTTTGTAAAGTCACGTAGATGAAAATACAATAATATAAAATGAAAACAACTAAATAAAATCACTAATTTAGTTGTTTTCATTTTATATAATCTTATTTTCACCTAGTGATTTAATTTAGTTGTTTTCATTTTATATTATTCAATTTTCACCTACGTGACTTTACCGAAAAAACGAAAGAGTATGAGTCTCCACTTGATCGTCATCATTATTAACGCGTGCCTGGAATCTTCTCCAGGTGGTCTCCAGAGCCCAGAGGCACATTTCTCGTAGTATTGTTGCAAATTCTCCGAAGTGTTCACATTTATTTGAAGCACCCTCTACATGTATATTCTGCTGGATCGTCCAGCGGTGTCCCTCACATATATACCTGCAATCGTTTAAAGAATCAGAATTGCTTTTCCCACTGAATGAAGCCCATAGACCTGAGAAGCTTTTTTCCCAACGGCGACTGGGCCGGCAGACAACATCAAAGCATTTCACAATTACAAATTGAAACAAATAACTTGATCCATGTTTGTTTTTCTTTTGCTTATATTCATCTGCAGCCCAACTACTATTCAGCCTTCTTTAGCGAGTTATTTTACATATCCTGCAGTTAGTTCCCATTGGGCAGATAACGATTATGTGTTCAGCAAATCCGGGATTGTTCGTATAATCTTCTCTCCGTTTACATTCCATGGCCTTTGTTTCTCCAGTCCAAGGTTTCGAAAATAAGTAACTCACACTCGTCAACAACACCGCGTGTAAAATAAAACAAATATATAATCGGCGTGTGCACCACTGCCAATGCAGCAGAAGCAGCAACCACCAAATAACGTTTGGAAAACAACTCCCGGTGTCGCTGGGAGGGGGGGGGGGGATACTTTGGCGACAGCGTTGTCATCTTGCCTGACTCGCGGTCTAATATATGTGCACCCGATGTGGGCTGTTTACACTCATGTTGCCGTGGGCTTGATAATTAGCCGTACTGCGGTTCAAACCGGAGAAAATCAGTAAAATGCAGGGTGCTTCAAAAATGTTTTTTTTTTACACTTCTGAGAATTTGCAACGATACCATAAGAAATTAGCCTCCTCCGGGCTCTGGAGACCACCTGGAGAAGATTCCAGGCACGCGTTGACAATGATTGCTATGCTATGTAAATAAAAATAACAATTTGCTAATCCTTGGCCACAATATCTGGACTTGTCTTCATAGAAATAAATAGATAGATTTCTGGTTATATGATTGTGGCTATGGTTGTACTTTATTAATCCATAATCTCTGCCATTACATACAATGAAACAAGAAATGGTAAAATAAGTAAAAACAGAGCAATGTAATACAATACACTATTAGACATTGTTAGTGATTTAAAAAAAATATTTAGGCAGGAAATTCGTTTTCAAATTTAGATATGTTTCTGGGTTGGGACCCCCAGACACCCTGGAAGATTTGGTCCCCCCCAATGTTGACTCCATGGCTACGGCCTTGGTCGAGACCGATGACCGAACAGCAGCCAAACGGAGGGGACAACGCCCAAGAGACCGAGCAGTGGGGAGATGGAGTGGCGAGCACACCCCGCCGGCAAGAGCGACGTGGATGGTTGCTTCGTGAGATCGTGATGGAAGGCAACTTCGTGGGGAAGACTGCATCCAGCCGTGAGTAGATCATGGCTGATGAAGATAATGATGACGAGGGAACGAGCAGCTTGACTTAAATAAATCCATATTCGATGGTTCTTTAGCGAAAGAACCATAGAATATGAATATATGCAGTCACGAAAGTTAAGTCAAAATTTAAATAAATCCCTTGCTGCTTAAAACATTGCTTACATTATTGCTTCTATCCTGGCAATAATAAAAGGCTCACCTTCTGCAATATACCGGGCATCAGCCGGAGGGTCTTAGGATCAGCGACAGGGCCTTTACTGCCATCGTTAGCGTCTTACATTAACAATGGGAGACAGCGGCGGTCCACTTACCATCTCGGGCGTCGATGCACATCATACGTCTTCTTCCAGCGAGCAAACTCCGAGAAAGCCCCCTCCGTTGGCCGATACTGACTCCCACGACGGCACCCGCAATCGTTTGTTCTCCACGTGTTCTCCGCACACCGCCCAATGCACGGCCGAGTGAGCCTTGGAGGGTGGTCGCTGCCCCTCCAGTCGTGCGTGCCACGCGTATACAAACTCGGTGACCTTTCTGCGTGTTTGCGGGATCCCGTAAATCTCGTCTCCTTGTTTGTTGCTTATTTACTGTCCCCCCCCCTCCATCTCCCCCGCCCAAAAAACGCAGCCAACCTCCCCCGTCTGAATGCCTCACTAAGCAGCCAGCAGCTCACCCACCAACTCCCACAGTTGTATCACTGCCCCCGTCTCCCCTTCTCCCCTTCTTCTGAAATGTGTATATCGTTTGCGTTTTTTAAAAGTTGAATGCCATCGGGTTTGCAGGGTCATTAAGTGCTGGCTCATGAGCCGGTCCATTATGGGTCGTGCTGTTGTCTTCACCATTTCCTGGAAATTGGGACGGATTTTTGCCTCTTCTCTCATGAGTCGCATAGGCGGTTGGGACCTTTTTGCCATTATCAAAGTATGAAATATAAAAATAGGGTTTGCCCTTTCTGGCAATAAAACAGATGTTAAGCTAGATTAGAAGTTTTCGTGACTGCAAGGATTCATACTCTTTTGGTTTTTTCGGTAAAGTCACGTAGTTAAAATTTGTAATAAAAATAAATGAAAAAACAACTGAATTAAATTACGACGTTTCGGAGGCAACACAAGCTTCCGTCTTCAGGTGGAAAATTACTGTATCACTCTTCAGGTGGAACCGTCACAGCCTCCGAAACGTCGTGATTTAATTCAGTTGTTTTTTTAATTTATTTCAATTTTATTTTTTAACTACGTTGACTTTACTGAAAAAAACAAAGAGTAAGATGTTAAGATGTTCAAACACCAAATAGATTCCTGTTGCAATGAATCAAATCTGCATTAACCGCACGTACTTGTGGTAAACATGAAAACAAAACTGTTCGCCTTTGGGCGTACTCTGGTCTGACACTGATGAAACGAGGCCAATCATCATATATTATGAGAGCATGATTTTGTTTGCATGTTCACCACAAGTACCTGTGATTACTGCAGACACGATCCCTTGCAGAAGGTTTTATGTTTGGCGTTTAAACATCTTAACGCCTGTTTTATTGCCAGAAAGGGTAAAACCTATTCTTATTTTTCATACGCGTTTGGGCTGTTGGGCAGACGTCTGGTGAGACCTTTCAGGAGGCAGTTGGACATTAGTAACCCTCTTGAGTCTTGGGTAGCGTCTGTTTCGTAGTTTCTTTGTGCCAGAGCCTACACACTTAGTTAGGGATCCAGTCAATATACGTGTGAGATACAGTGGGTTTCTCTGTTAAAACGAGCGATGTGGTGGTGTAAATTCCACATTCCTTTGATGGGGACCAGTCTATACGTAAAACAACCGCCATATCACAAAATTATTTTATTGATCCGTCTCACAAACCAGTATTACAACTAATCTCGAACCACAGCCGTGGAGACCATGAACATACAATAGACATTCACAGCACAACAGGCGATTACGGATCATGAAACCAGTATTACAACTCATCTCAACACAAAGCCGTGGAGACCATGAACATACAATAGACATTCACAACACAACAGGAGATTACGAATCATGAAACCAGTATTACAACTAATCTCAACACACAGCCGTGGAGACCATGAACATACAATAGACATTCACAGCACAACAGGAGTGGAATCATGAAACCAGTATTACAACTCATCTCAACACAAAGCCGTGGAGACCATGAACATACAATAGACATTCACAGCACAACAGGAGATGACGAATCATGAAACCAGTATTAAAACTAATCTCATCACAAATCGGTTGGATATATTTTCCGGAGCTCAGACCCCGGAGAGGTCCGACTGATTTTACCCACGACAGCAGCTCTAAAAACAGTCTTTCCTTCGCGTGTGATCAGTAGGGGGCGCATTTGAATTAATGGACTGTGATTTTCTCAATATCTATTCACTTGAAAACAGGTTCACCCTATGTAAAATAGGTTTTACCCTTTCTGGCAATGAAACAGGTGTTAAGATGTTCAAACACCAAATATATAAATTTCGATTTAAAGCTTTCGTGACTGCAGGGATTCATCTTCTTGGTTCTTTCGGTAAAGTCACGTAGAATGGAAATAATAAAATAAGAATAATAAATTATTTTATTATGTTTTATTTTTATTCTTTTTTTATTTCTATTCTACGTGACTTTACCGAAAGAACCAAGGAGACCAAATAAATACTTTTTTCTAGGAATCGAGTCAGCATTAACCACACGTACATGCACGTAATTCACGTGATTACTTAAATATATATATATATTTGTTGTTTGAACATCTTAACATCTGTTCGATTGCCAGAAAGGGTAAACCCAATTTTTTCATACTTTGATACCGGCAAAAAACTCCCAGATTCACCCTTTCACCAAAAAACAAGCACAGGGTGGTAGATGTCTCATGAACTCAATTTAATGGAATAAAACTATATTTATTATGGTTTATTTAAAACAGAGATGAATATTCACAGCACTGTGTATCTCATCTTCTTGGTTCTTTCGGTAAAGTCACGTAGAAGGGAAGTAATAAAATAATAAAAATAAAACATAATAAAACAATTCTCACGACGTTTCGGCCACAACGCAAGCAGCCGTCCTCAGGCGAAGAATGAAACACCACCAAGCTTGGAGCGTATATTTAAGCTGGGTTAGAGGGTGGGGGAGGTGGGAAGAAGAGTGCCTAAACAAAATAATTTGCATATCAAGAGGAATTCAGCATATGGAAAATGCGTAGGAGGTGGGCGGGGGGGGGGTTCCAAATCAATACTATGCCCGTGCATTATGCAGGATTAGCAGCATCAAAGGGGGGGGGGGGGTAGCATTAACAAAGGAAAGGAATGTTAATAGTATGTAGCTGCAGTTACTAAACAACCACGTAAAAAAAAAACTAAAGTATAAACTGCATAACAAACTAAAGTATAAACTACATAGCATCATCAGTATACTTACTATACTCTACAATAAGCTGAGTTACTAACAGTAAGTAATACATAAAAAAATTCTACGTTGTAAAAATTATATAATATGCTTCCATCTAAACTTTATTCTCTTACATCACACGCGTCTATACCGTACTATATACTGCCATAGGCAAACCCAACATTAAATTACACATGACATTGACTTCTCCAAGACAGAGGTTCTCTGCAAGCCATCTGGCTATCATGAGAGATTCGTTCATGAGGCGATCCACATATACAAACACAGAGACAATTTTAACCGAGAAGATGGATTCTGGCTTAGCAATCACTGGAAGGACGTAATAAACCATTTTGATACACATTAGGGTGGGTAGAATAATACATAGTGTTATATTAAAATGTATAAGGTATAGGGTGGTTTATAGCAATACAGTATGTAATTTAATGTTGGGTTTGCCTATGGCAGTATATAGTACGGTATAGACGCGTGTGATGTAAGAGAATAAAGTTTAGATGGAAGCATATTATATAATTTTTTACAACGTAGAATTTTTTATGTATTACTTACTGTTAGTAACTCAGCTTATTGTAGAGTATAGTAAGTATACTGATGATGCTATGTAGTTTATACTTTAGTTTGTTATGCAGTTTATACTTTAGTTTTTTTTTTTTACGTGGTTGTTTAGTAACTGCAGCTACATACTATTAACATTCCTTTCCTTTGTTAATGCTACCCCCTCCCCCCCCCCCCCTTTGATGCTGCTAATCCTGCATAATGCACGGGCATAGTATTGATTTGGAACCCCCCCCCGCCCACCTCCTACGCATTTTCCATATGCTGAATTCCTCTGGATATGCAAATTATTTTGTTTAGGCACTCTTCTTCCCACCTCCCCCCCCTCTAACCCAGCTTAAATATACGCTCCAAGCTTGGTGGTGTTTCATTCTTCGCCTGAGGACGGCTGCTTGCGTTGTGGCCGAAACGTCGTGAGAATTGTTTTATTATGTTTTATTTTTATAATTGTATTACTTCCCTTCTACGTGACTTTACCGAAAGAACCAAGAAGATGAATCCCTGCAGTCACGAAAGCTTTAAATCGAAACTGTGTATCTCGTTAAGTTTTCTCGTGCATAGCAGACACAGATATACATTAGCTCGTGAATATATTTGCGAAACGCCAACATTGAGTAGAAACAGAGGAAAACATTCTATAAGTGTATTTTCGTTGTCACACGGATCATCCCGTTTAGCCAGTTACCCGGCTATGCCGTATCAGAAGGGATATCCTTGCTGCATGCGCCCAGCCTCAACAAAACATAAACAAAACCATCACCGGGCCGATCTTTCGGCCAATGACCCTTCTTCATAGCACTTATATAGCAGCCAGGACACTGCACTTTGACACCATGGGGCCCGATGGAAATTAGAATTATTAACAATGGTTGTCTTCCACGAGGAAACAGCCAAGTTTGGCTGTCGCCTGACTAAGCTAGTTGCAATTACTGGCGAAACGTCGTACTCAGATTGTAAATGTTGTGGCTTGGCTCTCCAACACACCGGTTAGTGCTGTACTAGTGTAGTGGGTTCCACTGATGGGCACACTTGAACTTGGAGGCAACACGTTTATTCCAGACCCAATGTGGTAACTACCTCCCACGGAATACTATATAGCCAGCTAGTTCAGCTCACACACTGCCTGGCCCCTGATGTCTTGCGCGAAGCCCGAAGATCGAATTTCATTCCCTAGGGACAGCCCCGATTGGGGCTCGGGACTCGTCCTTTATGGGCTCGGCTCTGCCCTTGGCCACACCCCCTTCCAGATCCTTCCAGAAGACTCTGGCGCCAACACCACGTGTCCCTCTCACCCCTTTTGCCCCCTACCCCTGGCACCTCATACACGTCACGACACTAGGAGCGAATGGGCACGTTCTGTTTACGTGAGAAACCTTACTAATTGGCTGTGTCGGGTGGTGGAGGGTTTAACGGCACATTTATATATTTACGCGATCTAACCTAAAAAAAACCTCTATTATGGATGATATTGGTCGCGAAAGCCTCCTACGTGTTAAATGTTTGTCTTACGAATCGATTTTAAATAGCCATATTAGAAAAAATCGTTTACCTATTCGTAGCCACTGATTAACAGACACACCCGTTCTGTTCTAGATTAATCAAATAGCATAATAAAATAATAAAATAAATAACAATTAGGAAATAAAGTACTCTACAGCTAAATAAAAAAAAGTAATCCTCAATAAATACAAAGCGCGGAATGAACATATCCCTTGCGCCTATGTATGGTCATACGGAAGCCGCGTGGGACCAAGCGCGGTCACGTGGTGCGCGCCGTGCCAACATGGCTGCGCCCATCGCCGCACGCTTCGGGCTCGCCTCGGGGTTCGCCGCGGGGTCTCTGCGGCCGCTCCGCTCGCTGGGACGCGGCGCTGCCTCCCCCTCGGCTGTCGCGAATGCCCGGCGCAAACACGACCCCGCTGTTGCGAAACGGCAGCCTGCCGTCGCCCAGACTGGAAGGTAGCGGGATGTCCGGCGCTTATAATTGCCGTGAGATTTACCATGACCCCCTCCTCCCCCCGACATTGCCTCACCGTCCCCTGCCCCTTGGCATCGCTTCGCATTCAAAGCACGCGGTGCCTGTTAGAGGCCGAGACTGCATGCACGCGGGCAGGGATGTTGTTCTTAAGCACGACTGTCCAAATCCCTCCTAACCCTTAAACCCTCACCCCCCGGACCTTCGCCCGTAACCCTGATCCACAACCCATGAATCCGAAGCCTCAACCCAGCACCCTAAACCCAAATCGCGATTGCAGGGACTGTAGCCACGCCGGTTGGTTCCTGCCATCGGAACGGGGCGTTTGCATCACTGGTATCGCGGTTGTGAAAGGAGCACCCACACCACGGTGATTGAGCAGGGCGACGCTTTAGTCTGCTCGGTAATTTGTTTGGGTCGTCTGCACTTCGACTGCACCTCAAACGGAGTTCGCCGAGCCGGCAACGAGAGCCTCATTCATCGCCTCCGTGTATGGGCATTTACGGAAAGTGTTCGTTGGTTTACATGCTGCCGTTGTTACGCGACCTTTCCCGTTCACAGAAGTGTGATTTTTTTTTTATTCCGTTCACATGCCTGTGCATATAAACAGATACGTTTTAAGCCTTGACAATGCGGTGATGGCCTACGTACGGTGCTAAAGAAGTTCAACAATACAGACACTCGCTTGTGTCCGTATCTGCTGCTATGGTTTGTTCGGATGCGGTTTAGCGTGGACCACGAGCTGCGTGGAAGGTCAAAACCAGCGATCTTCCGCGTTGGGTCTTTCACAAGGTGTTTGTGAGTTCTCTTGAACTCCCATCAGCTTTCCAAGCTTCATTCGGGGGTTGAACTGATCGCATCTTGTTGGTGTTGCAGGGCGGAATGGCGCAGCGTGGTGGGACTGGAGGTGCACGCTCAAATTCACTCGCACTCCAAGCTCTTCTCAGGTGCCGGCGTCAAGTTCCACGCCGCGCCCAACTCTCTCGTCTCGCACTTTGATGCCAGCTTGCCTGGCACCTTGCCTGTGAGTCTTGCGTTAAATACTGCGCGTCGCCGAGGTGGGCTGGGCAGCGCAAGGGTCAAGAGGCTGGCCTGAGCTGGCATCGTTGAAATGCCGTGTTTGGATCTGGGCAACCTTCTGTGGGTCTCGAGTAGAGAAGGTTTATGGTTCTAGATTTGAAGCTTTCGTGACTGCAAGGATTCATACTCTTAGGTTTTTTCGGTAAAGTCACGTAAGTAAAAAAATCACGATGTTTCGGAGGCAACACACGTCTCCATCTTCAGGTGGGACCGATCTCCGTCTTCAGGTGGGACTGATCTCAGCCTGGTCATCAGTGATTGCAAAGAACTGCCGTAACACTCAATTTGGGACTGTGCTTAATTTGTCAAAATTTGTCAATGTGCATAAACCCCACGGATTACTGAAGCTAGGAATTAAAAAAATATATAGTTTTGACTGTCATGGGACGAATGTTGCTCACTTTAGCGAGAGGGCAAGGGGGGACAGTCCTGCTTCCTGCTGTGTGCACCAGACAGTTCACTTGAAGGGATCTCGGATGAAGTTTTGTGATGTCCGCTTCCATTGATTGTTCTCTAACATGAAAGGGTTGCACTGCTCTGCGAGCGTTCCGAGTGGTTGCTTTGCCTCAGGATGTGACACCAATCACGTTCAGAGTAAAATTAGGAGGGAAATGCTATTTTTTAAAATATTGCTTTTCACAAGAAACACAAGCAGCAGGCATGAATTGTAGCCATTTATAGCCATGGTTGGTATGCACACAATCTTATCAGATGTTGGACGCTAAGCAGTGTTTAGCCTGGTCAGTACCTGGATGGGTCACACAGCAGCGTTTGTCAATGTTGTTGGTTTGTCAGAAGATGGCAGTATTGAGTATTTCTCTTAATTTGTGAGGACATTTTCAAGGTACCTTACTGTGGTTTCCTACCAAATGCCAAACAATGTAATTGACCATGAGATTTTCCTGGATAAATAAATGTCACTAGTATTAGAATGTTCCTCGAAAATTACAGTACCTGGCCTTTAGGTCATTCAAATCTCTGTAACTAAATGCAAATGAGATGTCTTGTGAAGCAATTCCTTAGAGAAGACCAAGGGAAAGATAGGCTGAAAGAACAGTTTAGTGTTTAATTTATACTGTTATTAAGTCAACTAAATGAGGTTTACATTTAAAATTATAGTTTAAAACCTAGTCCAAGTTAATTTTCCACACAGCCTCTAATAACCAGTTGTTTTGCAAGTGCTTGTCTGGCTCAGCCCTACTTAGCTTCCTTCAGATGAGATCATGGTCACAGGGATACAATTGATTTCCAGTATTACAGTAAAAGCTCAATATAACACAGCTCTTCTTGGTTCTTTCGGTAAAGTCACGTAGAAGGGAAATAATAAAATAATAAAAGTAAAAAATAATAAAATACAATTCTCACGACTGTTTCGGCCACAACGCAAGCAGCCGTCCTCAGGTGAAGAACAGGGCTGCCGGAAAGACAGCGTCTGAATGAAAGAACAGTTTAGTGTTTAGAGAATTGTATTTTATTATGTTAATTTTTATTATTTTATTATTTCCCTTCTACGTGACCTTACCAAAAGAACCAAGAAGATGAATCCCTGCAGTCACGAAAGCTTTAAATCGAAAAATAACACAGCTCATTACACCACGTATTTGGATATAACGCAGGTCACAGACGCACACGTAGATACGGAGATACAAAGAGTGTTATTCATGTTCCCTGACGCCCACGTTATATCGGGCTTTTACCTCATAAAAAAGCTTGTAAGTTACATAGGCTATCTCGTGAAATAACCTTTGTAAAAAAAGGTGTTAAAGTTGTTATAGGTCCAACAATTTGTTGCGCGCCTCTGTTTATGCACTGGGGTGTCCTATTTATGAGCATTTTGTGCATTTTGGTGTCTGCGTGTGTGCACCCCCTTTCACAAGGTCCTGAACAAGCGCTGCGTGGAGGCTGCAGTCCTCACCGCGCTCGCGCTTGGCTGCCGCATCAACATGCACTCGGAGTTTGACAGAAAGCATTACTTCTACTCTGACCTCCCAGTACGTAAGGCTTGGCCTTGCTGGCCCCTTCCGCAATAAAACTTCAATATATTTTTTAAAGCTACATGTCTCTTTATTGTCTGCCGTTACAGCATCGACACATAGTACGTCACACGTTCGCATGGCGATGGGCAGTTTTGCTGTGCGTCTGCTCTGCGGGGTCGCAGTCGGTTTTTATGTTTGTGACCAAATCACCCCGAATGTGCACAATCGGGTCACGGGTGAGACTGGTGTATAAAGCAGGTGCTGTGAGCTGCTGTAGCTGCCTATTAACGGCCTGATATGGCCCTGATCCAGCGGTGGATTGACGAAGATTTGTAAATTAACTCATTTTATTTAATATTTTATCTAATCCCGGTTCTCCCTGGAGAGAGAGATGCATCTCTCTAACGGGGTCCGAACAGATAGCACGATCCAAGCATGTTCTTCTGAGTTTGGCCACGAGTTGAGCGTTTCTTCTCAGGCTTTCGCCACGCGCTACACTGCGGGGCATCCTCAGGAGTTAAATGGAGGAATCTCGCCGAGTTTCGCACCCTTTTCTGTTGTCTCTCATTGGAGAGCAGGTGAAATTCCTCACCTCGCCTTCCAAAGATGCCCGCAGTTGTCCGTCGCGAAAGCTTGCGAGAGGAAACGCCCGACACGGGGCCTAATCCAGAGGACCGAACGTGGATTACGAGGCGGCTGCAAAAACCCCCGCGCCAAACCTCAACGCACGGGTGTCTCTGACCGACAGGCCGGCTATCAGATCACGCAGCAGCGGCTGCCGATAGCCGAGGGAGGGGCGCTGCGCTACCAGCTGTTCCACGGTAACCGGCGGAGCGAGGCAGAGGAGCGTGAGGTGCGCATCAAGCAGATTCAGCTGGAGCAGGACAGCGGGAAGTCGCTGCACGACGATGCCAGGCACCGCTCGCTCATAGACCTCAACCGTGCCGGTAACAAGGGGCCCCTCGCTTGCCGTCACTACTGCGGGCCTCCACTCGAGGCGGCGGTTTCGGTTGTTCGCTTGAAAGCAGCGCTCTAAAGTCCTCTCGACAATGTGTGAAAATGTAGGAGTTTATATTTTGTATATTGCACTCTCACAATGTGGCTGTTGTATCTGTGTATGTTGAACTTCTTTATCACCGTACGCAGCCAACTGTTAGTAATCGGAAGTGCGGATAAAATGCCTTAAGTGACCTTCATTGTCTTTGTGGCGTTGCGACAGGGGTGGGCCTCATGGAGATCGTGATGGAGCCCGACATGAGCTGTGGCCTGGAGGCGGCTACCGCCGTCCGCGAGCTTCAGCTCATCCTGCAGGCACTGGGCACCTGCCAGGCCATCATGGCCGGTGCGTGGGACAGACAGCGAGATCTAGACAGGAGTTTCCTCTTTGCAATAGAGACTTGTCGCAGTGGGTACTAATGTGGTTAGAAGTAAAGTTCACGAATAAATGAAATGATTATCATCATCATGGTGCTGGCAGACTCGTTAGCCTTCTGCCGGATGTACGTCAATTGTTTACGAAAATGATGAGAAATAGATTTAATTTAATGATGTCCATTTCGCCTAGATGACGGTATGAGTTGTGTTGAAGGAAACATGGAAACATAACACTTTGCCATCTAAACATCAACAGCCTGATGTGCACATCACCCTCATGAATGGCATTTTGAAGACAAGCCACAGTAGTGTGATTGTGGCCATGCAACCCAAACTATAAACCTCAACATTGGCAGACCTCAACATTGCCTATTAGCTCCTGAACCGATGTCCGTACTCAAGAATAAAAAATAAATGCAAATAGGATGATGGAAACTTTTGAGAACACCTAAGCGAATGAACAGGCTCGGTTTAGGAAAGGTTTCCCTTCCGTTACAAGCAAACATGATATCAATGAAATTCTGGAAAAGACTAAACACTTTCAAATACTACTATGCCTGCCCTCTTTATCCTATGAAATGCATTTTGTTCAGTGGAAGAGGTCTTTTGTTCCATACATTTTTTATCTATTAAGTAGCTGAACTCGGTTTAAGGTATGGACTGATGTAGGGTGAGACAAACTACCTTGATGACTACCCCTATTGTGATTTAGCCTGAAGAGAAATACATTTTATAACCGCATAAATAATATGAATCTTGATATAACCATTCCTCATTCACTTGGTAGGGAAAGAGGGTGAATGATCACACCTCTAATTACGTATATGGCTGTTGATAAACCGTTCCTATTTATTAACTAAAAGAATGGACGGCGATACTGGCTGAAATTTGTAACCATGCTGCGTTGAGTGCATAATGCAGATGACTGACCTCTTGACCCCATGCTCCCGTGTGTTTAATCATTGTTATCGTCATCATTTACTATTTACACTGCTCCGTACGTGCAGTGCATCTTTAAGAGCCAGAGCAAAGGGGCTTTCAGGTAATGGCTCGGTGAGGAAGTGATTGTAGACAAAATTCAGAAGGAATACAATATGGCAAATATACACAAAATGTACATTTTGAAATGCTAAAATTTGCATCCGTGTCCACCTAAACTTGACATTTACACACTCTGAAAATGTCTTTAATTTCATCTTAATTTGATGATTTCTGGGTGCATCATCACTCACATTTCTAGGTAAGCTGTTCCACAAATTTGGTGGCAAAACACCAAATGCGCATTGGGTGATGGCGAGCACGCAGTACCTGTGCGGCGCGCGGTGTCTGTGAAGCGTGATGTCTAAGGCGCGGCGCCATTCAACTCGCGCTGCGGTCACCTTGCAGAGGGACAGCTGCGCGTGGATGCCAACGTGTCCGTTCACCTCCCCGGGGACCCTCTCGGTGTCCGGACAGAAGTGAAGAACATCAACAGCCTCAAGTTCCTTGCCAGAGCCATAGGTGTGGTCTCCACTCGCACCTCCTCGCTATTTAAATTGAGCCGCTTGATTGTGCACCGTCGTTCACGTAGAATTGGGGATTCGTTTCAGCCAGGTCTGTCTGGGTCAGTTGCCCGCAACACGTTTCTGCACCTGGCACACACGACATCCACTTACGCCTCTCGCAATGGCTGTGACTGTTAGTCACATGGCACCTCAGCTACTGCAACCTACCAGCGATTCGGAAAATATTCGGTGAGAGATTAAGCCCTGTGTACTCACATAAGTGGTTGTTGTTAAAAATCAATCCTGTTTTCATTTTTTTCCACAGATTACGAAATTGAGAGACAGATCCAAATGTTGGATGACGGTGGTGAAATTTTTAACGAAACGAGATCATTTGACAGCAGAACAGGGTAAGGTGAGGAGTACCCAGTTATCAGTGTCAAATTCACAGTGTAACTTGGTATGCAGTGTAAATACTAAGTACTCTTTGTATTTGTTTTAGAAAAACTGTTCAAATGAGGGACAAGGAAGCCAAGCAAGACTATCGGTAAGAATTTCACAAATCGGCAAACTTAAACACTCAACTGTGGACCTGTAACATACTTGCATTTTTTTCAATTAATCATGAACCTCATTCATATCTCACTGGTCATCGCATCTTAGAAGCGAAGTAGGGTTGACCTTGGTAAGTACATAGATGGGCGACCACAGGGCCAGAGACAGGTGTTGTAGGCTGCTGTTGGCCTCTACGTTGTAGCCAGCAGAAGGCAGTGCAGCAGAATAAATTGCATTGTACTATGTGCTCCAACATCATTCTCTCCACCTTGACCATCCCGCACTAACCAGCGTGGTAAAGTATGTCCAATCAGCCCGCACGACCCACATTGTGCAGGGAGTATGCATGTGCGTGTATGCACGTTGGACTTATTTTGCACCGTACGTAACCAACCCTGCTAATCTGAGTGCGCGTGTCGAATAAACCGCCTTTTGTCAGATGACCACTGCATATCCAAACTGTTGAATCTTTCCAGCCGAATGGGTCGTCGTCGCGTCACCGCAGTTCCCTCGAACTTTTCTTCACCTTCCCAGCTTCATGCCGGAGCCGAACCTGCCGCCCCTCGTCCTGCTGGACGACGCGTCCATGGCGGGGGCGCCCGGCGATCACTCGGTCCACGGTCACTCGGTGAATGTGGACGCCGTGCGCAGGGCCCTCCCGGAGCTTCCGGCTGCCCGGCGCCAGCGCCTCGTGCGGCGCTACGGGATCCTGGCGGAGCACGCCGCGACGCTCGTGGTGCGTCGCGGTAGTCACCCCACGTCCGCCCGGGCAGCTTCATGGATTTTGCCACCCCCCCTCTCGCCCCCCATGCTCCTCAATTCGGTTTTGGTTGCCTGCAAGGCCATGTGAGAACCCTGGATGATGACAACTTTGTTTTATTATTGAAAGACAATCTTTGTTGCCAGTGTTCATCCCGGTTGTGTTATGGGTGTCATCGTGCGATGGGGAATTCATTCAGATCTACCTCTGAGATACCTTCAAGTGACCTTTGGTCCATCCAGAATCAGAATCGGAACATTTATTTATACTGGAGAAATCCGATGAGCTATGTCAGTGAGCGGTGGGTAAGAACGTTACAACAACAAACACATTTTAAAACACGATAGGAGTCCACAGTACAGGAAAGGTAAACAAATCACCCAAAAAATATACAAATAAAACTAAACCATCCCCATCCTACCAGGCAGAGCCCACTAAGGTATTAGGAGGCAATATGAGGCAACACTTGCCCACCTGCTCTGGCCACTGAGAATAAATGTTAATCAAACAGTTTTTTTTTTTAAGTCAGAGCTATAAGTTTGCCAAATGAAGTGGAGAACCAAATTGAACGCTACGATCTCGTTGTGTACAGTCATCGGCCGGGCTGAGACCATCACGTCGCTACACTTGAGTAGCCCGTTGAATCACAGGTGGCGACCTGGATTTGAACCCCAGGATGTCAGTGGTGGCAGCGCAGTGCTGTGACCGCTGAGCCACCCGGCTACCTCTGAGTACGCGACTGCTTAGACCAGTGGGTCGGCGGTGGCTCTTCAAGGGCCGCTGCTTCGCGACGTCACTTGGCAAGGGCCGCCGTCTCGTATTTACCACGTGCATTGCGGCTCTTGAAATGTAGAATTTGATTTGATCGAATTCGAGAAGAATATCTCTTGTTGTTTTGGTTGCCGACCCCTGGCTTAGACAGTGAAGTTGACCCGAGGCTCCGGCACAACCGCTGTTTGTAAGTATTTGCATTAATTTTGCTGCAGGTAAATTTAAAATATGGTATTGGGGCGCACATTTGACTGCTCTTGATAATAAAATCACACGTGTCTCAGTGCTCATTTGCTAAATACCAATGCTTTATACAGTGGCCATTTGCAAACTAGTCCAGTGGCGACTGTTGTATCCGGAGTTGACGGAGTTGACTTCCGTTTTTCTACGGAAGCAGCACGTGCAGCGTGTCGACAAACTCGGGCCCCGACAAACGCATCACCTGCTGAGTCCTTGAGTCGCCTCGGGTCTCACTTGGTTTACATTTCCCTTCCCCCGTCAACTGCACTGTTGACTCCCCCCCCCACTTCCAGGCTCACCGCGCATGACCTTTTTTTCCCTCTGCCTGTAACGGACCACCCCCCTCGCGAAATGTAATATGCTCACGGTTCCTTTACGGCATCTTGAGACGGGATCGTATTCGGCCTTCATAGAAATCCAATTTGTAAGGTCCGATTTATGTTTTTTACCCACCTTCACGAGGTGTGGTTCAGTTCAGCCCAAGGAAAATCTTCAATTGTACTCTCTAGTCACTGCAGGAACCAATCGCGTCGATTTCAGTCTGTGTGCCTATGTGTTTGTCTCTTTCTGTGTGTCTGTGTTATCTCTCTCTGCTTACGTGTCTGTCTATGTGTCTCCTGTTCTGTGTTTAATCTCTCTCTTAAATTTAGCAATCTTTGGAAGAACTAATCAAGCAGGTCGGGTGTTGACTGTTATGTTAGCCGACTATCTGTGTTGTATTACATTATATTTCTAAGTTTACTAGGTTTTGTTTTATCTTTCATTTGTACCTGATGATGATTGCTTGTGTTGCAATCGAAACGTCGTATGCTATTACTTAATTTATTATTTTATCTTTCTACGTGACTTTACCGAAAGAACCAAAGAGTAGTTCAGTCACACGGTCCCACGTTGCATTGTGCTACCTGGGCCATTGGTAAATCATTTATCTTCAGTTGCTGGAGGGCAGAGAGAGTCAGAGAATTTATCTGGAGTTAGGTTCTACCTCGGTACGGCCGGCCGTATCGTGTTCAAGCGTGTTATAGTTTGTTGAAAGGACTCGTGTTTCATGTCTTTACGCTGTGGCTAGAAAACCATCTGCGCGGTTGAGTTACAGCGTGGCTGGATTCTCATTTTGGTGAGGGTTGTATTTTGTGTCGCGTACGCAGAACGATGGGCTGGTGGAGTACTTCGAGGCCGTGGTGGATGGGAACCGCCGCAAGCCCAAGAAGGTTATAGGCTGGGTGATTAACGAGCTCCTCGGCAACCTTAATGAGAGAGGCATCTCCGTGGGCCAGAGGTGCGTGCTGGAGGCCGGTTTATTGTGCCGTTTTCATTTCTAAGCTAACTCATTTTTACAGTCGAAGAACATTTTAGCGCCGGGGCGTCTTGGGGGGGGGGGGGGGGGGCGAGTTGTGGATCAAACACGGAAGAAAAGTTAAAACCCAACTCCTCTTGGGCTCGCTTGTCCACAACTCCCTTGTCCACACAGCTGCTCGTCCACACAGCTCACTTGTCCACACAGCTGATTGTCCACACAGCTCGCTTGGGCTACCGGCGTGTGGTTAATGTCCCCCTATGTGGTGCGTTCTGTGTGACAGCCCTGTCGAGCCAGCGGCCTTGGGGGAACTGTTTGACCTCGTGGAGAAGGGGTCCGTTTCGCCGGCTACAGGCAAGCTGGTGAGTTCTAGCCCGGTTCTTTGCTCTCAGCGGGGCGGCAGCTGCTGTGGAATCGTTCGTTGCCTTTAAATAGAAAGATGGTCACATTGGACAGAGGCCAAGTAACGGCTCGATTTGGCTATGTTCTTGCTCCGTAGAGATTACCTGCCAAAAAAACCCCTTAACGGGAAGCCGAAATAGGAATCTGTTGAATGTTTTTAGACTGACGATGCATTCAATACGGTGTATCGTGCGCGACTGCGACCAGTCACCCGGAATGCGCCCATTCTTTTTACATCTCAGAAGCTTAGCGGGTTTGAGCCTGGACAATCCTTGAGTAATTGATTACTACATGCACCAGGTTTTCATAGGCGGCCGTGGGGCTGTCCTACGTCATTGGCAGCAGAGGGCAGTGCAGCGAAGTCCATTGTTGTACTGTACTTCTATGACCCAGCTATTATACGCCCTTCACTGAACCCACGCTGACCAACATGGTGAAGTATGGTCAAATTATCCCCGAGACCCACACGGCATGGGGAGGCCTTCATCCAGCAGTGGATTGACTAAAGGGCTGTGCTTGTGTACACTGCGCTCGTGTGTCGGGCTAGCCGTGTCGTGCACTTATGATCCGTACACAGCGTGAGCATTTGCAGATGCAGAGCTGGGACGTTCCTGCTTTGGTTGTTGCGATGTTTCCACGTAATTTGACACTTTGCGGCTGCCTGTTGAAACATGTACACAAGTTTCTTAGATGCCGTTGTGGTGGATTTTGAGTACATTTTCTCGTCATACGATGGCGGACCAAGGCCCCCCCCCCTCCATGCCATGTCCTTCATGACCGTACTTCACCATGCTTGTTCGTGCGGGTTGGTAAAGGGGTGGTGGGGGGAGCCCCCCGGGATCCATTCAGACATCGCCCGTCACTGATGTTCGCCTTGACCGGGAACTGAACTTGGGTCGCTAGGTTCAAAACACAGTGCATCACTGCCCCGCTCCAGATTGTGGGTAATAGAATACAAAATAAACGGTCAAGGTTCTGTTTAAACACGTGAAATAAAATAACATTGAGAGTGTTAAACCTATGGGCCTCGTTGGACCAATGTCTTCCAGCAGTATTAGTTTAAACAGAGACTAATCGGCAGATAGAAGAAGTTATTACGTTTATGTGGTGAAACAGATGCTTGTCTGTTTATTGTTAGAATACGTGTTTGTTTATATTCACAAAACTGACTATGATGGGGCCAATATCGAGAGGCATTGGCGTGATCAAAATGCAGTGTAATCAAAGAGCCAATGACCACATCACACGGCGTCTGCCCGATCTCGTCACCGATTGGAAGCTTAGCAGGGTTGATCCTGGATCATGCACGATAAGCCCTTTTGCCAATCCGCCGCTCGATGAGGTGCCTCCTCATGCCATGTGGGTCATAGGGGTTATTCGACCGAAGCTCACGCTGATCAGTGCGGGTTGCTGAAGACCAGGAGCATGTAAGTGGGGATCATAGAAGTAGACTACCGCTATGAATTTTCCTGCACTGCTCTCTGACGCCCACCACGTAGCCATGCAGCCATAGGCACAATCTGTGAAGGGTGATCATCTATACAAGCACTATCCATGGTCATCCCCGCTTAGCTTCTGATATTTGACGACCCATTCCAGGTGCTTTGGTATTTGCTGTTTGCAGCTCTAAACACACAAAGTGCCTCTGTCTTCCACTTTCTGGCACCCACTTCCAACCCTACTCCCCTCCATACCTCTCCTCTGACCTTCATTTCCTCCCTGGTGTCCCCCAAAGGTCTTGGCCGACCTCTGCACCACACGTGGCCAGAGTCCCACGGAGGTGGTACAGACGCGGGGCCTGTGGCAGTTGTCGGAGCAAGCCCCGCTGGAGGCCTGCTGCCAGGCCGTCATGGACGCGCACCCCAAAGAGGTGACAATGGGCAGAGTTCTCAGCTGCTCATTGGCTCTGTTCATTTGGAGCCGAGCTGAGATGCAGGGTATTTTTCTGTTGTGGGGTATTTTATTTATCTAGAATTAGAGCAGCACAATTACCAATGTCCTTTACAGAACAAAGCCTCACTGAGCCTTAACAGTAATTTGTATGAGAATCCTGCTTGTGACTTCCATGCAGTGTGACTAAAAGTGTGGGTGGGGGGGGGCTGACAGTTTGGCCATGTTTTGCCCATGCCTCAGATCTTTGGGGGGGGGGGCGGTTTAGAGAGAGCCAAGGAGTTCTTAACTGGCATTTTGTCCCAGGCCTCCGGAAATGTTTTCGGTATCCCTGCCACCTTGCCCACCCCCCCACCCCCCCTGCACAGTCACCAATTGCCATGTGATGCAACATGCAGTGGCAGGAGGACAGCAGCAATCTTAACCGGTGCTCCCATCTCCGTGCAGGTGGGGCTGGTGAAAGATGGCAACGTGAAGGTTCTGAACAGGCTGATCGGACTCGTGCAGAGAGAGCTGAAGGGTCAAGGTGACCCGAAGGTGATCAGGCAGATCCTGGAGAAGATTCTGCGCTGAGGATGTGATAATTCATCGCGTCAATAGCATCCATAAGACACCCGAGTGTAAAAAATGGAAGGGATGTATCTTATCTTACTTTATCTTTTCACAGTAATGTATTTTCCATAATAGAGGTTGTATTTGTTGTAAATAGTCACAATTTTCAAAGTAATACCAATAAAAATGTCAATGTATTTTTTTGTTGCTGTACTAGTTGCCTTATGTTTTCACGAAAGTATGTCCGGGTACATGTTTAGATTGACCTACGTGCGCTTATAATTTTTTTGCAGTTGTTTTGGCAGTGTGTTGTCGACTGTGATTCACCGTTGATATGCCTTGTCAAGAGTCCATGGGTTATTTGGCTCAGAACCAATTTCCTCCTTCTGTGTTGTTTGAATGAAAGAGCTCAACAGAAGACACTGTTCTTAAGTGAGGACATTAGGGCCTGCTAGTCCATCTGCCCATAAACATTAAGGGTCCTACAGGGGCTGTTTGCAACAGTATGCTGGTATTAGCCAAATCACCCAGCCCTCCGTGAAGAATTATCAAACCAGTAGAGACGTAACACACGGCAGCAGTTTCACGATTAAGAAACGAAAAGTGATTCTGGCAAGAAAATTAGACTAATTTAAAGGATTGGCTGGCATTGATGGTCGTGACCAGTCATGGAAATGGCACCCATGGGTGACGACAGGGTGAGGATGAGTGACAATGTTAGGACAACGCTCGATGTTGAGATGTAAATTGGTTGGTTGCACTGGTTTAGAAGCAATCGTGTGAAATCGGTGAGGTCTTTAACACTTTCTTCAGCTGTGGAGATGGAATCGTGTTTTACGATATTGCTGAGGGTGATGAGGGTAGAGACGACTGTCCACTGCACATGTGAGGAAATAAAGCAATGCTTTCCCTGCAGATTAAAAAAAATCCAATAAGAGACCAAATTTTCATCCACAAACCTTCCTTTGGTTGTGCCGACTCATAAGTGGGCCTTTCAAATTCCATTGTTTTTGCTTTCAATTTATTAAATGTGATTGGGACAATGCTTTCATTGTTTTTTTTGCGAAGGGTTATGATTTACGAGTTAAGGATTGGCGATTCATGATTCAGTTTAGGGAGAGCAGAGATTCATTTGAGCCGGTTCCCTACAGGTCGATGACCCACAAAATATGCACCCGGCACAACACATCTCGGAAACGTCTTACTAATGGATGTGCCTATTCGATGCATACCAACTACCGCCTACCAGGCACCTGGAAAACATTTCGTGATAAATCAAGCCTTGGTTTAGGGTTTAGGTGTTGGGGTTCAGGACATGTAGCATTGCCTCGGACCACTACTTACCCCATAGTTGCATGGACAGTGGTCTCAGCCGATGTTGGGTGCTACTGAGAAAAGTTACCATTCAGCCAGACAGTGTGGTGTTGATGGGGAAGGACAGAGCAATGTGTCCGCTGTCTGCCAGATCAACGTGTCAAAATGCCAATCGTTATGGTAAGCCTTTAATTGGTGAAGGTGCACGCGGAAGCTAATGAATCACCAGGGGGCATCTTATGACACGCAACACGTGCGCTGTGTGCCCATGTGGTGGGCACGGCTTGGAATTCACCACTCAATGCACCAAATCTTGTGTTGTAGAATATCGCGTTTCTATTTATGTGCGGTTTTATTTTCAAAATGAAAAAAAAAATTGGGGAGGGGGGGGGGCAGAGTTTTGTGACGTCATGTTTGAGGGGGGGTCTGACTTTGTGACGCCGTGTGACGAGGAGGGGGGGGGGGGTCAAAAATCGTCCCAAATCGCGTGACGTCATCTATGGACGGTCCCTTATGCTTGTTCCCTGGCGCTGCGTGGCACGTGGAATTCGGTCCCACAAACTTGTCCAGTTCAAGGGACGTGTTTATTGACTCTTCCAGCGGTCACGGCTTTGATGGTGCTGTTTGTTCCTCGCCGTTTGACGCTTTGGGCGTTTGTCAAATGTTTGCTGTAATTGTGTACAACATATCTTGAACACGGACGAGTACGCGAGACACCCTTGCAGATTTAAAAGAATCTTGCAACCACAAAATGAAAATGCATTTCCCGTCAAATATAGTATTGTATGTCTCAATATATATTTTAAAAAATCTAAGTATTTTTTACACAACGCATCGGCCTCATGGCCCTATGGGAGTGCATAATTTCATCAGCGTTTATTCAACACAAGCACACTGCCACGGTTTTGACATCCCGTGTCTCATCAGCGGTCGTGTTTTGCTCACAAGCTGCACGCAACCAACATTGGGATCAACACAGAATCGGATCGTCCGTACAGAATCGCGTGGCGTGAATCGTTATCCGATTCCTCGGCACCACGCGCATACTCATACCAAGCCACGCCTAACAATAATTAATCAGACCACACGCGAAGATATATAATCGGGCAACGTTTCGGGCAATGACCCTTATTCACAGCACAAAACTGGGCTGCGTTTCGGGCAATGTTTTTTTTTTTCTCTCGGCACAAACATTCGACGTGTTTCCTTTTGAGGGGCATCGCTATCGAATAACGTGTAGAGTTTTTTTGTTTGTAATAATTCGTGCGTGTGCACGTGCCAGCGCGAACCAGGGAGCCCGTTATCACTGCTTGGCCCTAAATAAAAACAGCGGATCAACGCCCTCGTAATCCAGACTCCGCCCACAGCTGGCCAGACCACGCCCTCAAACACTTAGCCACGCCCATAACAACTAAGCCACGCCCACACACTGCACAAGCCACGCCCATAACAACTAAGCCACGTCCATAACAGCTATTCCCGCCTAGGCCCCACCCCCCTGGCTGACAGCGTGTGCAAAGAAATAGGCGGCTGGCCCCGCCCCTTCGTCGTGACGTCACGCATACGCCCCGCCCCCTGCGCCCTGCCGAAGGCAGTGGAGAGAAGACCCGTGTCGAGCCGACCACGGTGAGGCCGCTGCCGCTACTCCCCTCAGATTTGTGTTTTTTTTTATCCTTAAATTATCTTCGTCTTCGTTATTATTGTTCGCGTTGTTCTCGCGTAGTCAGGCGTCGCTGCGACAGCGGTGGGCAGTGCAGCGAGGAGCGCAAGGTCGCTCCGGTACGCGTCCGTGTCTCTCTGCGTTAATGGTGGTGGTTGGCTGCGTGAAGGGGGGAGTGTTGTGTGTTGGGGTGTGCACATAACACACGCGCGTGTTGTGTTGTGTGTGTGGGTATTTGTCTGTGTGTGCCGTGGCCGGCCTTAATAGGTGCTCGCTAACAGCACTTGCCCCTAACAGGTGGGGTCGTTGTCGGTGTACTTGTGGTTATTTGTGTGCATTTGTGTATCGCTGTGTACGCGTGTCCGCCGTGCACGTGTGCCTACATTTGTGTGCACGTGGTGCCCGTCCACACGAGGAGACGGAGCGACTAAATGAGAGCTGTGTGTGTAAGTGCTGGCTGGATTGTTACATCGTGGCGGCTTGGGGGAGGCCTTAGTCCAGCAGTGGATCGATGATGGTTGACGGTGGTGATGGTGAAGTGTCTGCGTGTTGTATGTGTGTGTGTACATGCTGTGCCTGTCCACCACACACACAGCATGTGTCTGTACACGTGTACGTGTGTAATCCCGTACTCTGTGTGCGTCACGGAACGCAGTGTGAATCTGCCCGAGGCCCTCCCCTACATCGACTCCGCCTTAAGCATAAACACCGGGGAGACAAAGGCGGCCGGGCGTGGTATTAGTTACACCCCCCTCTGTTACGTCCCATGCCGACCTAAATAGGTGCTCACGAACAAACACTTGCCCCGAATCTGCGAGGCATTCTGAGGGATATGAGTTTACGTATCAACGTCCGACATTGGAGGTATTTGACCGCCCGTTTAATTGACATGTTGATACCCGTGTGCGGTTGGAGAAACCTATAACCTCCCATACCAATCGGTCTGCACAGACGGGTTCACGAACCCGCTTGGCTCCACTTGCAACACCGCCTGGTCACCGCGGAGACCAAGTCAGCGCGTGGTCCGTCAACCCCTGGCCTCTTAAGTAGCCGGATGAGAACGCAGCGAATTGACGGCGTGTTGTTGATTTTGTTTGTTCACGTTCATTGTCAACTCGCGTGTGTGTGTGGTGGGGCCGTGGGAATCTTATTCTTCTTATCGTTTTGGTGATGCTGATTTTTTAAAGATGATTCTAGAACAAGTGCGTTATGTTTTGACACCTTTAAAGAGACTGCGAGAGGGGCCTTATGGACGGCGTACTGATCGCAGCATATGACATATAATACAAACACCGCGTTAGATATTACTAATTATTATCGCATGACATGCAAGATACATACGCGCTATACTGTACACGACATTTTCAACGTGGGCTGTCAATTATATACTGTACAATACTGTACATGTGCTTGTTACATGTATCATACAAGATACACACGATATGTCATCATGCTTACACGTCACACACCTGACCACTTATTACATGCATACCACATTGAATAGTTGTGTCATTAGATATGAATGACAACCTTGACACACGCAGTTCCTAGTGGTATATTACATTTGAACCTCCGTTGATGAACCTGAAGGCGAGACCCCGGGGTCACGAATAAACGGAAGTCAAAATCGCAATTAATGAATTTATTTTGGGCGACTTCGTCCCACCCGGCAGGGATCATTCTGTTGTCATGTCGTGTCCAAGTGCAGCAGCAATAGGCACAAGAGCTGAACAAGTGAATGCTCTCCATGCTCTGGTATGGGCAGGATCACATGTCTAAAACAAAGCTGCTCAAACTGCCTACACGACTCTTAAGTCATTTATTTTTTGTCATCACGGTAAGCATAATACAGTGAAACTGCTCTCTTATCAATCCAGATGTGAAGCTTTCGTGACTGCAGGGATCCGTACTCTTTGGTTCTTTCGGTAAAGTCACGTAGGTAGAAAATAAAATAAATCAATACGTTTCGATTGCAACACAAGCAATCGTCATCAGGTGGGAAAACCACAGCAACATGTTTTTTTCTTGCTGTGGAAAGAACCAAAGAGTATGCTCTCTTATCGTCATTATTATTTGTGACCTATCAATGTCTGCAGCCAGGATCAATCGATGACAATCCTATTACCTGCAGATGAGAAGCGTTGCACCGTTATTTCCTCCTGTTTGATAATAATTCTCTTGTCCGTATACATCTGTGCAGATAGGTTTTTTTTGTGGTTAAGCCATAGTCCCCACATACCGCTCGTATCAATGTGGATAAGAGGAGCGGCGACCCACTACTCTGTAGAGTAACATTGGTATAAACGCTTGTTACGATATGAACAGCGCATTGAAAACGCGTACTATTTTATGTACTGTTTACAAAGTGTGTTCACAAATCCACACTGAGAAACACGATGATTGACAGAGGGGTGTAATTATTTCGGTAGTGTATTAAAATAGATGTACTGCAGGTAAGTAGTTTTCAGTTTTAAAGGCAAAGTTTAACAAGACAACACTTGCCACCATCCTTCAAACCCATTGGTGAAAACGAGCAAAGTTTATTTTGACATTCTAATATAATGTTTACATTATAATATAATGTTTATGCGAGAGCCGGGGGCTTATGGGACCCCGGGGTCCCGCCTTAAGGTTCATCATATGCCCATGTTGAGCAATGTGAGAGCAGTGGCACTGGTTATCGCACTGCTATGTAAAACCACGGCGAATTGATTAAAATGCACGGCTAACGTCAGTGGCGAGTGAGATGAGCCAGTCCTGACCCAACCCCCTGCTGCACGCTGACCCGCGTGGTGAGGTAGAGTCAGATTAAACCCAATGACAAAAAGGGCTGTAACATGCGAATCGTAATAATGTACGACTCGTAAGCAATCTGACAAATGGCACGTATTACGTATGACACACGCACATTGTATCACGATTAATATGTGCAACACAAACGACAATTCACAGTGTACATATTACAGCACATGACACGGTACTCAAACTGCAAATGTTATAGGTATAACGTGCACGGTATGTGTACACACACACAGTCACGACATTAAACACACGATTTGAAACCTCTCGCTGAATTCTTATATTTGTGCCCTGAATGTTGATATCCGTTTCTCACTTCCTTCTGTCACTTAATGTCAATGCCAGAAAACCGTGTCTACAGGTGCCTTTGTGTTTTGGACCCCATGTAAGGACCACGTGAAATGGTATTACAGCTATTTTATGTGTACAGTTTAAGACGTAGGCTTTCGCCACCGATATTCATAAATGTTTTTGGGTTAAATGTGTACAGTGCCGTGTATGTCGTATTCACACTATCGGATACAATCCATACAGTACACTTGTAGATAAATAATAATGTCCAGCCTTTTGTCAATAATGTACACTGCCGAATTAAGGCTTCCCCATGCCTTATCGGTCATGGGGAATATTTGACCTACACGTTGGTAAGTGCCGGTTGATGGAAGTGGACCGGTTCAGATATCACTCGCCACTGATGTTAACAATGCCCATAAATCAAACACAGGTCGCCGGGTTCACACCGCAATGCGCTAACCACTGTGCCATCACTCCACCCCTATGCAGTACACTCAGTCAGTATTCGGTAACTCAAGCAATTACTTTATATCCAGATTCAAACTCATTCCAGACCTGTATCATTTTTCAAGGGACACTCATGAACCAGGGCATTACGTGCAGTGTGTGCTGCACTTGCATATCATGTTATAAGTGAGATAGGTCGTTTATCAGTGAAACGTTTGGCAATGAGGGAGGAAAAATTCACAATTTATGCACAGTTGTCAACCTGTGTTGGACTAGATTGTCGCACGGAAATTACTTCGATTGCTACGGGGCTTTTTGTTGTTTTCACCGACACGTCCACGGGTACTTATCTCGGCAACCCAATGGCCTTGTTAGTCGTGGTTTCCAGTTCGTAGCGATATTGCGTTAGCCTCATTTTAATCACGTGTTCGTGGCAGTGAGAATCGGATGAGCTAGCAGTGGACTATGCCCCCGGTGTCGTTAAGTGTGTGCTCACAACCAAAAACGCGCTCTCAGATTGCGCAATTTAATGCACACCCCCCCCCCTTCCATTTGCTCGACGCAATTTTTCGAAGCGGCCGCTTAATGCAGGTCAAGGTGGCCGCTGGGTCAGCTCGCGGAGAGCTGTAACCCACAAGGGGGGGAAGTCGATGTCACAATGAACATCCGCTCAATTCTGCGGGAGCAGAATGTTTTCATTGTCTCTCTATCCTTTTAAAAAGAGCTCACGCCATGGCGCTCGCATTGAAACGTAGCAATGGATTGTATCCATCGTAAAAAATATATACAGTACAGTATGTAACACGTCTGCTGTAATACGAATCTTGGTGGTCGAAAACAAGGCTGTGTGCGTATGCACGTGGAATGGTGCTGTCATGTGACGCTCAAGGGATGCTGGGAGAACCAATCTTATGGTCGCAATAGCACCTTGTGCTGTCTATCAATCAGCTTGTGTGTCTGATTACAACAGTTTTAAACGTTGCATCTGAGCAGGTGTGCTGAGTTAGATGCGTTGTCATCGTACAATTCTACTTTTGCATAACCTTAAATGACAAAAGCACACATTATCCCCCTCGAGATTATGTAAAAAATCAAGCTTGTAGAAATGTCAATCTGATCAGGGATATTTACAGGGTTTACTGAAATATAATCCACGTATTAATTCCAAACATTGTCATTTGCCACTGCCAGGAATATCATAAGTAATTATATCATCACCCTTTGATACATGGAGATTGACTTACCCTGGTTATGTAGCTAATTGCACTAATATCATGCCAATCTGCCTCTGACATAGTTACATGGTGGCCTGCTTTGGCTTGTTAGTATTGGAATATTCCACACCGATAGGTGTGGAATGATGACGATCCCGCAGGATTGAGAAGGGGGGTTCAAGAAAATGAGTCGGCAATCATATTCTTGGTTT